CCTCCCGGCGGACCAGGACCAGGTCTGTACCCGCCCCCACCTCCGCCCCGGTTGTTGTACCCTCTCGAACCGCCCATCCCCCTCCCCCTCCCGCGCGGGCCGTACCCGTCAAACCTTTGCGCTCTGGGCGCAGTCGGAGGCTCGCGATCGAACCTCTCCCCCGAACTCCGACGTCTCCCGTGCGGGCTCATACCCATGTTCATGTTCATGTTCATGTTCGCGTTCATGTTCATGTTCATCCCCATGCCCATCCCCGCGGGAACAGTAGGCTCCATATCCCCCAAACCGAGTGCCCCGCGCACGTCCGGACTGCTAGCCCCGCTCCTCCCAAACTGGAGGTTCCAGTTCTCAGGCTGTGGCTGGGGCTGGACGTAAGGGAACCCGTTCGCTGCGGGGACGGGGAAAGGCATCGTAGCCATGCGAAGCGCGCTTTCGGGGCGGGAGGAAGGGTAGCTCGGGGGGTTGAACGCTCCATACCCGGGTGCCTCGGGGGTCGCAGGCTGCCCAGCGTCATTGCCCACGCCGGCTCCGGCTGCGATGCCGATCCCGAACCTCCCGCGCTGCTTGACGATATACGTCTCCTTCTGCGCTTGCGCTTGCCCCAGCACAGGCAGCACAGGGAGGGCAGGTCCATCCTCGTCCTCCAGAGCAGAACCGAACACCCACGCTCCAGTACCAGTACGAGCAGGCCGTTCCTCCCCATCCACACTACGGGGCATCCGTACGCCCCTAGTGCGCGCACTAGGCCGGCTCTGTTTTCGTGGTCTCCGGGCTGGAGGGGGTGCGGGAACTGTAAGCGCAGGAGGGACGAGCATGTCTTCCCCCGCCGCCGCTGCCGCTGCCTGGGGAGCGGGATAACCCCGTCCAATGTTGATGTTGATGTTGGGGTGCGCGTGCCCGTGCCCGTGCCCGTGCCCGTCGAGGTACACATTCCTGTGCGCTGGAGAGGGGGCGATCGATACTGGCCTTGAGCGGACGCCGGACGATGAAGGTCTCCTCGATCGCTGGGCGCTGCTCGTCGGTGTCTGGCGACTTCTGCGGGGATACTCTTCCGAAGAGGGGATATAAGGCGGGTTCATGAGGTTCCCCCCTGAGGTTAGGGCGGGGTTCGTCTGCGGTCTTGGGGGGAGCCGGTGCCGGCCTGCTACTGGATGAGGAGACCGGTCAGCAGAGGGGACAACACTTCCCCCGCGGGAGGAGGAGGCGCGGCTCGCTTGCGCAGCTTGGTGTTGTTGTTGAGCGGCGGCGTCGGCGGCGGCTTGCAGTTCTGCGGGGGAGATCTGGACCCATTCGGTTTTTTTGCCTGCTGGGGGAGGTTAGCTCCGCGGAAGTGGTAACAATCGCAACAGAACAAGGGGAAAAAAGGGACCCAAAGCAAGAAACGCGGCAGAAGTCATCACATCCCATCCAACCACTGGCTCCTCCAGCCCCGCATACCACATCCCCCCAATCACGATCCACTCCATGCATGGCATCCATCTCATCCACCAAATCCAGCGAGCTCAAGCTCACCCCTCAATTCAACCCAACCCAACCCAACCCAACTCGAGTTCCAATTCCAGTGTTCGGATCCTCCCCCGTCGAGCCAAGGCCGATCCAGCTCAGTGTCGACCCAACCAATCTGATCCCTCTCAATCACCTCCCAATCCAATTTCTTCCCAATCCGATCCCGATCCCAAGATTTCTTCCCATCCAATTCCATCCCAGTCAGACCACCCAAACCCGAACCCGAACCCGAATCCAATCCAATCCAATCCAATCCGAATCCCAAGACCCAAAAACAAAAACAAAAACGGGAAAAAGAGACACACCTCTCCTCCCAGTCGGTTCCTCCCCAAGCGTACTCCCACCCCCCGTCCCACCCCCACCCCCAACCCCACCCCCACCAGTGCCGGTCCCGTTCGGGCGTTCAACCCCCTTCCCCGCTATGTCAGTACTTGCAGGTTCCTTCCTCTCCTTCTCCCGTTCCCGCTCTCGCTCGCGCTCACGTTCCCCCTGCAGCAACTGCAACTGCTGTAAACTCACGCTAGGGGAAGGCCATTCCCTCTCCCTTTCCCTCTCTCTTTCCCTTTCCTTATCCCTCTCCCTCTCCCTCTCCCTGTCCCGCAGGCCGCTCCTCCCCTGCCCAGCTTGGCCAGCATGGTTAACCTGAGCACGTTTCCCCACAAATCTCGAACCAGAACCAGAACCAAGACCAGGGGTAGAGTCATCCAGGGGCGCACTTCTAGCCCCAGCAGCAGCAGCAGGAGGAGGAGGAGGAGGAGGAGGGACAACACCCGGTAAGTTAAAAGGGACGGAGGTGTCCCCTTCCGAGAGTTCCGGTAGATGAGGCGAGGGGGAGGATGGGCCCTGCGTTGGCTGGGTTGGCGTTGGCTGGGCTGGATGAGGGAGATGAGCCCGGGTCGGGTCTACGGGAATCGGGTAGTTTGGAGATATCGGTGCAGGTACCGGCGCAGGTACAATTGCAGGTGCAAGTGCCGGTGTAGGTGCCAGTGCAGGTACAGGTGCAGGTGCCGGTGCCGGTGTAGATGTAGGTGCCGGTACAGGGTCGGAGGTGACAGACAGTTCGTTTTCCTCGTTCGACTGTTCGTTTTCCTGTTCGTTCTCCTGTACCGCTGCAGGTGCAGGTGGGGGTGGGGGTACGAAGACCGCCCCCGGGGTTGGGAGCGCCTCACCAGGCAGGACACCACTCGCCCTCTCCTTCTCCTTTTCTCGCTCTCGCTCTCTGATCTCCCTCCTTACAGCCCAGATGTTCTTCCCCCCTCCCGCTCCTCCTCCCGCTCCTCCTCCTCCTCCCGCTCCCGCTCCACCTGCACCAACCCCTCCCGCTCCCGTTCCTCCTCCACCTGCTCCCCCTCCCACCCCTGCCAACCCCGGCGAACCAGGCTTACTCATCCCTGCTCCTGTTGGCGTAGGCAGCGACGGCAAAGAGGGAAGTGAAGGTTGAGAACTGGAGGGAGAGAGGAGGGGGAGTGTCGGTGTCGGTGTTGACGTGGCGGTTGGAGTGGGGGTTTGTTGGGATTGGGGGTGAGGCAGGGGATGGGTGCCGTTTACCCCATTCCCCGTCCCGTTCCCGTTCCCCGTCCCAGTCGCGGTCCCGTTAGTCAACCCCTGACTAGCCTGCGAAGCGCGCGAAGAAGTAGCAGATGCGTTTGTGAAGGATACGGAGGCGGACAAGGAGGTAGAGGAAGAAGAAGCTTTTTTAGCCCGGTCGGCGTAGGACAGCGGTTGGGACTGTGACTGGGTGTGAGGTTGAGGTAGTGGTTGAAGCTGTTGAGGTTGCGAGGAGACCATTTTATTGCTCGGATTGCTCGGATCGGATCGCGGTAGTTTTGGGGGGATAGGCAGCGCTGGTGCGCGGTTTGTGGGAGGAAGGAGTGGGTGGCGAGGGGTTGGGAGGTGTGAGGCGGTGAGGGATGAGCGATGGATGGGTCTAGCTGTGCAGGTTAGCGCTCGAGTTGTGCACAAGTGGAGTAGGGATAAGAGGATGAGGAAGGGGAAAGGAGGAGTTATGGGAGAGGGTGATTAAGGAGAGGCGAGGATTAGCGGGGACGAGGGTGATGGCGATGATGGCGATGATGATGAGAAAGGGACGACGACAGTGTAGAGGTTAAGGTTGACCCTTAACGCAGAATACCGAACCCCAAGTAACTCAGCAATACCCGTCCAAATCCCAAATAAACCCGCGTAAAAGGAGAAGTTGTACTCACACGACAATAGTTATAGCTATAGGTTGACGAGGTGTGCTGCGAGCAGGGGAGGGAGGGAAGAGGGACCTCCACCGGGCGCGTCGTGGACAGAGGGTAGGGGGTGCTTCCGTGAGATGGGACGAGGGGGGTGTAAGGAGTGAAGAGTGAGGATGACGGATGACGCAGTAGGAGGGAAAAGTGAGAAGGGAGCGAGTGAACAGAGTAGAGGATAAGAAGTGCAAACTCGTAAAAAGGGGAAAGGGTAGAGCAAGCAAGCAAGGACACCGCAAAGACGAACGACAAAAAAGCACCCGATAAATGTGGGCGTCCTCCCTTGTGAATACACTCATCGTATCCCCGTAACTCACTCTCTCACGAACCACTAACCCTGGGCCCACATCCACTCACTAGCACGGATTACACAACGGTTATCGCCGACGATCGGCTTTGCACGGCACTCCCTTCTCTTACACAACGAATCCGGAGATATTCCTAGCCAGGCTGTAACAGGTATAACCCCTCTTCCTTTCTGAAACTCCCTCCCTCCTCCCTGAAACGATTCTATAAAGTACTCCCTCCCCTCCCCTCCTCTCTCTCTCCCTCCCTACTCCCTCCCCTCCCCTCCTTTCCAGGGGCAGCCTCATCCCCGGCTTGTGTCCTCGCCTGATAACACCAGCACTGTCATCTCGATCTCGGCGTACTGGATTTGACCGGGCATCACCCTGCCACCTACCGTCCATTCTACCTACATCCTACATCCACCTCCCACCTCCCAACCCCGTCTCTCGCCCTTACACCCTCCTTCCGTATCCCGCATCCCGCATACGTATCACGTACCCTTTCCCGGAGGGACGGAGTGGGGGAAGCTGCCGCTCTTCCCCTGACAGGTTGGGAATGGCAAAGAGCAGATTCTCCTTCTCCTTCTCGTCCTCTCCCCTCTAACCTGTGCTCTGCCTGCTCTTCCGCAACCTCCCGGAGCAACAGATACCTAGCCTGTTGCGTCTGACCTTTGATCCTCTCATCTCTTGGTCTCCAGAAACGTCTAGTCGTGCACTCGCTTCCCCGCAACCTTCTGTTTTCTCCCTACTGCTTCCTCGGTCTAACGCTCACGCTCGGTCGGCTGTTGGATACCAACCATGACTTCACTTCCTTTCTGCTCCCTGGGAGCAGTAAGGGTGGCTGTGGTTCAGGTCTGGCATGCTCCAGTGTCGACCAGCTTAGTTCAACTTTCATCCCGGATTACCCGGTCTGTTGCGTCTGACCGATGATCCTCTCGTCTGTTGGTCTCGGATAACTTCAACGTCGTGCACTCGCTTCCCCGCAACCTTCTGTTTTCTGTTCCTCAGTCTCACGCTAGCGCTCGGTCGGCTGTTGGATACCAACTCCGCTTCACTTCCTTCCTGCTCCATGGGAGCAGTCTGGGGTGTAGTGGTTCAGGGCTGGTGTCCTCCAGCGTCGACCAGCTCAGTTTCACCGTCCTTCCCGTATCCTGGATCTCGGATTCGTATCACACATTCCTGGAGGGACGGAGTAGGGGGGAAGCTGCCTGCTCTCCTTGATAGCTCATGGGGTAGTACTACGAGAGCAGATCGTCCCTTCTCCTTGTCTTGTCGCCTCTCACCTGTGCTCTTTCTTCTCTTCGGCAACCTCTCAGAAGAGCACCAGATGTCTGACCTATTACGTCTGTTGACGATCCTCTCATCTGTGGAGATGACATACCCACAGGCAGTGCCTCTCTCGGCCTGTCTCTCATCTATCTGTCTGTTCCCGCTCCCTGCTGCTTCCTCAGTCTCGTGCTCAGTCAGCAGTTGTTCTCCAGGCATCTTTGCATCCTTCGGTCTATCCCCCATGAGAAGGGGATCCTTTGGAGGGTCATTAAGCTTGGCGTACTCCTGCTCCACCCGGGGGTTCACAACGCTCCTCTCGGATCATCCTCTTAAGTCAAGCATAATCTGACGACTACTTCCTCATTCCTAGGGATGGGAACGGTCCAGTCCGGTCCGGTCCAGTCCTGGACGGTCCCGGATTTTTGGCGATAGTCAGTCCCGGTCCAGTCCTGTGATGGTCCGGTCCTGGACGGTCCCAGGGCCGTGAACCGCCAGTCCCAGTCCAGTCCACTAAATGCTGACATAATTCTATTCAATAGTCAATGTGGGGTCATGGCATTGAGCGGGAGGAAGCACACGCGAGATTCATCATGCACCTGAAACGACATGCCAGTCAGTCAGATGATATGCCGACCTCTTTCAACACAATGACATGACCGGTCACCATCCCTACAACGCCAAAACTGTCAAACTCTGCACCCAATTGCATGGCGAAATGGTGGCTGCATGGGACCGGACTGGACCGGTCCTTCGCAGTTAGGACTGAACCGGATTTTCCAAAAGTGTTGGTCCTGGTCCAGTCCTCGGACGGTCCAGTCCTGGACTGGATCGGCAGGACCGCGGTCCTCAAAGTCCGGTCTAGGAGCGATGCCATCCCTACTCATTACCAGCTATCCAAAGACTCACAGCACTTTCTACATGTACTCATGTTCTGCTCAATGAAGAGGACCCGTCTTCTATTTGCGCTTTACCCTCTGCTTACAGGCGAGAGAAGCACAAGTAGAGTCCAGGCGCCACTTCTTAGCTCAGTCATCCCAGGCCATGCATTCTCGGTACCATCTCTCTCACCACCCATCTTTCCCCTTCCTCCCAACTGTTCCTCAGTCTCACGCTCGGTCAGCTGTTGGATACCAACCGTAACTTCGCTTCCTTTCTGCTCCCTGGGAGCAGTTCGGAAGCTGTGGAGGAGCCGGCTGGTGTTCTCCAGCGTCGACCAGCTCGGTACTGTCGTGTCTCCCCTGATAGGACGTTCAATGGTCTGCGCCTCGGTCTCCAAGTCATCTTGTCGATCACGTCCTTCCTCTCTAGCACGCTCCCGGAAAGGCAGCCTGATCCCCAGCCCATCCTCAGTTCTGACGACCCTCTCATTCTAGTCTAGGCAGGATCCGAACGGAGCATGGCCACTAGTTGTCACACTTCTTGCCACTTCCTATCCACACCAATCGGCCCGGGCCGTTGAACACCAAATCTTCTGCACCCTTCGCTCTATCTCCCCTGAGAAGGAGATATACACGAGGTGAAGTAGAAAGATTGGTGTGCTCCTGCTCGACTCACGCCGGTTGCACTGCACTCCTTTCCGATCTTCCTGCGCTCATGGATGCCGTGAAGGGTCGGATGACTATCTCGTTCGTCAATCCTCGAGGTATCTACAGGACTTTGCAGGGCGATATGCGCATTGTCTTTTCTAATCCTAGCCTTGACAAGGAAGGATGTTCTTAACCCAGGACCAGTCTTTCACCGTTTTCCCAGTCCGCCCACGCTAGAGAGGAAGGAAAGCTGAGTGGAGGAGACAGTTCTTGGCTTGGATACTCCTGCCCTTCATTCTCTGTAGTCTTTCTGCCAGTCGACAGCCTCACTATCTCCGCCTCATACCGCATGACACGAGATGCTTCCCATCCCGCCTTATTCTGGACGGAGACTTGATGTCGACGTTTCGGGGTCAATATTCAAGTACATCATGGTACTCAAACCTCAAACTTTGCTACTTCCAAAGTATCGTCAAGCACAATACCGCCTATCACTGTCCTTAGTCCTGTCATCGTTAGCTCCAGAGTTGAATAAGCAGGTATAAGCCATATTGACTGAATGATGTCTTTTACGGGTGTAGACAACATCGCCTTCCTAGCCCGATCCCACCCGCATGCCTCCCCAATGTTCCCCAGCCCAGCACCCGCCGCCTCACACGCTCTTCGGCCTCGGCCAATCCATCGCCGTCTTGCTCTCGGCTGCTGTTCCGTAGCTCAGGATGCCCACCCAGGGCATGATGTTGTACATTAATCGGGCGCGGAAGGGTTCTGCTCCGCTGTTTCAGGCGTTATTAACGTGTAGGAGCAGGAAGACGGGCAGGAAACAAAGAAGTCGGGACGATGCAAGAGAGCAATGGCAGACTGGCAGTAAGAAAATAACGGAGAGTAGGGTGACGCACAAGAACTTCTTCCCCACCGCCCTCAGCGTGTACTTCGTCTTCCCCGCCTCGATCCTCAACCTCGCCTCCCTCTCCCTCGTTACAATCCTATCCCAAACGACGATCTCGTTCCCCGGCCTCTTCGAATATACCAGCCCTTCCCCCGCCCCGGTGGACGAGGATGGGAGTGTCGTGTTAGGCCCGTCGAGGTAGTCGACGACGAGGTATACGAACAGCTGTTTCGTATTCCACGTGAAGAGCGGGCGGAGGTCGACGTCCAGGTCGAAGCGTAACGATGCGGCTTCGTTAGGCTTGTAAGCTTCCTTGTACCTACCACAACCGGTCAGCAAACTTTCGTCGACTCATGCACTACTAGGAGGGAGACGTACACATGCACGTTCTTGATTTCTATATTCCCTGGCTCGACGCTAGGCAGCGTAAGGTAGCTCGTCGCTGCTACAAGCCCAAGAAGGACCATAAGTGCCGTGCTAGCATGGCTGAAGATAGTAGACACGCGATTCCAGGAAGAGTGCATCTTTCTCTTTCGCCTGAGAGGATGGTGTGTACAGGAGGAGTGCGCGACGTGTACGAAGAAATGGTCGGAGATATGGTTTAATGGGTGTTACTAACACCGATGGAGGAAAGCTTCCGCTCACCGCCACCCTGCGGCACTCTCCGTTCATTCTCCCAGTTCGTCACCACCGCTCACCCGCTCCTCATCCTCCCCATCGCAAAGCAAGATGTCCTAGTACGTCCCCCTCCCACCTCCCCCCTCCAGCAACTAACCGAAGAACAGCATGATCCTCGGCCGTCCCATAGCGAGCGAATACCTCGCCATAGGCACGTTCCTCCTCACAGGCGTAGGCGCATGGGCCGCAACGCGCAAATCTGCTGTTCCTCCTGCTGCCGCCGGGGCCAAGATCATCAAGCCTGCGGAGGTGACGGTGCAGGGGGCGAGTAAAGAAGAGGAGGAGTTGTAGGTCCTTTTTCTTTTGATGGGGTTGAGAGGTGCTGATTTGGGATAGTATTCGCCAGTTTGTGGCTGAGGCGGAGAAGGAGGATAAGGCGCATCATTAGTCTCCTCGCGGGGCCAGAGGGGAAAGAGAGGAAAGGTGTAGAAGGAGCAGGATAGGATGGAGTAATACTGTCTCCAGGATCGGGGGACTCGCTGGTTGTCCAGCCAAAATGAACGATTCTTCGCCTATTATTGCATATCTAGCAGGCTATCAGGGTGGCGCACGACACAGATGCATTACACTCCAAGTACAGAGTCTCAAGATGACCAACGAGCAGAGGGCAGCAAGAGAACTAATCATCATCCGGCGGTCCCTCTGCCTCCTCCTCCCCAGCCTCCTTTCTCGCCTTCTCCGTCATCCTCCTCCTCATCCCCTCCACCTTCCCAGCAGCACCATTAAACATCCCCCCGGTCGCCTGCCCACACGCAGCGCACTTCGGCGTCTTCCTAAACCGCTGTATCGCGCATTTGGAACAGAAGTAGTGCCCGCACTTGGTGACGATCGGATCTGCGTACGGCTTGCGACAGAGAAGGCAGGCGAAGGGGATCTCTTCTTCGTCTGATGAATCGGCGTCTTTCTCCCCCGAAGCACCAGCGCGCTGCTGTTCCTCCCACTGTCTGTCCAACTGCCATCCCGCGAGATCTACAACATCAATCAATCAGTACCGCATCCCCCCAACAAGGAAAAAGACTCACAAGTCCCCCGATCGTGTAAAAACTTGCACGTATCCCCAAACCCGCAGTATCCCGTCTCCTTATAGTCCTTACACACATCCGGCTGGTAGTCCGTAATCGTGACCTGCCTAATCGTGCTCGGGTTCGCACGCACAGGGCCAGAACGCATCGTCTTGGGCATTTCCTGTTGCACCTTGATATGCGACTTGTACCCAGCTAGGCCGTGATACAGCCCATCGTCGGGGTCGGGAAGCTCTTCCTGGAGAGAAGGGTCGAGCTTGGCCCGTTTTCGCGCGTTGGCTTGCGATGCTTCTTCCCTCTCTTCGTCGGAGAGGGAGTATCCCTCAGGGAGAGCCGCAGTCCCAGAACCGTAGTTGACGTCCACCCTCTCCCTCTTCGTGCGCCTCGTACCTTGTGTAAGTAGGTTAGAAGCGGGCTTCTTAAGGGGGAGGACGACGGATGACGTTGTTGCTGCTGTTGTTGTTGCGGTGGGGTTGGGGCTGCTGGTGCTGGGAGAGGGAGAACGGGGTTTGGGCCGGGAGGAAGAAGGACGTGATTTGGGTGGTTTGCGGAAGAATGGGACGGGCGTGTCTGGGTCGGCCATATGCGTTCTTCTGAGGTGTATGATAGACGTCAAGTATTTGAGTACGGGAATACACTGAAAAGCGAGGTGAAGACAAGAGGATGGTGGTGGTCTGCGAGGTGTGTTGTAGTTTGTACGACTCACAGTTCTCTCGCCTCTTATGTGCAACGAGAATAAGCTTAGTAAGCGCATTGGGGCTGTGCTCTTAGCTGGGAGAAGACCCTGGAAAGCGAGGGACAGACCACGTGACTGGAGTTTTTGGTACATGGTCTTTGGCTCAAACATGTGTAGGCATAGACATTCTGGCCGCATTCTACGCGTATCATCCTCTCCAATTGAGGTAAAATCGTTCATATGAAGTATGCATCACAAGCCCATACTCTCTATTCTATTCCACCACCAGCGGCGCCTTCTAGCTAATAGAAAACCAACACCCTCAACTCGATACTCTGCCTCTTCGGCGCCCCCACCGGCGTACTCGGGTCCTCAAACGCCGTATGCGGTGTAAACCTACTTCCTCCCTCCCTCGGCTCCGAATCATAACATTTGATCAGCGCAACTTCGTCCGTCCCCATCCCTCGAAGGTAGTACCATTCGTACGCCGGGGAGTAGGCGATCTGGTACGTCTCGCCTTCTCGGTCAGGGTAGCGCAGGGTAGAGGGGACGAGGTTTGCTGGGCTGACGGTGCGCCCGTCCGCTAGGGCAAGGGGCATGTCGTACGCCGCGTTAGCAATAGGACGCCAGACGTTGATGATCTGGAACCTTCTCTTGCTCCTCGCACGGGCTTCTTCGGCCGGGAGGTGCCTGAACACACGAGCAAGAGCAGACTCCGGAGTCTGGTCGACATGTACCTGAGGAACAGGCTGGCGCGTGCTGGGCGTGTCGGGCGTAGGCTCAGCCCGGCGCCGGCGGATCGTGTGGTCGAATATGACCGCTTTCTCTGCTCCGGTTACGCGTTTGACGAGATCGATCGTCTCGCTGTAATACGCCTGTAACGCTGCCTCCGAATCCTCGAAGACGACTTCCTTCGTCGGCGCTTTGACAAATGCGAACCCCGTGCTGTCTAAGCCGACCTCCCCCTCCCTCCCACGCATGTTCCTAATTGTGGCAGCGAACGGTTCTGGCTTCCAGTTCCGGGGGGGGATGACACCCGTAGGGTCGGGAGTGATATAGTTGTACGGCTTGGAACCGTCGATCGTGCGGATGTAGTAGTTGAGAGAGGCGAGGACGGAGGTAGGCTCGTTCGCGAGCGTGAGGGTGCCGGAGGGGGACGTGCTGGTGGTAGTGGTGGTGGTGGTTATGGTGGCCATGGCGTGTTAGGTTGAGCAATCAGAACGACGAGCTGGAGGTCGAGCTAGTAAAGACGAGCTAGTCAACTAAGTCGAACAACAGCTGGCTGTCACTTCCAACTTCTCTGCCCAGCCAAGTCCACCCCGCCAGCAGCTTATATACCAAACCAAACCAAACCCGTCCACCCTCCAAGGGCCCCAAGGGAGATTACAAGCACGTCCCTACAAACGCCAGCCAGCATCTATCCACAGCGAGACCCTACGCCACGCTCGAAGCATAGGATCAGGAGCGGGAAGACTACCCTTGCTGTCCATGTTCCTGTGCAGAACGGATGAGCCATTTACTAGTACTGTCCATTGTGAGGAAGACGATATCGACATGAGGATGAGGGATGTCGCAATCGACTTGCTTTGTAAGGTGCAAAAGGAGAATATTAATGTCCGATGACGTCGGCTTTGTCAGCTTAGGGATTTGTCACTCTTCGGCGTTAACGAGTCCCCCGTCACCATCTATGTAGACATGAGGGCACTCTGTTCGCGCAATTTGACCACAGGAAAATAACATATTGACCAGGTTCCAGCCCATTCGACATAAAATAAGATACCAACATTCCATCACATGCATGCATGACAAACCCCCACATCCCCCTGCAGCTCCGAACAATCCACAGAAGAGGGTCACCAGCCCCAAGCATCATCGTCCCCCTCCTCCACTCCCTCCCTCCCACTCCCACTCCCACTCCCGCCTGCACTAAGAGCCACAGGCAGGGGTAACAACACCTCCTCCCCCACGCCCAGGAGCGCTTCCGAAAGAGGGTCGTCCATGAGGTTGAGATTGACGGAGCTTGCGCTCCTAGGACTGGGGATGGGGGAGAGAGCGGGCGGGCGGGAGACTTGGGTCGTTATACCTAGTGTGAGGGCGGAGAGGGACCGGGGGTGATCGGGGTTGGGAGAGGTGGGGGATCGGGAGTTGGGAGTTGGGGAAGTTGCAGATGCTGATGCAGTAGCGCTTGCGGTTGGAGGGGCAGCGAGAGAGGAGATAGATCCCGATTTCCTCGAGCTGGGGGACGTGAGCCGCTCACCATAATCCGCCAGTCCGTTCTTCCCCGTCCCCGTTCCCGTTCCCGTTCCCGTCCCGTTCTCCATCCCAGCAGGTGCAAACCCGAACCCAAGACCACTAAGCTGCCCCAACCCAGAGGAGAAAAGCTGACTAGCGCGCTTTGAAGAGCTCGTGTACGCGTCCGAGGACCTCAGGTCCTGGATCGCTTTTCCCAACGTGGACGTCAAGGCGTGCAGAGTCGGACCTTCAACAGATTTTGCAGTAGCGGAGGAGAGAGTGCTGAGAGGAGAAGGCGAGCGGGGTGCGGAGGAGTCCTCGGTCGTTGAGCTCGCTGAGGAGAGGGAGGAGATCGACTGCCTCTGTTCCCCTCTAAGCTTGAGTGGCTGCATCTGTACATGTGTCGCTTTCCCCTGAATGGGACTGAAGGGCCCTGGTGTGCTAGGTGCGCCCCCTGAGCTGGAAGAGGAGGGGGAAGCAAGCGAAGGGAGGGAAGTGACACTCTCGAACATCAAGTCGTTTATAATCCTCGACCCATGTTTCAAGACTTCGACGCTCTTCTCCCCAACACCTTTCTCCTTCCCTCCCGCCGTGCCCGTACCCGCCTGACTGCGGCTAACGATCCCCTCCCACTTCTTCTTCAGGCCCGAAAGCTCTTTTTCGGCATCCTGTAATTGCCGGCGGAGCTCCATCACGCGAGACTCTTTTTGCGCGATGAACGTGAGTAGGTCGGCGTGTTTCTCCGCTAGGGTGAGGGAAGCAGGGTTGGGCGTCTTCTGGGGTGTATCGGAGCTGGAGGGGGCTGCGGTGGTGGAAGACGAGGCGGACGCGGGGGGTGAGAGGACAGCAGGGGGGGAGAGGACGCTGTCGACGCTGCTTCCAGGCGGGCGGCGGGGGGAATAAGAGATACTCGACATCCGCGTGACGTTCGCCCTTCTCCTCCCGCTCCCTGCACCCGTACTGGGGGAACCGAGCGGCGTTGTGCTCCCACTTAAGGTACTGGGGGGAGGAGACCGGGTGTCGAGCAGGAGCGAAAGGGGTCGGAGGCGAGGTTTGGACCGCGGCGGAGAGGGCGGACTGGGTTGGGGGAGGACGCCCAGTGTGAGATGGGGTGCTGAGACGAGGGTGTTCATCGCTCCTATGAGGAGGGGGTGGTTGGTTGGTTGGTATGTTAGGGTAGGTGGTCGGTATGAAGGAATGTTGCGATTTTGATATCGAGATTCGACTCTGGAGTTGTTATCCAGAGACAAAAGAACGAGTGACAGATGAGCGTAAATGAGTGTAAATAACCTCTAGTAAGGAGTTCAAAGGTAAGATAAACTGGCTTTTGTTGTCAAGGGAAGATAGAAGAGAGGCCAAAAGAGGGTCAAGTGGAGAAAGGCACGCGCCCCGGAATTACCGGACTTGTTTCCTTCCGCTCCGGACAATCTTCCCATCCTTCTTTCCTCCAGGGTCTGACAACACCAGGATATGGATAGTACAGTCGATATACACTACTAGTACAATTCTCCATCAGGCAAGTCCAGCTAGCCTACATCACCTCCCTCCGAACAACCATCCTCAACTTCTGCTCCGCACCCGCATGTCTCCTCGTGACCTCAAACCCCCCTTGCCACGAATCATACACCTTCGTAACCTGGAGCGCAACCGTCCGTTTCCACCTCTTCTCAGCGACGTTCCTCGCTCTTGCGTCCACTCTCCTAGGCCACATCCCTGCTTCTGTCCCTGCCCCTATAGCAGAAGAAGGGAATGGAAGCCATTTATCCGGCTGGTTAAACGTGTGCGTTAGGACTTCCTCGTCTGACGCTCTCTGGAGCCTAGGCACCAGCCCATGCCCAGAAGGCCCATGAGAGTCCCTATGCGTGCAAAAGCTCTCCCAAGCCCTAGATCCATGAAATATCCGATCTTTGCATCCTTCATACGTGCAATAGAGGGAGAAGTACTCCCCTCCAGCCTCAAGGAGCGGGAGAACGTGCCTTTCGTCGCTCGCCACTCCCCGCGCGTCCCATTGACGGAGGAGCGCTTCCTCCTGCGGCAAATGCACTGCCAAGCAGTGGCGTAAGGCGTCGTTCGCGTCCTTAGCTAGGTGGCGGCACGTATAGCTCGGGTCGTTAGGCCACCGGTAAGGGCAGAGGAACCAGCCGGTGACGTCCATGCTCCCATCTGGATGGTAGATGATGCTCTCGTCCTGCTTAGGCTTGCGGAACGAGGTGGGCTTGCGTGCTGTTCGGCGCTTCTTCTGGAGCTTCGTGAGGACTCGTATAACCCGAAAGAAAACAGAGTAAACATACCCTCGGACGCTCCTCGAACTCGGGATCATACTCGAACGCGGGCCCAGCACCCGCAAGCTGCGGCTGGGCAAAGCTCAAAGGCGGGTACCCGAACGGGGCTGAACCTGAAGGCACGGGCAGGAAACCAACGGAAAGCTGGTGCAGCGCTCGGATCGCCGCCTCCGCCGCTGGGCTTGTGTTGCCTTTTGGGGACGTGAGGTCTAGCGGGCTATGCGCCTCCGAATCTGGGTGGCGTCGTTTCTGCACCAGTGCCTGTGAGCGACATGCCCCCTGCCTGCACCTGCAAAGGAACACTTACGCGTGATGGGCCTGCAAAGGCTTGATATCCGGTTTGAAAAAACTCAAACTGTCTCGGAGTGACTGTCTCCGGGAAACTGATCCCAAGCCCGTTCGTCGGTTGTCCCACTGGGCTGCTCTCTTGCAGCCATTGCTGAACTGTGCTGGAAGGATGCGTCGAGGGAGCAAGGATGTTGCTATCTGATCTGCTTCGTCCAAGGACGTTGCTCAAACGGCGACTAGCCTGTATCATCGTTGACATGAGTTCCAGATTCACGGCTTCTACGAGCAAGAACATGCCTGTGAAATCGCCGGTACCCGTACCGTCAAGCTTCGGGCAATCTGCAGCTCCGGGCCTTTCCCATTCCCTTTCAACCTCGACTCCCGGAACGGGCTGTCAAGCCCAGTGATGATCGGCCCGCGACCATCATTCGGCGACACAGGGGATGGAGTTTCTGGAAGGGCGGAGATCGACGACCGGATAGAATGAGAGTGGGTGAGGTCGTCTGGTGAAATGGAGTGCGAGGGTGTGAAAGGCGTCGAAGCACAGGTCTGGCATTCAAGAGGTTAATTCTCCTGCCTATAACACGGAAAGACGACTGACATTGAATGGGATGACGATTTGTGGTGTTTGAGGGTTGCGGAATTGTATGGCTCCTTGTGCGACAGGAGATTCCGATGGGGTCACGATGACCGGAGGTGGTGGATAACTAGGTCCATCCATAGCAGTCGGGACCAGGTCCTCCCTTCCATTAGTGGGTATTGCATCCTTCCAGAAGTCATCCCATTCCTCAGCTGACAGAGTGGGCTCGTTGGGGAAGCCAAAGTCGATATCAGTGTGTGGAAAGTCCATGTTCGAAGACGAAGAGCGATGCAGCCAGCGCAGGAGTTCGTATGGAGAGCCCAGGTGTCCGAAGACTTGATAAGATCGCCATCAGCGCCAGCCAACTTATATACGACGGCCATAGCAGAGTTGTTGAAGAGTGCGACAAGGACGCTGGCGGAGTATCACCTAGTCCCCGCGGGAAGCGAAGGTGATATACTTGCCAGAGGCTTAGCACAAACGTAGAACAAAAGTATACTCAAACACACACCCGCATGGCCTTGCTTCCGCTGCTTCTTTCTGGCTTTGTTTTTCACAGCCGTCAGAATGTGATGAAATGTATTGTCAATGCCGTAATTGCTCAAAGTTGATTTCCGCAATAACAGCGACTCGATGTTGAATTCTTTCGTATGTGATGAAGTATCACTGTTTAAATACAGGACTCCACGAACTGATCGAGGTGAAGTCGCCTGCCTCCGGTCTGCGAGACGCCGCTGACGGGAGACAGCCAGTCGCGCATCACCTTAGAGTCCGTAGCTTCGGCAAGAAATGGTCAATCCACACCACAGATCAAAACAGGCGAAAGCGTCTTCATACCGAGGAACAGATTATACGGTGCATGTGGCCGATACGTACATTTAGCGTGCAGAAGACGCGCAGTGGTAGGACACTCACCAGATCCTCCCATTCGCCAAGTATCCTATCGTCAAACTCCACCAGTCAGTTTTCTCACCGATAGAATTTCCAGATAGCCACATATTCCCTCCGCATACTCCACCGAAGCAGATATCAACTTGAGCCATTGGCAATCATTAGGTCGCAAGCTCAACGATAGTGCAGCACGTGACTAGTAGTCTTGGTTACTGTTCCCAGGAAGACCGGTTTAGGAGCAGCAAGCGTGGGCGTAGGCTTCGTTACTTCCTCAAATGGACCATGGCGGAGTATGAGAAGTCCCGGAGACCACGGCGTAGCGTGATTGCTAATATAGGTCAAGACAGGAACAAGATATGTGGCCGACTGAATCGATGAAAATTGCCTCCGACGCAGAGAGTTCGTATTCTGAAATTCGAACACACGAGTAGCCCCAAGTATAGTATGACCAACCACGCAATCACTCGATGATCTGAGGCTGGGTGAATGCATATAGCCGGATGAATGGATAAAAAGAGGTGTGATTGCTTGATAGAGTACAATGTATGCGCGAGATTAGACTGCGCGATCCTACAACTTCAAGCAAGTCAGCATATACTCCACTTTAAGCTTAAACCCCTCACGCACATCTCATGTCTTGTCCTTCTTTTCTTCTGGCTTAGATGCACTCGCCGCCATATGCGTAGGGACAGCCGCTGCCGGGGTATCGGGCACGCCCGCCAGCCCGAGGTTGTCCCAAGAATCGCGCTCCATCAGCCCACTACATTCTTTCAGTCCCAATCTATACCAATGAGATACTCAGACACGCACTTGGTCATCCGACACTCGAGGTAGGCCTTACTCTGCGGCCTGCATTCCTGGGACTGGCTCTTGTTCTGTTTCAGGCAGTTCAGGTACACCTGCATAAACTGCTTGCATTCCCCTATCGCTCTCTCAGCACGATCTCCCTGATTAGGACAGATGAAGCGCACCATCGTGGTCCAATGGAAACGAGCCTCGCTCGGGCGGTGTGACGACAAAAGACTGGAACGTCGGCGGGCGACCAAACGACATGGGCGTGAGCGTTGCAAATGGCAACCGACGTCCCCAGACGCGGAGGTATACAGCTTATGGCATCCACTTTCTCGGAACCGAGATGTTTGATATATTATTATTAATCCGATATTGTGCAGAATTACATTGAGGGGTGGTGCCAATCGTACAAAACACTATTCTTTGCTATGCGATATTGTGACAGCGCACCGCGACTGCGTACCACTATCTAAGCTGTCTCCCGAAAACTATAGGATGCGGTATCGGGATTCTTTTTCAGGTTGGAACGGTATGTTTATCCTGTCCAACCAGTCAACAGTCGACTTCCCAAGAACAAATACCACCTACCCGGAACATCAAACTCAACCTCTGCCCACCGATCATCTCCCTTCCCCCAACCACCCCCTTCTCCATAATCTCATGCTTAAACTTATACCTCATCACCCCCCTAACACACCCGCTCAGCACTTTCCTTCTGCAGGAACGCGGAACTCACTGAGTGATGTAAACGTCCCCCCCTCCCACCCTAAGGCAGAACTGCTTTCCCTCCTCTTCCCCCTCTCCCGTCATCTTCAGCACCCTCTCCCCACCAAGAGAAACACCCATGATCATCCCTCCGCTCGCCTGTAGGTTGTCCACATGCGCGTCGATGTATGCCGAGGCAGAGAGGTGCAATGCATGGAGGATGAGCTGCTCCTGTGGGTAAGGGGAAAGTGTGTAGAGCTTGTTGAGGATGGGCTGGAGAGCGTCGAGCGATTCGGGTGGGAAGAATGTTATGGGGCCTTCGCGAAACCGGCGAATCACTGAGTCGAAATGTCCCTACATGCCCATGTATGCTGTCAATATGCCTCCATCAGGCAACGGGAGGACGCAGAGCGCACCTCCTCAAACGTGTAACAGTCCTCGGGGAAGAAGACGTCCCACATGGGGTTTTCCCTCCTCTTCTCCTCCCGCACGAGGGTACTCATCTCCTCTCTCTCCTTTAACACCTCCCTCCTCCTCCTCTTCTGTTGCACAGTCGGCCTGAACACTTTATCCAGTTTCCCCAGACATGCTTGGAGCAATATCTTCTGTTCCTGGTGTGGGAGGAAATTGGGGTAGAACTTGAACTCGGATTTCCCTTGCTCGGTGATGGACGGCGGGGAAGGGGAAGGCCAGGAGATGACTTGGATGGGACAGTCGGGCTGCGAGGTGTCGGTGAGGGTGTAGCAGGGGTACGAGCTGTTCTGGCGGACCAGCTGACGAGCAGGGATTATGGTTGATGGGTGTCGGCAGCGAGAGACACGGAAGAGAGTGAGGGCTGTGGGTTGGACATGGCGTGGAGATGCCAACATTCGGAAAGGAGCAGGTTGACGCGCACAACAGAACGATCGATCCGAACAGGGTCTGATATCTGTGCTGCATCGGACCTGACCATCATCTGCAATCATTGTGCATGAACCTCCCCAATTGCCTTATGTGTCCAGCATATCATTATTCTGGCAGGGCAGTGTATCTGCCAGAGGGTTATGATATAGGGTTCGGATAAGAATCGCATTCATGAATTACACCCAAACGAGCGTCACAGGTCCACAGGAAAACAAGTAACCCTCCACTCCCTACTCCCTACGCCCCCGTGCCCTATTTCTCTCCATCGTCCGTGCGATCAATGCACGTTCGTCGCTCCATAGTTAGCCCCCGCCGGTGCCTGGCTCGAAAAGATTGGCTGATACTGTCCCGCTCCAACGTCTACATCCTCCATCAGCGCCCTAGCTCCCTTCAAGCATCCAAAAGACTCACATTGATACCCTCCAGCACCATACCTCTCCTCAGCGCGCATCTTCTTATATATCAACCAGAAAGCGTGCAAGTGGCCAGGTATATAGCCCAAAACTGTAAGGCAGATGTTGATCAGCAGGTCGCAGGAGCAGCCGGTGATGAACGCTGCTGCTGCGGGGGGGAAGAGGATAGCTACCTGGGAGATGTCAGTGGTGGTATGCATATATTTGGATTGAGGGTGCGTACGAGGATGAGAAGGATGTCAGAGCCGCGAACCATGTCGTCTGGTTATCGGTTTTTGGAGAGTAGTTTGTTGATTGCAAGTGAAGTTTCGCGGTTGATAACTAGCTTGAACACGAGGTGGAAAGCTTTATATGATGGTGGTCAGGATGAAAGGGATGAGGAGCACGTTTGAGGGAGTAAAGTGGAAGGGCGTGACCTCGACGCAGCGGGTGCGGAACCGATGATGCGCGCAGAACGCGCAGCTGACGTCACTCAGCCACGGAGTTCAACTTCCAATCAAAGGAGGCTTGGCACACCAACGTCGGATTTTCATCTCGCTTCAGTTTGAGAAAAGTTTGAGCATGGCAATGGGACTTGTATTCAGAACTACTACGATGCTAGGCTTTACTGAGCAAGAAAGGGATCGCATGTCGGAGGCTGTACTTTTGCAGTTCGCCGACCCGGCGCGCAAGGAAACGGTGAATTTCGAGCGAGAAAACAAGAACTGAGTGAGAGGAAGGGGGATCACATACGGATAACCAACCAGAGTTGGTTCGAATTTGGAAGAGGAGACCAGAATACCAGCAGGACCAACGGCGCAACACCAAGAAAGCCATGCCGGTTCTCATAGCCCTTACCTTTCTTACGCAGAGGCAACGCGGAGACGCCAACTTCAGACGCAGCTGATATCTAACCCTCAGCCACATTCACCAGAGAGGAAATTAGGCAGGGGCAGGAGGAGCTGTAGATAGATAAGTCAGGCAAGCAACGTTTCAAAATATATTACGCACCATCCCGTCCGTAGTCGCGCCTGTCCCTGTCATCGCGCCTTGGCCTGTCGTCCTCGGGATATCCACCACGGGGAGGGCGGTCCTCAAACCTGGGGCGATCTTCGTATCTCGGGCGGTCCTCATAGCCTCCACGAGCTTCTCCGTTCCTGGGAGCGTCGCGTCTTTCCCGATCGTCGTACCGGGGCCTGTCATCGTGCCTCGGGGGCCTGTCCGCATACCGGTCTTCACCACGAGTAGGAGGCTCGTTATACCGATCCCTGCCTGCGTCCCGGCGCTCGCGATCATCGAACCGCGGGCGATCTTCGTAGTCCCTCCGGGGTGGGGGAGGACGACGGTCGAAAGAGTCGCCACCACGCCTGCCTGGAGAGCGGGACCGGTCGCGCCTGAACTCCTTGTCGCGACTGTAGTCCACGCCAGAACCCCCAAGTCCGCCCTATCATCTGTCAACCGCCAGCTTGTCAAGAAACACGGCCTTGCCCACCTCGCCACGAGAGACACGAACGGTCACTCCACGGAGCTCCCTGTTGTTCAGCAGCCTCAGAGCGTTCTCCAAGTCGTCGGGCGTCAGATACTCCAAGATGCTGCGTATTAAGTGCTATGAGCATACGACCACACTTCAGTAGCAAATCCTCTCACCCTTCGCCCGGATTTTCCCTGTCGAGGTCGGAGAAGGTGACTGCACCAGCTTCGCGTCCGAAGTCCTTCAGGTCCTAGTGGCCAAGTACGCGTAAATCAGGATCCTCGTCGAGGTAAATGGAGCCACAGCCAAAGGATGTGAACGTGGATGCCATAAGGGTCCATACGGTCCGAGGAAAGGAAGTCCAACCATGCCATGAGGAACCAATGAATGGGCCGCCAACCACCCGATACCAGTGCAATCATCTCCGATAGAGTATTATGCAGCGACCGAAGTGATAGGATGAAAACGATGTGCGCCGCCACGCACGACGTTTGCATCTGAGTAGACAGCGTTAAGGAAGCCAATGTCCACGCTACGTGTCCAGGATCCACGACAATTCCAAGCAGGGAGCAGTTCGTACCTGCCAGCTGGTGTCCCGCGAAACGCCGTGGATTAAGACCCTGTACCCAGGCCTCCTCGTGAACGGACGACTGCAAACACGATCAGTAAGAGATAGAAAATACTAGGAGAAGTTGCCTTACGGTCCGCGCTCCTCGAACCCACCACCCCTTTCGCGCCTCGATTCCTTAGCAAGCTCGATAATGATGCTTGAACACGATCAGCTTGAGAACCCTGCAGGCTCACGATTTCACGTACGGTTCTCCGAGCAAGTTTTTCCCCTGAAAGTTCGCGACAACATCCTCTGCGTCCTTCGGATTCTCAAATTCGACAAAACCAAAGCCATTCATGATCCTGATGTCCTGGATCCGACCATATCCCTCGAAAAACTTTTCGATATCTTGTTTCATCGCGTCGCGCGGCATTTCTAGACACAAATTAGAGGCGAATCATACGCGTGGGCAATCAAAACATTCTTACTGCCAATGTAGATACGTTTGCTCGACATCTTGAGCTAGGACTCGGTTGATGAGTCGGGGCCAGGAAATGGTTGTTGAGCGTAAAGAAGGGAACGGGACGCCGCTGGCGCGGAAGTTTTTTTCACGTCTCAGGATTTCACACGTGGAGTATGCGCGTGATGTAGAGGGCGCGAGGGTGTTGTTGTCACCACGACGGTGCGTGAGGGAACAGGGACTTTGACAATCTCTTTCTTCAACTTGATACCTTGGAAATACCCTGAGAAGAGACTTTGATACCCCAGTAAATGGCACCCAAAGCTTCTGCTCTAAGTCCGGTTGATCCGTCAACTGTCGAGAATGGGGAAAAACAGCAAGACGCGCCCTGGATTTTGCGCAAGATCGTGGGAGTATGACTTGCTTTCCGGAGCTTCGCGATTTTCTCTGAACTGTGATAAAGACCATGAGTGGACGATTGGTATTATCCACTCTCCAATCGGTGCGGGCTACTGGGAACTCTCTGTATTGCTTATCGCCCGTAAGCTCTTCCTCGGCGAGGCTGCTGTGATGCTGAACTGCGCAGTGGGGTGACTCCTCAATCATGATATTGCCTTGTATTCGTGTACGAGATGTCGTCATGCATGCTGTTGTGGCAGCTACAGGAGGCACGGCAGCTGTTGCGACTCCACTGCTTCATGTTGTGGGAGATTCAATTGTACACGCTGGATTGGATTGCATCGCTACTGAAGTTGCAACAATCGGCACCTACCACATCGCTGCTCATGTACGTCTACCAGTTTTATATCTTTTCCTTTGTATTGAAATGGTTCTATAGGGGATGAACGAGATGCTCGCCGAGAAGATTGGTAATCAGTTTCCACACCGCTCCCAGAAGCTCGAAACAACGGCAATCATGAGCATCCTCATTACCCTGAAGCACAAGCATACCATGGACGACGCAGCGCTCGGATTCTATCGCTCATCTACCCATTCTGACACCAATCTCTTGTCTGATGTTGCCGATTATCTCTCTATACAAAAGGGCTGGTATGGATTTCAGACCCCTTTCCAGGGATGCCACGCTAACGCCGCCACCTCTAGGTTCAGTCCTTATCTATTTGCTTCCAAAAGACGGCCCGTCATCCCTCGTGCGATGCGGCCTGATGTTGTGTTTTGTCATGTCAGTAGTTCATGTCATTTAGGATTGCTTCAATCCTTACACCTCCGAAGGGACCATTTCTCGAGGGAGATTATCGAGTTGCAGAAACCCTTCTATCGAACTCTGCCTCTGTACTCGATCTCGCCCCGCCACCGCCTCCGCCAGTCCCACAGCCCAATAAATCCTTCCTGAACCTACCACTTCTAGGGAAGAATTCTCCGAACAGCTCTCGCACTCCTTCCCGCACTCCTTCCCCGGCCCCTGAGGGTGTAGCCCTTCCGCCGCTCGAACTTCCACCACGTCGGTTGCTCGTGTGCCTGGTTGGTATCAAGCCGCACCGAGCGCTCTGGGCGACGTCTGCCCGCCCAGGAGAATCCATCTTCCATTACTTGCTGCTCGATGGAGTGCCTGCAATTGTGCTCCCCGCACTTCCAGGCTGCCCCTTGCTCGCGTGGGATACCCTGACTCTGACAGACATGTACAAGAAAGTGGTTGACGGAGCGGTCGTGCCTGAAAAGTGGCAAGGGATCGTCAGCATCTTGTTCGAATATCTGTGTTTGTGCGTCGACTGGGATAGGCTCCTTGTTCCCACGACAACTGCAAACGGGAACGCGGAACCGACGATGGACCTGAAGCAGAGCGCCCTGCGAAGCGCTATCGATCTGCTCGTTGAGGGTGCAGTGAGGAGTGTCGAGTATAAGGACGTGAAGAAGAATGTGGATATAGATCGGGCGGGTATTGTCATGTTCCGTATGCCATAGACACCATGCACCATCTAGCACGAACACACAGTATACTTGAGACTGACATTGTTCTACAAGATGTTGATATGAATACGCCCTGGAATGTGCCTACGGCTTCTTCACCACCTTGGGTGGTTTAGGCTTCTCAAACAACCTGCTAGGCACGCCCTGCCCCTCGTCCTTCCTCCTCGCCCGCTGCATCTCCAGCAGTTTCTTGATAACCCCTTCATCGCTCATCCCCTGCCCTTGGCTTCCTGGTCGGGCGCTCTGCAGCCGATTCCTGTCAGCATCCGCCTCGCCCACTTGATGCCTCCCCCATAGTGCCCAGAGGGAGATAATCTCCTGTACAATCTGCGCTACGGTGCCATAGGAGACGTTTAGCGAGGCGAGGAAGTCGACTGGATTCGGCAAGGGGTCGGAGGGCGCTTTAGAACGGGTAGCATAGCCTCGTGCGGGAGCATCGGTCTGGTCAATACGGGCACGGGCATCGTCATCGAGCACGAGGGTGAGGAATATCGCGGCGATAGCGATAAGGTGCGGGTGATAGAGGAGACAGAAGTCACCCCGAAGAGTGTCGTTTACGATGTGCCTATCGACTAATCAGCCATCCATCCTATCAGTTAAACATGATGCAACGCACCAAGCCTGGCTCCGAGCATTCTCTTCAAACTGCAGTGTTCCCTTCCCCGTGCTCCAGAATCTTCTCGCATCAACAAGCCCCTCTCCAGCTTCACCCTCCTCACTCTCCCCCCCGCTGCGGGAAGCGCTCGACTCCCCACACAGCTGCATCAACGTACGATATGGATGATGCATGATCAGGTGGAAATCGAGGTCTTCAAGCAGGTAGAATTCCATCTCCGCGATGGACTGAGGGTCAGGCATCGTTATCTGAAGGCCGTAGTCTAGAGCAGAGGATGAGTAACTGCACAATGACCCTGAAGGGTAAAGACACACCCTGTTGATACATATTCTTCGTCTCTGTCGCAATAGGTTTGAAATGGAGCGGTACTTCCTCTATCTTTGTTGCCACGTATAGGCAGGTAGGAACGACGACATAAGGATCGGTCTCGCAGAAGTTGTTCTTGAGATAATAGCGCTTGAAGTATACGATAGCTGTTGCGACGACCTGCGCACGGATGCCTAAGCGCTTTCCCAGTCGGGCGATCACTATTTCGCATAATGAGACTCATGATATAGTAGGTCGTGTATTACACGCACTATTCGCGAAAAATATACTAATGACCGCAAGCTCCTCGGCCGTCGCATACTTGAGGTCATCTTCACGCGACTGCCCGAGGGAAATACGGTCTATGATCCAATGATTGCTGCAAGAAGTTAGATGATATCAGCCAGAAAGGGGACGAACATACTAGTGGGAAGATGCCCAGAAATTTGAGGTCATCTACGCATGCTGCGTGAAGCAGGGAAGGCGGCAAAGCTGAACTAAGCGCCAGCAGAGGGTTGCCCAAGACGGCACGTGATGACAACACGGTCCCCACGATTGTGCGTGCGAAAAAATCTATTCTCAAATAAACACTAGATGATACAGTAATAGGCGCAGATGTTGGGATCTCCCCGATCAGAGGCTCGTCTCGATCTTCATAGATAGCCGCCCATGGTCGGAGCCTTCCGAAACCGGAGATTACCCCAATATAGACTCAACCGACATTGACCTTGTCTCTTCTCATCGAAGGATTACATCGCACCGTCCGCCTCCGATGCCAATCTCGGATACCGCCTGTTACGTTCTCCCAATTGTGGAGATCGACGCGTACATTTCATCACCCGGCGTTTCCCACGGTCAGACAGACCTCATCACCAACCCTCTTCGTTTTCAACGCCCGTTCCATAGCCAAGAACGCCTTCAAGCTCACATCCAATCGGGAGATCTCGTCATCCACCGCTTCTTTCGCTTTCTTCCCCGCTGATTTGCCGTCCGTGCCGGAGGATAGGACGTCTTCTGGCCAAAGGGATTCGGGAACAGCAGCAGCAGTGAGCTTTTGACGAGCGACGAGGAGGTCGGCGTGGTATGCCTCGAGCACTTCGGTGTAGAGGTCGTACACGCATGTAGCACATCCGCTCATGCAACATTCTAGCACCAAAAATGAGGAGGAGTTGGTTGGAGTTAGCTATCAAGGGTGCTCACCATCGCTCGCTGGAGGCATCGGCATCTCCGGCAACTCAATCCCCTTCAACACCCTCTTCGATTTCCCATCCACCCTTGTTGACAAAGGAGCGGACGTCATTTCCGCAGGTATCACCTCTTTCATGAACGGAACTTCCCCAGGTTTTGGAGTTTCCTGGAAGGACGTGAACACCGGCTGTGAAGCAAGGGAGATGTAGGTATTCGGGTGATTATTTGAGAGCAACTGCGGGTAAGCGCCAAGGTTTATCCCACCACGCCGACGGCGAACAGCGCCTGGTGGTTTGGGAGGCATAAGAATCGGGAGCGCAGAGGTTGTGCTTGTGCTTTGTAATCGTGCCGCGAGGGCAATGCTTCTTCGAACAGTAGATATACGTGCATCGTGAATTGTGCAAAGGTATCGTACTGAGGGTAGCTGTATCATAAATTCATATGACCGCCAATCTAGAGAACCGTTGTTGTTGACGAAGAGAACAGAAAAAAATTCATGGAAAAGGCCCGTACTGGAGTATATGACGTCGTTAGTCAGGGTTGTGGTAGTTGCGAGAACATGTCCGTATATCGCCGAAGGTCCGCGGGGTTACCAACCGCGCTCTGATTTGGAGCATCCTTCAGAAATCATTAGACTCGCTGGCGAATCTAAAGTCGACTTTCAAATACAGAAGGACAGAGAAAACAGTATCCCTTACTCACTCGATGCTGAGACGGCAAGTCAGGGAACGACGCACTTCCAGGAATTGGGCTCCCTGACACAACTCCAGGTTTTCCAAGTCCTTGGATGATCTAGGCTCCTCAGTTCCTGAGTACGATATTCCATTCCCCTGCTATCCAGTGTCAATACTAGAGGTATGCAACATCGACTGGAGAATTTACGCTCGGCGTAGGGAATCTGACCAAATGTGGCGTACAACGTGGCTGGTCACGGTCCACCAACCCCCTTATCCTTCAGACACCCCGCCGGCCTGCCTCGGCTCCGTCATTCACTTCAGCATCGCGCCCGGTTGGAACGGTCTCCTACTTCGGTCTAGCGGTTCCTGGTAATGTCGTAATGAGTCTAACTCCCGCCGGCATGGACAGTACAGTCGTATGATTGTGGACACGTGCTTGGGACGTTACTTCTCGGTGGATGCCATACCGCGAATTCGGGATTCCTTGAGCATCCCCATGGTGCGGTTATGAGCTCATGTAACTGTCTAGTATTCCGGGAATCCGATTGTGGCAGGCTGCAACAGACAGGCGATGCGAGATCAGAGACTGCGCCGCGGTATAGTGGACGGAAGCGAATACATTACGATCACGTGAAGATTTGTATCTCTTATTCGACCAGCCATCTCTTCAGCCGCAATGTCGAGGGGAAGACAATTACGTTGAGTCTCAAGCGAAAAGTCGGAATCATGCAAGCCGCTATAGATTCCTGGATGAAGATGCTGACTGGAGGACCAATCAAAACCGGGAAATCCGATGATGTTATTACCGGGCTGTCCGAGACGACAAGCCATCCCAGCCTAGTCACTATACTCACCATCGCTCCAATCCTCGTTCTCTCCCAGGATCCGCCCCCTCTGCTAGCCCTTCATATAGCTCATCCCCGCGGTAATCTCTAATGTCAGGCTGCCGCAACCCACCGTCTATCGTTCACCAGCCAGACTCAATCTCGTCGGCTTTCCCACAATGCGCTCTCGCTCCTCTTCCCTCGAGTCGCTCATCTGCGCACTCTGCCTCTCAACAGTCGCTGTCAACGCTCTCCCTACCTTCCACCTCTGGCAACGTGATTCCAGCCCCGAAATCGTCGCTCGTGCACACGTCCCCGACCCCCGTGTCCTGAACCTCGAGACAGTCGTAATCGAAGTCTCCGTAACCGACTCCTTCCAATCGCAGGACATCCCACCCTCCTTCGTCCGCCCTTCTCGCCGACGGTCGAAAGGACTCGACGGTCTTCCATCACGTCTCGTCGACCAAGCCGACGAACTCGATTTCGGGCCAGACACCTCCACCTTCTCCCCCGATTTCCACGAGGTCGGTGACGAGCAGCCAGACCAGTTCTGGGAGGTGATGCAGGCCCTCAAGGCTGCTTCTCAAGATACGTACAACGCGATGTTCGACGGGGTCAATGGGTTCTCTCGACTAAGGAAGATCCTTCCTTTCACAAAGGCAACAAAGGGTCGCCTTGGGAGGCGAACGAAATGAAGTCTTCTTGCCAAGGTGAGACAGACGATCTCCGCCGTCGCCCTGCTCCTATCGATGACTCAAGACCCCGAAATTACTTTCTCAGCCAACACCTTAATAGCTCTGTCATTATGGGTTGCGCCTGGTTAGCACGCGCCACGTACAAAGATAGATGGCTTCTCTGGGATACGGATTGTGTCGTTTGTATCAATTTCTTTCTGCTCGACTGGATAAGCTGGTATTTTACATTCGAAAATGTAGCTATGCTGTATTTCTCCCTTCTATTGTGGAAATTCCCGTCAATGGTATTGTGCACACTGTACCCCACGATGTCTCGTGTTCTGTAGAGGTTTCACCCGTCTGATCGGGTCTATAGCATATCAATTCTCGTTGATCCCTCTAAAGGAAAGGAGAAGATATCAGAACTATGGTAATCGGAAGAGAGCTTGTCCAACCTTCTCCCGCTCCATTAAGCATATCGTCTGAACGCCTTGTGCAAAGAAAGTCTTTTGTGCTGAAGCGCTTCGACCACCTAGCTGACACGTGATAGCCTTCCTGTCTCGGCAATGTCCAGCGGTTCCTTGGACTTTGGGCAGGAAAGCGTAGATAAGCACCGTATTCAACGCACCATACAGGATTTATAATAGCCACAACACGTTTCGACAGATCCTGAAAATAGTCTTCTTTTCCGAGAGGTTTCAAAGGAAGTATGCTGCTGTGGGAGATTTTAACGCTGCCCTTGAGCCAGTGCACGGTTCCAATATTATCGCGCACTGAATTAGAAAGTTGTCACATAATCTAGGCCTATGATGCACACAACGTCAGCGACTTTCGCTAAATTTTCCCGCGACGCACACACCTAGACCAATCTATATTTATAACAACACATTCCGTCCGCGAGCTGTTCCAGCCGGGTTGGACAGGAACTGGGAAGCCAGCAGAGCGAGACCACCCAAGCGTTGTGTGCACAAGCAGATACCATTTCCCATTTACGAAGAGCATCGACTTGTCAAGATGTATTTGAGCCAAGGGTGCTTGAGAATCTATTGTTTCCTTGGGAAACGCGCACGTGAGCCAGCGAAAGAAGCAGATTGATATCGCTGAAGTCCCTGCTTCCTGCCAAGCTCTGGACTCGAAGATATGAAGATAAGCGCTGCAACCCCGCATTTCGCATTACCAATTGTGCGGGGTTGATAATGAGTTTGCTCATCAGCGCAGTCGGGTAAAGTTGATATCAGAACAGGGGTAGGTTCGTTATCCTTCGTAGCGGAAGCCGGGAATAGACTTGCAGGGGCTGAGTGGAGGTCTAGCAAAAATTGCTCTTCCCTGTCAGTCGTACTTTCTAAACACGCAGGCGGAAACAGGACAACGGAGTGGTGAATCCGCAAATAGGATACCTCCATTCATTGCCGTTGAGGGGATGTCACTAAGGGTGTTGATAATTATCAGCGAGGGAAAATGGTGATAATGAGATTGCTCTCCTATCTCAGAACTTCTCGGCGAGCGTCACCTCACAGAACTCCTATTCTTCGATTTCCTTCTGTGGGTTTCCTGTCCCAAGGCTTCCCCCACGAGGAACGGATAAAGACACGGTTGAAGAGCGGTCAGACGACCGAGGAGCCCGCCAGCATCGAAGCGGTAATTTTGCCTGATCCATATTTACTTGTCTATCAAGATCGGACTGCAAGTAGTGGTCTGGCCTTGAGTGACCGAGTGGTTCGAGTGTAGAAACAAGTGTGACCGAAGGGGCGTGTCGACGCCAGCCAAGCACCGAGGCGCCTCTCACACGCCACCCGTAGTCCTCGTGCCTCCTTCTCCTCCTCCTCATAACCGTATCCCCTGCTATCCTTTTACCGTTCTGCGCAGTCTATTCTTTACGAATTCGTCGCCGTATCGTTCAGAGATCAGAGGCCGATCAATAGATCAGGACCAAGGGACGTCACATCACGGCGGTGCAAGATTTTGTCGTTGGTCGGGAGCGTCGATTACGCGTGCGGAACGTCGCCTGCATCCGTACCACCGTCGCTCGTCGTTGGCAGCTTCCTTCCACCTGCTTTTTCCCTCGTCGTCGCCATCCATTATCCTACCACCGACAGCGTCGGCCCACCAGCAAGGCAAAGGCGTATAGGCAACATCTGCCACTCTTCACAGCTCAGCACTCCGCGGACACTCAGCCCAGCAAGAACATTCACCGCTCCGCGGTCGATCACTCTGTCAAATCTCGTCACTGGACTGAATAGATATCCAACAAGTTCTTTAAACCCACACCGTACGTCCCTCGCATCTTGCACTGCTCTACCCCACATCCCCATGGCTGACTCAATGAATTGGCAGGTTGAGCTCTCCGACTTGCCCCCTCTCCCGCCCTCTCCACCACCCTCACCCGACCTTCGTCCAGTCATGTGCGACTCAGCGCAACCAACCCCAGCACCCGTTGAACCCTCAGTTGCAGAAATTCCCGCTCCTGCAGCGATAGTACCTCCCGCTCTAGCCCCTCAGCCTGAGCCCCCGCAACCCCAGAGTCAGATCACCCTGCTTCTCCTGAGCGGGTCGAGGAAGACGTTCTCATTCCCTCCAGAGACGACAGTCGGACGGGTTAAAGAGCTCGTATGGGGTAGCTGGCCAGTAGGTGCGTACCACCAACCCCCGTCTCTTGCAATTCACTGATGGATGCGCCTATGGTTGATGACACCAGAATGGAGAGACGAGCAAGTCCCACCCTCACCGAGCTATTTCAGACTGCTCCATCTGGGGAGGATGCTGCAGGACGACTCTACGCTAGCCTGTCCGTGCCCTCTCCTCCCACCTTCCGCAGTCTCCTGACATTCCTCTGCTTTCTCCTCCCACTGCTATTCTCTGCCTAACAGCAAACAACCTTCTCCCCCTCCCTTCTGGCAGCTCCGTCCCACCGCCAATAGTCCACTTAAGCATCAAGTCCTTCGTCCCGCCCGTCGACTCCTCCAAAGCCTCGAAGAAGCATAAGAAGACGGCAGGGAGCGTCGTAGGTGTTGGGGTGGGCGATGAGAGCCCGGACGAGGAAGGCGTAGGGTGTTGTGGGGGTTGTGTGGTAATGTGATGATTTTTGGACCACACCTTGAGGCTCTTGAGGTTCAGGCTGGGGTATGTGCGATCACAGCTCCCTATGGACTGCTAGCTGATAATCCCAAGATATGTTTTCCCTGCCTCGGAAGCCGCTTTATACCCATCCATCCCCACACACTCTTTCATCTCTATCGTACAATCACTAACGACTCACCTAACGTTCACGATTCCCTGTAGCACTAGCACCGCTACCCATCCCTTTTTCAGTTTAGGCTCGGTTGATCTTGCTCCGTTGGAAGGCGGCGTTGAATAGCTGGCGACTGGGATGGACGCGATTATGTGCTTCCTTGTAGTATAGATACTCGACTTATGAATGACTTCACACCTGTTATAAACTTATCCCGGCCCACGAGATGAAGGGGACAAGAAACGCATTTGAGTCATGATCGCATACGCATAAATTGCATAACACTCGCAAGGTAGCGCATACAGTAAATGGGTAATTTTGGCTCGAAGTCTCCTCAGCAATACACCCCAGCCCAGCCCCTGCTCAAACTCACAAAACCGCTCAGAACGTCTTCGGCCTGACAGCGACGAACTTTGAGCGAGACTTGGTAACACGGTGCGGGAGTGGGAAACGGAGGCCTGGCTCGAGCAGCTGGCGGATGTAGGGACGCTTCACATCTGCGGTCTTCTCGATTTCCTGCACGCGGAGGATCTGCACACCCAGTCAGCATGGTTCTACCGGATGTTCGGTAGACGGGTACGTACGTGAACGGAACGGAAACGGGCACGATGGCGTGCTGCCATGTCCTGGTACATGCTGGCCACGGCCTCTGCACGGGACAGGGCACGGAACTCCTTGTACATGTTGTGTGTGCCCGAACGGGAGTCGTACCGCAACCAAATACCGAAGTTCTTTACCTTGAGCGGCTTGCGCTCGGAGATCTGGGAGCGAGTGTTAGTTACAAAGTGCACGGAAAGGGGATGGGCTGCGTCAGGAGAGGATGGTAGGATGGCTTGCGATCCTCTTGGCCTGCGACGGCCAGGTAACGACCTTTCGCCCAACCTCCTGACTCCCACCGCCTCCGCAATTGAAGCCAATACCTCCTCCCTCCCAACGCAGCCCAGTGAATGAATGTAGACTCACAGCATTGACAGCGACGATCTCACCGTTCGCCTTCTTGACCTTCTTCAGCTTTCGAAGGAAGTACCAGAACCTGCTCTTCGCGACAACATCGTTCGGCGCGAATATGCGCATCCTGAACAGACGGGGGGTGGGGTCCGCATCGGTGGGCAGATGGCGGCCCAGCACTTGGTATTCGTTGATGATAGGCATTGCTGGTTGTCGGGAAGGGTCTGGTGCAGCCAGGTCAGCGGTGTTCAATCCAGCGGATGAAGGGGCGACAAGACACAGTTCAACACACTGGGTGATGCGGACACTCTCCAGTGGTCGAACGGCGTCGTCGATGAAGGAGTTCAAAGGGGGTGTTACTCACTGTTGTCGATGCCGACGCTGACGGTGAGGACGATGAGCTCGAAAGTATTTGTCAATTCTTCGTTGAGGGAGTGCACCGCCACTGGGAAAACATCCGCTCAAAAAGTCTCGTGCTTCTTTAGGATTTTGTTTCCGCGAGCGTGCCTCTTGTAGCAACCTCGACGACTCAGAGAACCGCAATATTGTTTCATTATTATCTGTCAACCTTCGAATTACCAAGCTTGCAATAATTTGTCTTTCGTTTTTATCATCACGCCGCTCGATACAGTTGAGCCATAGACTTGGTCACCTTCGCCGTCCTCCTCGTTTCCCGGTCTTCAACCTCGCATTGCCTAATTCCATCTTCTCCTTCGGCATCCAGTTATCCTTTCAATAGCTCGCAATCTTGAAGGGAACAACTGATCGACGCTCGTACTCAACATCAGTTCCAGTCGCTCTATCGTAACCTGTACTTCGTGGCCGCCCCATCCAGGGATGATTGAGCACTTCGGTCAAAGTTGCCCCCAGTGCCGGATTGGTTACGAGCATTCGCGTAAGGAGGTTCTCCCATTCTAGGAAAATGTCAGGAAGGAACACTTAAAGTGATAGAGGTGCGCTCATCTTGACTAAGCCAATTCGGGTACTCGACGACGCCTCGTTTTCTCTTAGCATGTAGAGCATGTATGCCACCAGTCTAGGAGACGGCTGATCTGAAGTTCTCCAAAAGCCGGAATCTTCAGCTCGGATCTAGTGCTTGGATCTGGCTTGGACTTAAGTTGAATATCTCCACAAGTGAACTTCGTTATACCGCTGCATTTGCTTCGCAACGGATCTCCTATTAGATCCAGTCCAGACTGCGTGTCTGCCCACGCATCAGGGCCACGATATATGGGATTGTGCAGCGGTCCAATGTTTGAAGGTTTTGGGAAGATTCAGTATCACCCCGCTGCTCAAGCAATGTTCTGAACTCACAATGGGAGGCGAACTATTCAGGGATACATCGAGGGCGCAGACGAAAAGGTCACCAGCCATACACGTGTAACACAATGCATTGATACGATGATACTGATACTGCGTAGCTTTTGCTTTATGATCAATGATTACAAGGATGGTGGCATCGCAGCGAGAATGAAAAATGATACTTTTTTGGGTCCGTTGATGAAAATGGTCACAATCATGAGTGGATGGGACATGCCGGACATTGATGATTGGTTTTTGACTGAGATGATTTGAAACGGGAATGGATGATTGGGGTAGTGCAGATTGTTGGGAATCGATGAGGTGACGCGAGCTTGAGAAAGACGAAATGGCGGTGAAACAATACAGAACGAGAGCCGCGATAGACGAACGTGCACGAGAGACAGAATCATAGTCTTGAAGAACCGAAAAAGTTCTCTTATGTGGATGAGCACGCTAATAGATTCAAGCGTCAACCTGCGAAGGTGATTTGTCATCCTTGACGGCGATGGGCCTGGGAGCGGAGATCGCTCCATGATATCCACCGCTCGTCTTGACGATGTGGTCCATAGAAGACCCGGGCATTATGGCCGACATTTCAGACCCGATGATTTTGTCAGATAAGTGGGCAGCAGCAGGCGCGGAAGGCATGTTGATAGTGGCTCCGACGCCGCGCGCCGGAGTGCGAGGACGCTGGGCGGGCATGCCCTGGCTCATTATTTGTGCGGAGGATTGATCGACATTGATTTTGTTGTCAGCTGCACCTGGGAAACCCGGGGCGGTCAAGATGGCTGGAGAAACGGGCTGAGAAGAAGCCTGAGAAGACGGCACAGATGACTGAGGAGTGAGCATGTGGCTGGGGGCCGCGCTGTTGTTGTGATGAATGCCCGCATCGTGCTTGGGTTCGACGACAAGCGGAACGGTCTTCGTGCCAAGGAGTTGCGCGGCCAAAGCTTCGTTAAGCTTCTGGCTCTGGTGGGCATTGTCCTCGAACGCTTCAGGGATGGCGGGGAGCGACGAGAGGAACGACTGGGGCGTGTAGACAGTACCGGACGCCAAGCGTCCGTTCTGAGGAGAGCAGGGAGATGGAGGAGGGGCGCGAACAACTGAGCTGGTAGGCGTGCCAGTCATATTCGAATTCATGTTGGTGTTGGCCGAAGTGCCGTGGGAAGACGTACGAAAGTCATTTGGGGTATTGTGGGTCTGCTTGCCGTTTGGGGAGGACAACTTCGGAGCATTCGGATTGCGGATAGAGACAGGCGATTGAAGTTGAGCAGGAGTGAACAAGGCGGGTCCGTACAGATCCTGGCGGCCAAGAACATTCAGCGCATTAGTGTCAAGGTTACCGAGGCCGTTGCGGCTATTGAGAGGGAGGGTGTTGGAAAGCCCGAGTTGCGAGTTCAAGCTGAGATGAGGGTCAGGGAAAGCACATCCTGTAGCTGCTGCAAGACCTACTTCAACGACTGCATCAGATTGGCAAGCCCAGCCGCGTTTTGCAAGTTCGCAACACCTTGAAGCCCATTTAGCGTATTCAAGTTCTGTAGGCCACGAAGTCCAACCAAGTCGTTCACACCGAAGGCGGGGATGTTGCTGACGTCGTTCATGCTGATCCAGTGATCGGTGCCAAGTCCCGGCCGGTTGATCTGCTGCTGCTGTTGTTGCTGAGGAACGGGTTGCTGGATCCCCATCGTACCGAGACCCATGTTGAAGAACGCCAGATTGGGCTGAGCCCTAGATGCACTGGGGAGGTCTACGCCAACCCAACCAGCGTCATTGAGGCGTCCTTCTTCGCCATATCCGGGAAAGACGGATTTCGGGCGATTGCTCTTTAGGAGAATCGATTCAGCTTAGAACATCAAATGGCCTATTCGGCTTACACCCACACGACGCCATGCACCAGCTTCGGCAAATCGAACGCTCAGAGGGGTTTCGGATCCGCGAACATAAGCGCCATCGAGTTTGTCGATCATTTCCTCAGCAGTGTCATGATCTTTCAATCTGTGCCACAACCGAGGTTAGCGACTGCAATCCGGTACGCAGGCTAGATGGGCGAACCTGATAAGAGCGACCTTCCATTTCACATCCTTAGTCTGCTCAGGAGATATGTTCTCCTTTCCGGTTATCTCACGGTCGATGGTCGGCCACACAACAGTACCATCGTTCATTTCATCTCCGAGGCGGAAAGAAATGACGAAGTGGGGAACGAACAGCAGCTCAAGGGTCTGTCGATGAAATAAGATACAAGTCTCAGTTGCGAAACAGTGCACTTACATGTTGATCAGTGTTCTTAGCCAGGCCACGGACGTGCAAGCTCGACGCGTCATCACGCGCACCAACAAAGGGAAGAAGAAGCTGATCAGCAAGCAAAGGATTGGGAACCTTGCTGGTCTATATGCGGCACCAGATGAGTTTGTGCCTAATCGCGGAAGCAGAGAAGACAGACCTTGGCGAAGGAAGCTTGATACCTAGAGCGATGGAGGGCAACGATGCACCTCCGAGCATCCTCAAGAGTCTCGAACCTTGAGGAATATACGTGAACATCGAAACAAAGTAGATAGACGCGCATATACTTACAGAACAAAGCCGTACGACCCAGGGACGGGGGCGTCCTCGCGATGGAAGACGCGGACAGAGAGTACTTTACCGTAAGGAGAGCAGAGGCGGAATAATGCCTCATCAGGCGTATGCAGAGGAAGGTTGTTGACATACACATTGGTGGTGCTATATGTGTGTCAGGAGGGTGCATATACTCAGCTCAGGACGTACTTTTTGGGATTGAACAGCGGATCGTTAGGCGGCTTCGACTGTGGGGTGGCTATATGCCTGTGTTAGTACCCACCTACACGAGAGTGAGAGGACTTACTCTGGCCTGTGGCTGAGTTAGGCAAGTTCACAGTAGTGCGCTGCACAGTCGAGGGAGGAGTCGGAAGCCCGAGAGCACGCTGCAACTGCTGGGTAGTAGACAGACTCTGGGGGGTGTTGAGCAGAGCAGCGAGGTTGGCAGCCGAGGAGGAGGGTGTGATAGGGGTAGGAGGAACTCCTCCTCCCATCACTTTCCTCGTCATCCCCATACCGATAGCCGCGGCAGACTGGGTAGGAAGCATATTGTAGCGGAGGAGTGTAGCTGATGGTGAAGCTGCGGACGTGTGTTGGAGTGAGGTGTCCACACAGTGTCTTGCGCTGAGAGTTTGTCGATGATCCTTTGGGAGTGAGATATGGAGAGGGGATGGAAAGAGATGGAGAGCAAAGTTGGCATACAACGATGATCTTTATATATCCATGAGAAGGGGGTGTACGGTACGACAGGTGATCCAGAGCAGTCCGATCCGGACATCAAGTGTACCAAAGCGGACATTGAAATCGACAGGGAGTCACGAGTCCGAGTAGCAAGAGCGGAAATACGAAGGCTCAAAGGCAAGTGCGATCGAGGCTCAGGGATGTGGCATAGACGCAGTGAAGTGACTGGGAGTGTCTTGTGCAAAAAGCCGCCAGAATCTGCCTCCGGGTAGGGAGATCTCTAGAAGCTGATCCTCGTCATCGACCCCTAGGCAGCAGCATGATAGAGACAAGTCAAGAGGTTCAGGTCAAGAAGGAGCGACCACGGCGATGGGTTAGCAAGGGATCGCGATGTGAAGAGCAGAGGGAGTGATCGAGGGCAGAAAAGAGTTATGAGGGGCAGATACTGACCCTTGTCCTGAATCACATCTCCCACCTCGGCTATTCCGGCAAAGGTCCGGTCAGGGGTATGAATCGACAAAGAGATGTGCCTCTACTAGTAGAGTTGCGTTAGCTGTTTGCTGCTCGGAATGAATAGCGGCTCCGAGCACCACCGGGAAGACCACCGTTGATGGGAAGTGAGAACTGCGCAACCGGACGCGCCATTCCGCCGGCTGCGTGAGGAGGAGTATAGATCTCGGAGACGAGGGTAAGCCGCGTGTGATAGCAAGAGGAGGGCCCACAAGGGGATGAGGCGAGACTCGTGTGGAGCGATGGAGGACGACAGAGTAAGCCAGCGGTTGACGGACGAGGGGTATTCAGCATACGTCAGTCGGAGGCGTTGAGAGCGAGGATTTCAAGGCATATCACAGCAAGCACGCCGTCAGGGCCACACCCATCGTGCCTGTCGCCGTATTTGGGACTAGCTATTTCCCGTCTTTGTGACCAGAGCTGCCTTCTGGCGTAAGTGAGGAGTGTGAAGAGTGCCACAGAAATGAAACCCTGAACTCTCCAGAGTGTCGTTCGCCTTATTCTGGAAGCCATTTCCCCTGGCTTCGACCGAGTATCTCCGGACACTTCTCTGCGTGATTGTCCAGACGCTAGGCAGAGCGCGAAAGAAGCAAGCTTGGCTTGTGATAGAACAATCACCTACTCAACGTGGCTGCATGAGCGCCTTTTTCGGTGCTCGGTGGTGTGCTTCTTTTCGTCGGAGGCTCAAAACGGAAACATACTCACGTGCCTCTGACGCCACGGGGCTCACGTAAGCCGACCCCCAAACTCGGTCTGCGCATCCGCCCGTCACCTGCAAGCCTTGCAGGTACGACCACCGTGTCCTCCCCCCTCTACTCTTAATATCACTCTTCACACTGCTCAGCAGCTTGATAGGACGCACAAGATGTCCTATCGCATTGAGCCGAAGTACTACGAGTTTTACCGGTCTGCTTCGTACGCATATCTTGTTTATCGGACGAGGAACGTTGCTAACTCGCCGGCACTCGGGCACGAATAGGATCGGCCGCGCTCTGATGGACTCGCTGGACGAGCTCATACAAGATGGACTAATCACTCCTCAGCTGGCGTTCAAGGTACTCATGCAGGTGTGTGATACTCGTAGATCGTGCCCCGGACGGATCTCAGCTTGGTGCAGTTCGATCGTGCGACGACCGAGACGTTGAACAGGCACGTCAAGTTCAAGACCTCTCTCAAGGTTCGTCTCGCCCCTATCACTTGGTCTGCATTAGTGAGCCAACTTTCTCATCCAGGGTCACCTGAGCACCTACCGTTTGTGCGACGACGTGTGGACGTTCTTTGTCAAGAACCCGAGCTTCAAGATCGAGGGCGGCGAGCTTGTTACCGCAGACAAGGTCAAGATTATCGCTGTCAAGTCAGAACAGGCAACAGCGGCTGAGGCGAAGACAAAGCCGAACCAGGGATAGTGGGTACGTCCGCCTATGACGGTTTTGAAGAAGATAGGGCTGATGCGCGAAGCAGACGGAGATGTATGCGCCCGAAACGAGACTCGTCTCTTTATGCATGCATGCATCTCCTCTGTACACATCGATATGCTCGATATGGATGTCACTGCTCATTTGTTCTGCTCTGCTTTTCCTTCCCGGCGATTGCCTCTTTACCGACGTAGTTCCCAGAGACCAACATCATATACGCACACACAACTGATATAGATGCTATCAGCCTGTACTATTAGTAGCCGGTATGCATATGTATACTAATTCCATTCACTCATCCTGTAAATTTCGTTCATATCCCTTCCTGTTGATCCGATGACGGGGTGATATCAAGAATGCGGGGATGAAGAGATCATTATTACAATCAACGCCGAGGAACGGACAACCTCATTATCCACTCCCCAGAGACACACCGCCCTCATCTCTTCCACATCCCAGGGAACACCTAAGTCGTCTTCATAAAATTCTGCTGTCTGATCCTCTCTCTACTCTCTTTCCTCATCTTTTTTCTCTGCGCCGTCAGCTCCTCCTCATCTTTCAGAATCCTCCGTCTCTCTCTCTCCTTCTCGTCCAGTTCCTCTGCGCCATCCTCCGTCTTATGTGGGGCTACTCTTCCCTTGCCCTTCCCTTTCGCTCCGGCTTTGGCAGGTTCGTCTAAGAGGGTCCAGAGCCATGCCGGGTAGTCGGTGTCGGGCATAGCGATTACCGGAGGGGCGTCTTTAAGGTATTGGATTCCCGTTAACACGGTACCGGGAGGACAAGAGGATGTTGCTGTTCAGTCACCATATACGTGAAGCTCTATCTAGGTATGGAGGAAAGTAGGGACGCACGAGGAGGCTTGGAAGGGACTTTGACTGCCATACCTCGCCGTGCGTGTCGCGTACAGACGAGCGAGCCATTTCGTAGGAAGAGCGCTGAGCGCGAGGTTCCAATCCAGAGAGAGGTCATGTTATGGGTGGGTGTGTATACGGCGTCCCTCGATGAATCAGTCGTTGAAATTGTCGGCTGCTCGAAAATGCAAGAAGGCTTATGCATAGCCACTAGGAGACTCGGCTCCGAATTGGTGCATCTCTCTCGGGCTCCGTCTCTCAACCTTCCTCGTATGCTTACTCTGGTACAACGCTGCTTGACATGTTTCATATTGCTAAATGAAGATTATTGATAAACACGGAACGAGACACTGTCAGTCACCATCTTTAACGTCGCATAATCCGGATCAATCTCCGGCGTCTCCTTTCGAATTTCTTGACTGTCACTTGCGCAGACGTGGGAATGCAAAAGGATAACAACAATACAGCTCCTCTACACATTGCACGCTGCTTATGACCTCTAAAGGATCAAATCGGTACACTATTCCCTTCTGCTGCCTCTCAATTCTGCGTTTGCTGGCGTTGCGTCATAGAAGGCCACGACTCAAGGTTGAGCACCACAAACGGTAGGGCACATCTTCTGCAAGTACGTCTTCCACTTGTTATCCTTGCATTTGAGGGCGAATTTCTTGCATTCGGGGCCATCGACTCTGGAGATCGGGCCGCCCGGCGCCGGCACAGCGGAAACCAGCGCCGCGAGGAGTGTCAAGGCCAAGAATGAGGTGAAGACTGTCGTGCTCACGTCAGTATCTCCATCGATCAAGACAATGTTTCTACTTACAGCGCATGATTGAGGGATGTCTTGAGATAGAGATGGGAAGGTGTACGGTGTATAGGGACGGCTGGTCGTTGAAAAGGTTGCGAGGTGGTGAAGGATCGGATGTTTGGCGAGTGAGGTTGTGCGTCCAGCGCTATGGAGTACAACAGTAGTTCTGAAGGCTTTTATCTGGTTTCCACCGCGAAGAAGGTTCTCCGGAGGAGATTGAAGTCGTACGACGAGACTCTGTTCATCAATAACTGCGCTGTAAGAGCATGGACACGACATCATGGATCTGTTGGGAGTTGGACAACCAACACGTATCAAGCGATATTTACGTGAACATTGCATATGGAAGGACAATCATTTGTCATAATCAAATACAACGCATGATTAGTTGCAATCCGTGAGAAAAGTAGGTTGCAATTCAAATGTGACTGCGCCGGTTTTGTGAAACACCTGATAATGGTTGGAACGGAAATGCGGTGCGAGGAACCGTGCGATACCCTTAAATAATCGAACGCATCTCTCATCAGAGGGCTGGCCACTTGCTGCATGTCTTCCAAACCGACACCATTGTTGAATCTGGAACAAGACCTCCTTAGTCACTGTCTCTCTAACATCCCATTGTCCTTCACTTGGACAGTATTCTCAAACCCATGCCCGTCCTTGAGGGGAAATCGTGTGTGAAGAGTCTCAGTCGCTGAAAATGTTGTGGGATGCGGGAAAGATCATCTGCTTGATGGATAAGGAGACAACCGACAACATATCAGTATATACGTATGCAAGGAAGGAGGAACCGTCTTCGTCATATAATTGACTTCCCTGTGGGGTCGATCCGTGACAACTGTAGACGTGGTCATTCCGGTCGGAACGGGAATGCGATGCGCGAAGCCTCTGTTGACATGGCCTTTCACGTCATGCAACAACCCATTGAAGGAAGAATTTTCAGTCTTTCCATGTTTCACTTGGGATGTCAGGTCATTGATGGATAACGGTAGTGAGCTCTCCCCCCAGCGAAACTGTGTGATCATGAATGACCCAGAGACAAGTGAAGTAATACCCACTACCCAACTGCACCTGTCCTCTAATCTCTAGACTTCTTTCGATTTGAAATTGTCGAGTGTTCATCACATCGTGCAGATCATGATGAAGAGTGTTTCTGGGCAGCCTATGCCGTGCGTGCATCTGCGCCCCAGATCCGAGGAATCGATAGTACTTTCTCTGGTTATGGTTCAACTCGTACATATACTTTGTGCGAATGTGGGAAAGCAGCTTGATTGTCATCGCGGTCTGCACAATTTTGCATCTAATGAACGCACGAAGGCCTGAAATCCCAGGACGTGGCCTTCGCTCTCCCACATCATGACAACCTCAGACCAGATATGCACTGCCGTCTGGTGACTTTCTTGGGGGAGAAGGACATCTCATTTGTAATTGCAAGTTTTGCGACACATCTTCATCATCATGTCGATATAGATCGGGTCTTTACACCGAGACTTCATGTCCTTGCAGTTACTTCCCGTGTCAGAAGCTGGGACGGGCATGGGTGCCGCTGATGCAAGAGCGGAGAAGAGGGTGACCGCGAGCAGTGGGCTGAATACTGGTGTACTGGCATCAGTATTGCAGTCAACAAGAAAGACATGTTCGCTTACATCTCATAATGGAGCAGTTTCTCGGCGTATGGGAAAGACGTGCGCAAAGATTGTGGGCTCTTCGGAAGGGTCGGGGAGATCGATGGGCGACCAGCGCTATGAAATAACGAGAATCATTGTGCCCTGACTTTTAACCTTTCAGAAGATTTCATGTTGAGGAATCTGAGCGTTGTGAGGCCGTAGGAAGTTGTGTTGATGAAACAAATTAGCGCTGACACCAGGCGCCCGGGGAGTGAATGCAGGGGTTCTCCGACGGATCAGACATAGTTGTGACACTCTCACGAGAACTTTCCAGACGGAGCAGCGGCCATTTGTGAGTGAAAGTGCTGCAGGGTCTGCCGGTGTAGGGCAGGGACCGGACAGGTCATTGTCATGGAGGCTTGGAGATGCAATGCTAAGACCCTTTCAATGTTGCTTTCCTGCGTCTCGTAGGAAAGCAACAACGGTCGATCAAAACAGAAAGGATCTGATGTCTGTCGCCTATGTTCCCACGCCACAGAGAAATGATAAGCGGATCGCAGAGTCAACACGCATTAATTGGGTCCTTTGGCCAGACCATGCCAGACCCTTGCAGCCTGCCCTAAATCTAGTTCCTGACGCGTGGAAGGGTCTGGCAATTTGTGTTGTTCGTGCTTGTGTAAGTCCCGCGCTCGTGTCCATCATGCGGACTACTAGAGATTAATCAATACTGATGGAACTTCTTTCTATCGGTACTCGGTTACAATCACTACAGACTTGCAATCGAATTCTGGCGCCAGTTTTTATCCACATCTTGCTGCTCTACACTTAGACTGCGACTTTGCATACTGCTTTCTTACCATTGGTATTTCTCGAGAAAAATCCCGTTTTGCTACGCCTTCCTCTCTATAACGGCATTACTATGGAGCCGGACTGTTCAGAGAACACCAATCTATCTCGACGGTTGATACCTTCAGAGCCTTCAGATATCTGGTACCCCGTGGTAAATGGACCGAAAACTGGTATACCTCTGTCCATCAAGCACTCAACAAGGACAAGACGTTGTCTTACACTGCAGATTGGAAGAATGTCCCCGGGATCAAGACTGATGAAGAACGGTAGTATGGGGAAAGGGATATTCAGGGTGGTGAATGTATGAAGAATCTTGTTCTTGGTGGCTTCGGCGACCAGCGTTATCAAGTACAGCTCAACTATTGCGACTTTATCTACCTCCCAATGTGCCGCAAACTCAATCTAGAGAGCAGGCACTGTGGCAACAAAATACTGGTCGCATGAAACGAATGCTTGTGAGCATTGGATGGAAAGTCATCTGACTTCCCATTCATGACGTAAGCGATGCATATTGACGTTCATTTGTCGTAATGAGTTCCGAGATGGAGCAGTGCTTCCGAGAAAGCAATGTAGAAGCTGATGTGGCTGTCCGTTGTAAAGATGATGGAGTTGAAATGCGGTACTAGCGCTCTTTGGGGTCCTATGAGAAAGGAACGACACCGACAAGTAATCAAAAGAATATGTCTCACAGATAAGTTGGATTTGACTTGAGGTTGTCAATGACTGAGCGTCTGCGATTTTTCTGGACAGTTGACCATTGTCGCGATGCCCCCTTTTTTTCGTCTGGTTCTCACCAGTCACTTGCGCAGAATTCGTGTGGAGTATAACCGATCCATTCCTTGATTGATATCTCATACGCTATCTGTCCAGTCCTTCGCAAAACAGAGTTCCATCTTTGGCGGCGAACACTATTTCCCTCTCGCCCACCATAACACCCTCGAATCGTTGCAAATTGCTCAGTGGCAAGTTTGCGGGCAGTTCTTCCTCATGATGGCAGCATATTTGGGATCGTGACACCACGCCTTCTTTGCTTTGCAGTCGGGGGGATCTCCGTCGGGAACGGGCGTTGGTGCAGCAGAAACAAACGCGACAAAGACGGTTAAAGCGACCAATGGGCTGAAGACTAGCACATTCGGGTTCATGTGCCGCTCAATAAAGGACCAAAATATTACTTACATCGCATGTTGTGATAATGTCTCGGGAATCGAGAAAGGTTCGTGGGGAGCGGTGGTTGGGGAAAAAGAATGGCGTATGTCTGGAGCGGAGTATGTGGTTGGGGATGATGTTGGTGCGGCCAGCGCTATGGAGTAGAGCCGTTGCCATTGCGCTTGTTATATCCCTTTGGGCTACGAGAAAGGCTGACGGAGAAGATACTGCGGAATAAAGCACAGTGCTTGTGAAACACATAGCTGCACAGCCCGAGAGCTGGGACGATGGCGGTCCGAGAACCGATCAGAGATACTGACGTCGACACTTTATAAGCAATGACTCATATTTGTCACAATACCAATCGAAATGGCTTCAGAAGTTGCATTCTATGAGTCAAATCAGATGGTGATACGGCATCGCGCAGTTGACAAAGCACCGTTCGTGGTTGGATGTGGGAAGTACAGTGCAAGATCCCATTTCTCACGCCCCGCAGGTGCCGAACGCCGATGATCACGGCGCAGTGATACAGAGCTTTTCAAGTATCTGATGGATTTCCATGGTCCCTCAAACAGAAAAAATGATAGGCAGGTTGTTCGAAGGATCATGGGCCGAACAAGTCGGAGAATCGTCAAGGTAAAAGATATCCGGGAAGTACGTAATTGTCGGCTTTTACACTGAATTTTACGACCCTGGTTTCCCTGCCTGACGCATCCTCCCAAAACAATCAGTTAGTGCTCATTCCTCTACCTGTACCTGTGCTTGTAAATCCCAATAATTTTATACGTTTGACTTATCCATTAATGGAGCTGTTCGAAGGCCCTCTTTCGGACTTGGAAGAGACCGGCTCGGGTCAGGAGAGGGACTCCACAAAGGGCAAGAGCCACGCCATACGTGCAGAGAGTAAAGATGCAATTGATGTGTATCACCCTGTTGATGAACTCCCTGAAGATCCATCGCCACCTCCCTCTGACGTCGATGCTGAAGAGGAAGAAGAGGTGTTGGAGGAAAATGAAGAGCTCACAACCAAGCACGACGGCTGGGAAGATGACTCCACGCCCCGCAATGCGTTCGTCGGCGGTGGTGCGAACTCAAAGGCGTTTCGAAATCTATTGCGGCGTGCACCTTCTCCACTACTGCTTCCGGTGGGCAGCCTCTTGACCTGGCCTAAATGGTGATACCGCATAAATAACCTGTCAATCGCAGGATTATGCCACGACAATGAGGAAGATCCAGTTCATAGACCCGCGAGCTTGTTGTAAAGTGGTACAACATCACCCTGCTTCACGGCGCTTGACGTATGTTTCACTGAAGGACCGGCCGATAAGTCGGAGTGGAATGATCGGTGCATTGACCGCCAGGGCCACGGCCAATAATGATTGATTCTTTCATGAAGATGTAGAGAGACCATCGCCCGGCTTTGTGAGCACACCGAGTTGAATTGCGGTAGTCGGTGACCCAAGCTATTGCTCCAACAGCCCTTCACTCCCCTTGAACTGAATGGCCTCATTCCAGGCGCAGGCGCTGATCTTGGCGAGACAGGCTAGGTCCGAAGGAAATGGGGATCACTGCGATTCTTTCTGGTGGGTGTCAGGGTGAGATACCCCCACTGCTGCTGCGTAACAGAATTCTACGCAATTGGTGAGGGCTTGCCTGCTCACTGTTCCTTCGCGCTTCCATGAAGATACATAGATCGAGAATCCGTTGATCAGAAAAGAGCTTGCTGCCTGGACTGGTTCTCTCTCCGACCAGATGCTCACCGAGCGCGGCGAGTTCGTTCACCGCTTTTCGCAATTGATGATGAAAATCACTTTTGTGTGCGACCGGCTCGTTCGAGGCATGTTCGTCTCGGATGACAGCTACTCCCAGGCCCCGAGTTATGAAGAACGGGGGTATCTGGTCGTCAGACAAGATGGGTCGAAGATGGTTGCGTATCGGAAGGATCTAGCACTGCGATCGGATTGATCAGAGCACGCTGCGACGCCCTTTCGACGCTAACTTGCATGTGTCCGTTCTATATGCGCTAGAACGGTCGTCTTTGACGACCCGTGGACGAAGAGGAGCTGGAGAGGCGCAGCGGGCGAAGAGGAGTAGTCTGGGTGGGAACTCGGGAATTGGGAGGCTTCGACGTTCAGGGCTCGGTTGTAGAACGGGTTGGAGTATTCTCGCCGCATGCCTCAGCTAAGGGTGGAGATGATCGTCAGTCAGGTGCCTGAGAGCAAAAAAGGCAACACGTACAATATTTGGATGATCGTCGTATCCCCATTAGTGAACTCAAAACCTCCAGTTCGGTATGTGCGATGTGCTACCCCTTCCGAGGGATGTATATGAGTGATATGAGAGGCGCTCGAGTTCATGTTCCCGCCGATCTCCGTGATTTCGTCTTCTGAACAGGTCTGGCAGAACGCGCGACTGGAGGAGAACAGCGACGGCGATGATTACGATAGGTGAAGGTGGTCTTGTTCTCCAAAACAGAAATGGAGTGGTTTGTGGGGATGTTCCTGGGCTCGGGGGAGAGGACGCGCAAAGGTGCGTCTGTCCTACGATGGAAATGGGGCAAGTAGCAGGCAAGTGGGACACATGAAAAGAGCATTTAACGGGACCAAAACATGGGAAATGTGTGATTCTTATCCTAGCTACATCGGTAAGGACATAAATTTATCTCGTGTACGTGTTCTTGCATGGCTTCCAGAATATCTTCATCCCACAACATGCAGGAAGTAGGCCGACGACTCGACTCCTGAACTGTTAGGTCAACGGGGTTTCGAACTCGTCTTTGTAAACGTACGCGGAGAATTATTTCTTGAAGTTTACGACAACGTCCCAGCATTGCATTTTCCGCCCTAGCTCGAACCAAGTCCAACTGATATTCTGAGGAGAAATTATGGCGACAGGCAGCCCATGAGCTGTACGTTAGGTGGAGCTTCAGACTTCGAAGTGCCGGGCAAACCACATACAAGCTAGGGTTGAGGATAGCCAACGTGGCCGAGGTTACTGCGCATTCAGACAGCTCGAGCTCCTGAAGTAGTGGAGCCGCTCGTAGTGTTCTCTCTAGGGTATCGGGATGAATGTAGAAACTACTCAGACAGAGAGTCGTGACAGAATGGAGTATGGATAGGACCCGTGGGAGAAAATCAACGTCCCTGTCTTGCATCCCATACTGTCGGCAGATATTTAAAACTCGAAGATTCGGCGCGCCTATGGTCTGAATGAAGACATCGAGATTCATTTCCTCGCCCTGGTCACGATCACCGGTGAATGTCAACGTAAGGGTGTGAAGGTGTTCCAACTTGATATCCTCCCGGTGTACGAGGTTGAGGGGAAGAGCAACGTCGAGGCTCTGCAGCGTTGGCATCGTCTCTAGGATGCGAAGGTCGAGCCGCATCAGCGCCTCCGTTGGCTCTGATGATGGAGCCTCGTAAGTACTGACTCGGTCTATCCATTGTATATGCGATTCGTCATCCATTGCCTCCAATTCCACAATTTCCGTCCAACTCGCCAGTTTTAAGGAAGTCAGAGGGAGGAAGATGCTATTGCCTTGAGTGTCCGTCACGACAGTGAACTGCGTGACGGTGAGACTCTTCAACTTAGTCGAGTGTAAGACAAGTGGGAACGGTGGTAGGTCATCCACGACACCGTCCCGGAACTCATAACTTCCTGCGTTATGAATCGAAAGAGACTCCAGGAGAGGAAGTGAGGTAGCAATAAATTTCGATACGTCGCGGACACAGGATGCTGGTAATGCGATGTCCAGCGAACGAATAAAAGCAAGCGACGTTTGTAAAGTAGCAAAGACCATTTGAATAGCCGCTTGCCCATCTGGGTCAAGCGCGTCGAATCGGAAGGTTACGGGCACTCCCTCGCTCCGGGAAAGCAACCTTGAAAGGTCTGTCACAATATCAGAGGACTGTCGAACCGCACCCGCCGTCGACGAACACAAGCGAATATTTGCATTCTACGCCGGCGCATGCTGCCTGTAGTCGCTCCAGTCTCCCTCCTTCACCCGGACACCCCATCCTCACACCTGGCATCAACACGACAAACCATTATCTCCTGCCCAACCCCAGTCAAGAACGGACGATCCATGTCACCATCCATATCCCAGAGAGCAAGTGAGAGAATGGGTGGCGGCAGGGAGGGCCCTCGAGGTTCATCCCAAAGATTCACCCCTACCCAGCCCAGAGACCTTCAGATGGCAACAGCAGAGTCCTTCCAAGCTTCTTCAAAGCCAATCGTCGACTTCGACGATCTGCTGTGAAGAAGCCCGGAGGAGTCCTCCAGTCCGGTGGCATGCGATGTCTTTCTCTGGGCAGGTCACTAGCCTGGCCAGCAGCAGCTCCCCAGCAGGCAGGCAACTACGAGCCGACTGATCCCTCTTCCACCTATGAGGACAGAAGGCCAAGGGGCTCGTTCACCTCAAGCCCTTCTGGTACAAGCCCTACCCCGCCTTCAGGAGATCATCGATCTCTCCGGAGATGAGAACGAAGAAGCAAGGGCAGCCTTGACGCAAAGTTCGACCGCTTTGCAGAGAGATATACATCGTCAGGCTGCAGAGCTGCAAGATGGGCAAGATGCGGAGAGTCAGATTGCAGATCACAACAAGGTACGGAGACGTTTGGGACAGCGACAGACAAGAGGTGTGGGGATAGGTCGGTGAGGGTTGACTGAGGGAGAGAAGATGAGGAGAGGGGAGTGTTGCCTGCAGTTGACGGCCCGTCAGTCGTGGTATGTAAGCCAACATTCCACCCGAGATCGATGTAAATATCTATGCCACTTGCCGTTCTATCTCCATCTAGTAATCCATTATATTAGGATAATGAGACCCCGGACACCCCAACTCTCTTGGTAATTGTGTCTATCCATACCATATGGTGAAGTATCCACCACCGTTGTCTCCATCTCCTCCTCCTCCTCTTCCAGTGTCGCTCCCCTTCCTCACCGGCCTCATCCTGGATCTCCATCGCGTCTTCCTCTCTCAGCTTCATGGCATCCAAGGAATTATTGATGCTGGCCATCCTCAGCGGAGGTCAAGTGCTGGTGGGCAAGGTGGGCATTGCGGTGGAGTGGATTCTATGAACGGACCACCGCTCCCATAACCTTCTTCCTCTCCGTCATCTCGCCAACGGGGACGGTCTTAACCATCACGCCGCCCAGTTCCGAGTCGTCCGACTGGGGATGTAGCTTCGCAGTCGACGAGATCATCAGCCAGTGTGCACATTCTGCCGCCTGATTCGCAATGACGACCTCCCAGCTCGCGCCGAGTCTTCACATCTGTAGCTGCGGAACAAGATATATCGATACTTGCGAACAGCATGCAAAGCGAATTAACTCCCTTCCCCGTATGGTATTCGGCCGGCAAAAAAATGTGCCTTCTGGTTCCACGTTCGATCTCTTCACGGTCCCATGCCAGGTCATCAATGTCGAGCAGAAGTTCGGAAGGGCAAATTTTCATTGCTTGCCGCAGCTGGAGTGCTTCTATGAGCGGCTTGTTGACATTCAAAGGCAGGCACAATCGCTCCGGATCCTGCTAGGGATAAACCTCGGTGGGGTCATCGGATAGGAGCATCGCGTCTGACGGTTGGTTCCAGTGGTCGAAGATGAACCCTTGGACGGGCGGGTAGCTGCGTTAGGATGGTTGAGAGATATGGGTGCACAACGCATGATATCAGTGCAAGATTAATAATATTGGGGTGGACGGCCGGTGTAAGTGCTCTGGGTGAGTCGTTGTAGTGCTTGTGCCGGGGATTTCCAAGGGTAAGACTAGTTAGATTCCGAAAATCCGGCTGAATGGAGACATAGGAGAGCGAAGCGAGGTCAAGGTCATCGATGGGGTGGATATCGACGTCGCCACAGAACAAAACCTTCTTCAGATTGGGGCTCTTAGAGATAACGCCAAGGCACTCGTCAAGGTGCGCTTGAGTATGATCCGTAGCACAATTCGCTTGAATCCAGCTCTTGCAATTCGGATAGAGCATCTATCCACAAGTATCTAAATCTCTCGAATAGAGGCGTTGGACGGGCCGTTGTCTGCCCTCGGAAGATGTCGAAGACTGTCGCATTCTCCGTCGTTGTGTGACGCTCGTTGCTAGACAGCAGGGATTCAGAGTGCGTAATTCAGGCGCTGCCTGGTCCACGGCAGTAATCAATACCCGCACATCCCAATCTGATTTTGTTGTGAAACAAATCGACCGCCAGTGCTTCATCGGCGGCAGGAAGGTCATTACAGCTGGGAGATCGTCCGTCTGTTCATAGCGCTGTCGTAATGAACAGAGGTACCGCTGGCTTTGTTTGGTGTGACAGTCATGTCGAAATCAATGTCCACAGAACAGATCTTCGAAAGAGAGCTCAAGCATTGCGCACGAGGAATTCAAATCGTCCACAACCTTGTACGTTGATATGCCGCCAAAGCGTCGGCATAGACAGTGCAACTTCTCTGTGCAGCTGCGGTCAGATTGAATGCCAGCGCGATTCATACTACTCACCGAAACTGAGTGTTCACGTGAGAGAGGCAAACAATACTTCTCCACACCGGGAGGGCTTGTGGCTCATTGAAGACGGGTAAAATGTAGTCAAGTAGGAATCGTCCTCGTTCGCCAAGTTGAAAATATGTTTCGACATATCGTGCGGTATCTTGGTCAGATTCACTTTAGCAGACTCTCCCAGTTGGCGACCTCCACACGTCATCCACCACTTCCGCATGCGATCAGCTCATCGGAGGCGTGTTCGTCTCGGACGACAGCTACTCGTACTCCCACCATGGGCCGAGTAATGAGGAACGGGACTACCCGGTCGTGAGACAAGATGGGCCGGAGATGCCAGTGGACGCGTATGGGGAGGATCTAGCACTTGCGATGGAATTGCTTAGAGCGTGCGTGGTACGAGACCCTTCCGAAACTGGCTCGCATGTGTCCGCTCCGTATCCTCTAGAACGGTGGTCTTTGACGAATCGGGGAGGAAAAGGAGATTGGGAGGTGCAACGGGCGAACGGGAGTAGTCTGGTTGGGAAAGGGGGAATTGGGAGGCTTCGATGTTCAGGGTTCAGTTGTAGAACGGGTTGGAGTATTCTTCCCCATGCCTCGGCTAAGAGTGGGGATGAGCGTGCATCAGTCAGGCGGAGAGCAAATAAGGCAACACGTACAATATTTGGATGATCGTCTTATCCCCATTAGTGAACTCAAACCCCCCATATTTAACCTCTTCCACTGATGTTATCGCTGAAGCATCTGTTTCTCTTCTTCGGCAGTGGCAAGGAAACTGCAAGTCCTCATGTACAGCATCGGCAAGCTCGGCAGTCCTCTTAATCGCAACAGCAGTAGTCGCGTCCCTCCACAGAGACCCCAGGTCGTAACCTCTGCCGAAAAGGCTATTGTCCAAAGCATCTCCACCTTATCCATCGCGTCGACGGACCTAGCGCGAGGAACCGCGTTTCTTCCGCGTCTGTGGGGGAGTTGGGATCATCGAATGTTGTCGTATGAGGTTGCAACGCGCTGGAGAGTGAGGTGCACCCGAGGGGTGAAGAGCAGTGATAGGAGAGGGGTGGACTGGTATCGCCCAAGTAGGATGGGCATGGCGTTTCGCAGAATGAAGAACGACTGAACAGTCGCGCTTTGACCTCAAAGACTCGACTACCGTCTCTTCGCGTGTGTGTCTTTGGTATCGCGTCGTCGTCGTCGATGGTCAACGAGATGAGATCCCCAGTCCGGTATATGGAATGTGCTTCCCCTTCCGAGGGATGTGTACGAGTGAAATGAGAGGCGACACGGGAGGAGGAGGAGGAGGAGATGGAGACAACGGTAGCGGATACTTCACCATGGATGGTACGGATACAATATCACCCAGAATTAGGGTGTTTGGGGTCTATTATCAACATAATGAAATGTATTAATACTAAACGGAGATATCTCGCGTAGATATCTACATTGATTTGTCTGGTGGAGTGACGGGCCACCGACGGCAGGCAACACTCCCCTCTCCGTCTCACCCACCCCCACACCTCTTGTCTCTTCCCCCCCTCTGACAATGCGCATCTTGGTGCTGGGAACTCTCAGGTTTCGGTGCTTGCTTCTTCGTCTTCATCCCCACTGAGATTGATGGGATAGGGCAGGTGGGATACAGGCACAGGGGCTTGGCGTGAACCCGAGGCTTGAGGTATCACTGGCCTCCTAGGGGGAAGAGGGAACAGTGGGTTCTACGTCTCCTGCCTGTCTGCGAGCGGTTGGTGGCTGGCGATCTGCCCAGGGAAAGGGATCCGACACGACGAGAATGGAGGGGGAAGACGTCGATCCTCATTCCATCTATGGTTACCATCGACCGGTCGCCAGGCTGGGTTGTGATCATTCACATGGACGAAGCCTGAGGGCTGCGAAGGGTGCTGAGCGCAGTGCTGCGTCCAGTTCTCCACCCAGCTCCTCCACCTGCTGACAGGCACCTCGATCATGACACGGATGACTTGTTCATGACCGGGGTTAGGGGGGAGTGTGCTGGTTATTGTTTCGATGCCGGGCAAGACGATGGAAGCTGATGGCTGTCTGGGTGAATGGGGGAGATTGCCGCAGCGACTACAGCCGGCATGCGCCGGCGTAGAATGCAGATGTACTTTTGTGTTCTGACACGGCGGGTGCGGTTCGACAGTCTCGTTTCGATCACCCTGCCTTGCCTCCCGGAGAACGTCTGGGTGCATGATGGGCTGAGGGGGATGCTCGGGTATAGAACGCTCTTGGACATCCATCCAAGAGTTGGATGCCCTCGCGCGGAGCATACCGTCACCGATGAACCACTGGGAGTGATCCTCACGCAGGACCTGCTCATCGGTACCGATCCGTTGATGTCTGGTGTGCTCGGTGTGCTCGGTGGTGCCAGGTGAGGGTTGCCGGAACGGACGGCGCGCACGGGGTATGTCCTTCTCATTCCCAGGAGATCGGGTTCTTTTTGACATAGTGAGTGTAAAATGTTAGAATGTTGGCTGTTGCTTCGGAAGGAGACAGCGAGTCAAGGTAATCAGGCTGTACGATGGTTGACAAGAGAGGGGGGAAGAGAATACGCAGCCACACAGACTAGAAGTTCTTAAATCGAGGAGTGGTTTGAGATAGAGTTGCTGTTCTTCTCTAACACAATGTGACAGGCGGATACACATCGGCCTGTCACGTTGTGTTCCCGCCAGCAATCAGCGGCACACACAATTTAGGTGCTTTGGCGCCTAACTACTGCATATCAAGGCCAGGGAAGCAATCCGATGGAATGATTAGGGTCGATAGATATATGGACTGAGGTCAGCGGTATGGTCTTCTGGACCGGAGAACCCAGACCATGGTCGCTTCGCAGGCCGGCATCCCACTCCATGGTTGTAAAGAATTCCTGTGCATTCCATAAGTTTTACGCTCTTTCAATAGTGAATGATTGGTGTCTTAGAGACTTCTTTGTGGTTCTGCAACCGCGTTGTTTGATGGTAGCTCTCCATTCAAAGTACTGATTAGACTTCTAAGTCATGGGTTTCCTCGCAACGGTTTTCGGCAAGTCGCAGCCAATAAATCCCATGTCTTCTTTTGCCCGGCACCACCGTTTGGCAAGTCGTCAAAGGTGCTAGTGAATGGCAAATGCTCCCATTCACAACACGATGCCCCCTTTTTTCAACGGGGTGATTTTGAAGAAAGGAACCCCTTATTGTCAAAGCGCGTTCTCCGAAGGTCATGTGAGTGTTTCAAAAAGCTCCTGCCGGGGTTCAAGTTGCTTATCTCCGGCGAAGGGTTCGCTTCTTGGTTGCTCAGAAGCATTTACGTTCCGTGCCGGTTCACACACTTGTTGTTTAACCTTCGACTGTGGTGCAGGCAGGGTTTACAAGCATATATTAGCTACATAATGTGATGGGTATCGACACAACTGATGCTCGAAGATCAAAGCATGTAATATGAGCTAAGTAGATATGATATCGAACGAGATATCTTCCAGGATACCATCGCAAAACGAATTAAATGCTAGAATACCCTTTCAATCTGAGACCTGACTACTACATTCCACAACGATTGGTGGTTGGATGTGAGAAGTCTGCAGTGCAAGGTCCGTTTTCTCACGTCTCGCGGGTACGTAGCGCTGGTGATCACCGCATACAGGGCTGTTCAATAATTTGATGCGTTTCGCTCCCCATACAGAAAAATCGATAGGCAGGATGTGTGAAGGATGATGGGGGCCGACCAAGTGCCAGAGAATCATATGGGGAACTTCTCAGCTTTTTTACCGTCGGCTGGCTTCTGCATTGTCACTGACTTGTTCGACCCTGATATTCCTGCGGAACGCGGCTTTCCAAAACAATATAATTTTGGGCTCATTCTTTTACCTCTATCTGTACTTTTAACTCCTAGTATTTTGCCACGTCCGAGTTTTCTAGTAATGGAGCTTGGAAAGAAGGCGCCTGTGTCGGATGATTCCCCATTGGAAGGCCCTACATGGGATCTGGAAGAGACCGGCTCTGGTCAGGAGCGCGAATCTGCGGGCAAAAACAAGGACAAGAGGTGCGTCATACCGAAATGGTGGAATTAGAGGCCAAGAATGACGAATCGCATATACAATAGATAGAACGAGTCAGTGCTGACGAGGCTCCATCGGCAGTGCCAACGAAAGTGCTGATGTGGCTCGTCCTTCGCATCCTCAAGACGACGCCAACGCTGCAGAGCCTCGAAGTTACTCTTCCCCTCAACTTCCTACATCGGGAGTATACATCAACTTGAAACACCTTCAGGCCGTTACAGCCACTACAGCATGTCTGCACCGTCAACAGCACCCCATGCGACACAGTTCCTGTTACCGAGGACAGGAGAACGTTTAGCGATCGTGATCATCGCCGCCGTTATCCTCCTCCGGTCATGGGTTCTGGCAGCCCTGTTCAAAAGACGAAATCACGGCCATGCGTGACCTCTACTCGTTTGACAGGAAGGCAATAAAGTACTTCCAGTTCCGATAGGGAAAAAGGCGCGCAGAGTACGTTTATCCCAGACTGACCTTCGTTCTACTCATCCAGTCCACAGGCGCTAATCCACCCAACCTCCTCCTCCTTCGACCTCCCCCACCGCGACCCTCCTCCCCTCCACACCGGCTCAGACTGGGGATGTAGCTTCGCATTCGACGAGGTATTCAGCCATGGTGTACATCTGTAGTCCGATCTGCAATGTCAACCTCCCAACTCGCGCCGAGCCTTCACACTTGTATCTGCAAAAAAAGATAAATCGATACATGCGAACACAGTATGCAAAGCCCATTAGTTCCCTTCCACCCATGGTATTCCGCCGACAAAGATTTGCGGCTCCTGTTTCCCGGTGGATCTCTTCAACCTCCCATGCGGGCCGCGCTCAGCCTCTCAGCCTCTCAGCCTCTTTGCACTTCCTTTTCGGATTCTTACCAACCCCGACGTTTCCGGTCTCACATCCCACATCTCTCCTCCGCCTGAAGCGCTCCAAACATCGAGACATTCAGTATACAGATGTGCCACTCTCCCTCGCCCTCAGGAAGAAGGACCTGTATTCCCTCCATCGCCCTGCTCGCAGCATACCAGGAGCAAACAACGGGATTGAAAGGGTGATTTTGATCCCTTGGAGCTGGATGAGGTGGAGGAAAGACCCCGGGAGCGGAGGGTCGGGTGTACACATGTAGTGGTCGAAGGCGGGCAGGGAAAAGGACGAACAGGATGGCCTAACAACCCACTATTTGCGATATCATGAGCTTCTTCCTCCCGAACAGTAATGATCTGCTATGTGGATGCTGAAGATGAGGCTATATGGGCGTCCAAGTTCGGAGTACATCGAAAATGGACAAGCGCCGAAAGAAGCAAAGCCTGGAAAGGCACGTGCAAAACGCGTGTTGAAGACGGGGGCAGATTTCCCTCGCATCATCCACCCCCAGCAGTTCCCGTCGACCCTCACCAGCCCACATAAATATTGACGAGGACGCTCCAGCAACCTCCTTCAAAGGTGAGCAAGAATTAACGAAAGGCTGGGAAGCGGCTGGGAATTAGGCAGACTTCTTACATTCGCAACAGATCATCATCAGATAGAATGGTGCCCTGCGGACAGGCGACGATATGTGCTCGGAACGTTCCCATCGAACATCGGCGCTTTGCAATTAAACAACGTCGCCGCCGGAATCGAACGTCTTGCGATAGAACAAGTGCCTCTCTCTCGCTCAGTGCCACTCAAACCTTGTCCGAGCACATGTGGAGGCCACCTACGACGATCCGGGCGAAGTGGGCCATGCGAGACAAGCTCAAGTACGACATCGAGCTCTTACGCATTGAGCACATGAGGATCGATACAGCGTATGAGCTGCGATTGAAACTACTACGCGCGCAATATCAAGACGACTCGATGGTGATCCGAAGGAAGCGACTTGAGAAGCATTGTCAGCTCTGGTCTATCACTGGGATCTGCACGCTTCCAGATGACCTGCTTTCCGATATCATTCTCTTGGCGACGGAACAAGGTGATTTCATTCGAAACATGACTCCCGAATTCATACATATTGCCCCCTTTGTTTGTCGCCAGTGGAGGGACGTGTGTGCGACAATGCCTCAACTCTGGTCTACTCTTGTGATCTCGGGGCCTCTTCGGCCGCCGCATGGGGACTATGATTCAACGCATCATTGGTATAATATTGTGAAACAGCTCTCGACAGTGCTTTCGCGGAGCCAGGCAGCGCCCGTTACCATGCAATTAAATCAATCTCACCTTCTGGATGCTCATGTTGCGGTTCCAACCCTCTTCGCTACATTGCAAAGTTCGCCCGCTTTCATTCGGTCCATGGACATCCGGTTATCAGCGCTCCATGTCCGCGACGCGTCGAGATGTCTTGCCACATCACTTCCTGTTCTGGAGTCTCTTGCCATTCACAGCTCAGGGAATGACTTGATATGGGAAGATTTGGGGTGCGGTGTGCCACCGTTTCCTCTTGGCTTGCATTCGAATATGTTGAAGAGTCTCACTGTTGGGCAGTTCACCGGTCTGACGAGAAAAGGCAGCGACATGTTTTCCTCACTGACTTCATTGCAACTGATGAGGTTGACCGCAATTGTGCAAGTCAAGGCGATGGATGACGAACAGCATATACAATGGATAGATCGAGTCACTCGCAAGCGTCCATCGGCAGTGCGACCCTAGGCACGCATGCGGCTCGATCTTCGCATCCTCAAGGCGGCACCGATGTTGCAAAGCCTCGATCTTGCTCTGCCCCTAGACCTTGTACACCTCAAATATCTCAAGTTGGAAAACCTTCAAAAGCTCCGGCTCAAGGTGCATACGAATGAAGAAAGGAATCTCTGTTTATTCAACCAGACCATTGGCATGTCCAACCTTCGTATTTTAGATCTCAGCCGACCTTGGCGACTGGAATTCGCCGAGGATGAGTTTCTCCGACAGGTCATATCCATGGTCAGTTCCCTCGTATCTCTCCGTTTAAACGGTTACTGGCTCGAGATGGAACCCTTGGAAAAGATACTACGAGCGACGCCACTACTACAATCGCTTAGCCTGTCTGGATGCGTTATCACTGCAGCCATGTTGGCTATCCTCCACGGTAAACAAGATGTTCTATGCCCCGGCCTTCGAACTCTGGTTCTCAAGAATGCGTCCGGGATGGATCCGGATGACCCCCGTGGTTTCTGCCCAGAAGATCTGTTGGACTTGGTTCGATCGAGGGCGGAACATGCAATCCTGGGACGTTGTCGTAAACTCCAAGAAGTAACTATCCTGGAATCTTTACTGCGACGACTCCCAAGCCCCGGTAACATAGAATTTCACGACTGGGAATGTGATGGTCCCTGTATGTTGTTGGATGAAGATATTCTGGAAGTCATGCATGAACACGTAACCGACATATATTTGTGTACCGACTGATGTAGCTAGGATACGAATCACAGAAACATCATTCTTCTCACTCTTTCAGTACTATTGAATTATATGTCATGTCAGACTTGCAGTGAAAATTCACATGCCTACTTGCCCGATTTCTGTCCAAGGGCACACGCACCCTTCCTCTCTCCGCGTCCTCTCCACCGACCACCACTAGAGAATGTCTGCGTTGTCTACACCATCCCATGCTACACCGTTCCTGTTGTCAAAGACAGGACGACGTTCAGCTATCGTCATCATCGCCGCCGCTATTCTCCTCCGGTCGCGCGTTCCACCAGACCTGTTCAGAAGACGAAATCACGAATCTGGGCGGGAAGATGAACTCGACCGGGCCATGCGCGAGCTCTATTCAGTTGACAGGGAGGGCAATAAAGTACTTCTGGTACCGACAGGGAACAAGGTGTCGAGGGTACGTTTATCCCAGACTGATCTTTATTCTCCTCACCCAGTCCGCAGGTACCAATCCACCCAACCCCCGAGTCCCTCTACGTCTCCCATCGTGCCCTCTTCCCCCTCCCGACCAGCTCCACTCCAGGCCTAAACCGCGCCTTTCTTTCTCAACTCCGTGCTCTTCTTCGCATCATACTCCCCAAGCCGTTATGCAAGGAATCATTTATGCTCGCACTTCATAGCGCATTCCTGGTGCTTAGGACAGTGCTCAGCGTGGCTGTCGCTAGGTTGGACGGCAGACTCGTGCGAGATCTGGTCAGTGCGGACTGGAAGGGATTCCTCAAGGGACTCGGACTATGGTTCTTGCTCGCTATCCCATCAACCTACACTAATGCCATGGTTCGTACTTTCTGAGATGCCAGTCCGCATACTCACACCACGCTAGCTCCGATATCTCCAATCCAAACTGTCCCTCGCCTTCCGCACACGACTTACACGATACACCCATGACCTGTATCTCTCCCCGAACCTGGAGTACTACAGGCTGATAGACAGTGGATACCTCAACGGTGGCGCAGATCAGTATATCACCAACGATGTTCAGCGGTTTTGCGATGCCCTGTCCGCACTCTAGTACGCCTTTCCCCATCATCGTTGCAGTAATGACAGGCTAACTGTCCCATAGTGGAAACCTACTAAAACCAACCCTGGATATGATCATCTTTACCACCCAGCTTGCACATTCCCTCGGGGGACTTGGCACCGTCGGCCTATTCGCTAACTACTTCTTCACTGGATACGTCCTTCGCCGAGTGACTCCAGCGTTCGGCAAGCTTGCAGCTGTGGAGGCGAGACTTGAGGGAGAGTATAGGGCGGGGGTGGGTAGGATTGGTAGAGAGAGCGAGGAGATCGCCTTCTACGGTGGTGGTTTAAGGGAGAAGAGCATTCTCGCAAGGGCATACCAGCGATTGATCTCCCACGTGAATTCGATTTACAAGGTGCGCTCTCACCTCTTCGATCGATGAGGATGGACACGCTGATATGTTCATGGTAGATCCGCATTGCCTATGAGTGGACAGAGGACTATATCATCAAGTATCTCTGGAGCGCAACGGGCTATATGCTCATGTCCATCCCGGTCTTCTTGATCCCGACACGATCCGTTGGTGTTCAGGCCGGTGAACTGGGTGGAAAGGTGTGGGATCAGGTTTCCGGGAGGACAGAATGTGCGTACACGAGCTCGTTGTGGTGAGAGCAGTACTGATCGTTATGTATAGCATATATCAGCAATCGTCGTCTCCTGCTCTCTTTAGCCGATGCGGGCGGGCGCCTGATGTACTCCAACAAAGACCTTGCTGAGCTTGCTGGCTATACCTCGCGCGTCTATACCCTCCTCTCGACCCTGCATCACTTGGACGCAACGCCGGTCTCCCTCACCTCCCATCTCACGTCCAATCCCGATCGGATTGCCCTGACCGAAGTGAACGTCGCTGCGCCCGGTCAGCTCTTGGTCAGAGATCTCAACCTCGTCGTTGAGCGAGGAGAGCACACCTGCATCGTTGGCGCTAACGGGGTGGGGAAGACAGCGATCGCGCGTGTTGTTGCTGGTCTGTGGGAGGCTGAAGAGGGGGAAGTCGAACGTCCCCTAGAGAGGGAGGACGTCATGGTCGTCCCCCAACGGGCGTACCTAACAGCAGGAAGCCTAAGGGACCAGGTCATCTATCCCTTTGCGTACCCGCAGCATATATCTACTGGAGGGACGGATGCACAGCTGCAGGATATATTGAAAGAGGCACATTTGGAGTACCTGCTTGACAGGGAGGGTGGATGGGACACGGTGAAGGAGTGGAAGGATGTGTTGAGTGGAGGGGAGAAGCAGAGAATGGGCATGGCTAGGCTTTTCTATCACAAGCCGTCGTTCGCTATTCTCGATGGTTCGTGATTTCTTTTTATGACGAAAGTATATGCTCATACAGCTGGGACAGAGTGCACATCGGCTGTGTCGACCGACGTCGAATCCCATCTGTACAATCACGCTAAATCCCTCGGCATCACCATCCTCACCATCTCCACCCGTCCCGCGCTGATCAAGTACCACACGCGCCTGCTGAAGATCCTGGGCGACGGGCGGGGTGGATGGGAGTTGACCAAAGTCGGTACGGAAGAAGAGCGCATGGAGGTGGATAGGGAGATTGGAGAACTGGAACGGAGGTTGGGCGAGGTGGGGGGATGGGAGGGCAGGCTTGGGGTGATTAAGGGCGAGTTGGGCGTGTAGTGCTTCGGGAGTGTATTTATACAACATGCAATATCAAGTCCTCTGCTAGTGTTACAGTAGGTCGTCGTGCGTGGACATCGACTTCACCGTCCTGTTTTATGATACATCGCCAGAGTGTCCACCATCACCAACTATGACAGTAAATGACTAGAATGCAAGAACGAGAATTCTCTTTCACTTGCCCAGTGCACCATACCCCATCTTCTCTAGCCCTGCGACAAAATCATCCATCACTCCTGCCTGTACCGCTCCTTCTGCCGCCTGCACCTCACTCGCATGCGGCTTCACCTCCGCTCTATCAGGTACCAACACTCCCACACCAGGCTCGAATCCCGGTGCGACCCTCCTCAGCGCCTCCCTCTTCCTTCTCTGCTTTTCTTGTTCCCAGGCAGCGAGTTTCTGGTCATGGGTGCTTTGGAGTGCGGTGAGGGAGTTGAGTAGGTGAGCATGGGAAGTCAGGGTTCGGGATTCGAGAGTGAATGGATAGACCATCTGGTTCTTGTTAGCCGCCCAAACTTGATCCCAGGAGCACGGATGACACACATACGGCTCTAGTGAGTCTGGGAGTGGATGGATGTCCTGCGGCATGAGTACCTTTTAGGAGTCAGCACTACCCTGTTGGTCATTGATGACCGTACGGGTTGGGGAATGCGCAATGACGGTGACTGGATTAGCGGTACATGGGTTGCGGCACGATACTGTTGTTGACTCTCTGTGCGCTGTTAGGAAGTGTTGTTAGTAAGATGTATGAGCGCTTACGGGCGTCAGGCATGACTGTTATCCAACTGTTGAACGGAGAAATGAAGTGGTGAGTCGATGGACAAGAGGCGGAGATGACCAAAATATACAACAGACCCTTCAATGGCCGTGCTTCTTCTTCTTCTCCGTCTGACGCCCACCTGGATTGGACCGCCAAACAGATTCTGCCTCATCATGACTCGCAAGAAACTCTGATTATCCCCTTTAGTACTAATGGAGGTTCTTAGGCATCTATATGCGGTGCATACTGTAGCAGTCCTGCTGTCGTCTTGCTTCCTAGCCCGCACAGTCTGTCAAGTGAGAAGGATTTCTGAATGACACTAATTCGGCAGTTTGACTCTTCCGAGTTACTAGTAACGATGACTGTTCTGATGCTCGGATTTGCTTCGGACGGGCGATATATTCATTTTCCGAGCTATAAAGACGCTCCATTTTACGTCTCTTTCAGCCATCGCATCTTCAGCTGTTGTTCTCCCCCTCGTTCTCTGTAATCATGTCTCCTGATTCGTTCACCCGCTACGCCGCGTCTCTGTCAACGTTCTTCCAAACCACCGATGCGCATACAGCATACTCGCTATTCGCACACACCACCTCTCTCTTCCCAAACAAACAGCATACCTTCGTCGAAGACTGCTCTTTCCCACTTCGCAAGTTCCTCCTCGCGCGCAAGATCGTCTCCCACTCAGAGGGGTTCAAGGTCGTCAATTGGGAACGGTCAACACGTCGTCTTCCCTCTGAGCTAACAGAGCGCTTGCAAGATGGCGTCATCTCATTCGAGTACTCCGGCACTGTCTTCGAGGTGTTCCAGGCGACCTGGCGCTACCCGGATTGGCGCGGCAGTCTGGGCACGGCATTCCACTTCGTCTTCGATGGTGCCGACGACAGCGCGGGGAAGAGCCTGGTAAAGGATATCTACGAATGGGCGAACGAGCTCAAGAAGGAGATCTGGGTATTTTCTCACGGTAACTGGAGCAAAGATTCCGACTTGTACGAGACTGTCCAGGCAGCCTCGTGGTTCGACGTGGTACACGAGCCTGGATTTGTCGAGGCACTCAAGAGCGATACCGAGACGTTCTTTGCGAGCGAGAAGGTGTATGCAGCCATTGGCGTTACCTGGAAGCGCGGTATCCTACTCCTTGGCCCACCGGGCAATGGCAAGACTCAGACGATCGAGTGCCTGCTAAAGGACCTCCTTGCTCAGGATATCTCCCCTTTGTACGTGAAGAACTTCAAGACAGATCGGGATGAGGAATGGGGCATCCGCGCAATATTCGAGAAGGCTAGAGAGGAAGCCCCCTGCGTCCTCGTGCTCGAAGACTTGGATGCGATGGTACGCCCGAGGGTTAGGAGTTATTTTCTGAACGAACTCGATGGGCTTGCGAGGAACCACGGGATCCTTACGATCGCGACTACCAACCATCCAGAGAAGATCGACGACGCGATCCTGCGTCGGCCGAGCCGGTTCGACCAGAAGTACACCTTCGCTTTGCCCAGCCTTGCGCTCAGACAGGAGTATGTCCGCATTTGGATCGCAAAGGTCACAACTCAGGGAGGATTCGGCTTCCGTTCTGGTGCAGATGTGCTCTCCAAGGAGGTCGCGGAGAAGACAGAAGAATGGAGCTTCGCTTTTCTCAAGGAGCTGTTCGTGAGCTTCCTGCTACGATCCGCTACCGATCGCGCTGCTCGCGCGAAGCACACCAGCGGAAAGGGCGTGACTAATGGGGCGGCTGAACACAACGGGCATCAGATGACTGACGATGAGATCCTCTTGCACCAGGTGCAATTACTCGCCGAGCAGGTGAGTAGGGAAGGGGCTAAAATTGGGGAGGGAACGAAGGATGAAAAGGAGGACAAGGAGGAAAACGAGAAGGAAGATGAGGACGGCTGTTGCTAGAGGTAGCAAACAAGTACGTCTGAAGGACAGTAACCCATTGTCCGTTTCAGACCTGTTTCCTTGCTTGCTTGTCTTCAAAATGAATACCGTGTCATCGTCACTGCACTAATCCCACTTCCAGAGCTGTCGTCCATTGCTAACCCTATCGAAAGATTTGGATGATCCGCACCCCACAGTATCCCCACATGACTCGGGAGTCTTCGCTTGATCCCCACACTCATGGTAGGTGGTCACATCGACGCTCAGAAAAGACTCTGTTCCCCATGATTTCCCAGATTGGATACCGAACCGCATCACGCCGAAGAGAAGAATCACGCGTGGACCAATCGCGTTGCAAGGAGTGCCATATACTTCCGCATTCACGTGCTCTTTAAGGGGCTGTGCGTCCTTATTACTTCACTTAGGCTTTCCCTACCGTGCGGGCACGGGCAACAAGGGGCAGGCTCTATCGCAACGACCGGTCATCATCCTCTTCTTCAACGGCGACCACGACGGCAACGACGGGCACTGGCAGGTTAAAGACTACAACAGATCAATCATCCAGGACAATATTGCACAATTACAATGTCACACAGCTTGCGCGCTCGACCCCCTCCCCCACCTCCCCCACCTCCTTCCCACGCCCCAGATGTTGAACGTGAGCGTCTAGCTGACGAGCACTTCGCCGGCCCGCCATTGGTGGTCGACCGGGGTATACTGCGGAGGGTTGTGGAGGAAGATATGAAGTCTAAGGTGGATCGATGCGAGTTTCTGGGTTCTGGTGAGTACTCGTCTCTTGGTGGCGATCGGATCTACCGGAAACTGACTACGACGATAGGAACGTTTCATAAAGTACGGATCATGTGCAGGGAGTCAGTGTTAAACAAGAAGCTGATGAATATGACAGTGTTTCCTGGTCACGTTCAAGGAGAGGGCCCCTGTCGTAGCTCGGATCGCCCAGAGCTACTTCCCCGCCCTGAAGACCGCTTCCGAGGTTTGTTGCCAACACCAAGGCCCTAATCCTGCTGATCTCTGATGCCAGGTTGCCACTCTGCACTTCTTGCGTGCGCATACCTCTCTCCCAGTACCGGTCATCCACGTGTATGACACCACCACGGATAACCCCCTGCGCGCCGAATACACGCTCGAGTCGCTCGCCCCTGGTGTACAGCTTTCGTCTCTGAATCCGGATGAGATGCCTCAGGAAACCAAGGTGCAGCTCATGTGCGCGCTGGCGAAGCTCGTGGTACCGTTGGGCAAGTGGAGAGCGGCAGCGATCGGCAGTTTGTACTTCGAGGAGGAACAGGTGGAAGGGGTGCTGTTCGAGATCCCCGCATTGGATAGACCACGTTCGGATGTCGACGACACGTCCGAGCTGCTTCCCACAGACGAGCCGAGAAAGTACAAAATCGGCCCTATCGTCAGCTGGCCATTCTTCGGCAACGGTCGCGGTTTCCGTGCACTCGATCGCGGTCCCTGGACTTCCGAGCGTGCGTATCTCGATTCTTGCGTCAAACGTGAAGTGGAGGACATACGTCGGGAGACCGAGCCTGCTGCTGGAGTAGTTCGCGAGATCAGCAGCTCGAGCGCGAGCGCATCCAGTAATTCTCCAGAGCACGAAGACGACGATTCCCTTCCGGATGATGTCGATTCAGATAACGACCTGGAGAGCGACGATGACGAAGGAGGGTATGGGTCAGACTACAGTCCACACGAATTGATGTACAAGGCCTACCGTCAACAGCAAGGCGCTGGGTCTTTCGGCGGCGGAAGTCTGCTCATCCATCCTTTCAGGAGAAACAGCGCTGGCGGTCCAGCCCCATTACTGCTTTTCAGCCCTATTTCTCCCGGTTCCCCTCCCCCTGCTTCTGCACCACCTGCCATCTCTTTCGCCGCGCTACCCCCGGTTAAAACGAGGTTGCAGTTGTGTGAAGGGGAGATGGGGGAGTTCATGAACCAGATGGAGGCGTTCGGCATCGGTACCGGGGACGGGAAGGGGTTCACGTTTGATTTGCACGATCTGCGGGCGGAGAATGTCTTTGTAGACCCACAGAACCCGGGACGCGTCGTAAGTCCTTGCTCTTCTCCACTAATGGTAGACTGTGCTCACGAGTGCGACGTATCAGACATGCATCATTGATTTTGAGAGCACGACTTTCCGTCCAATCTCACAAGCGTCGCACCTCCCTGCCCTTCTGCTACCCCCACCGCGCGGACTTCCCTCCTTCACACCCCCCGACTCCCAAACGCACATGATCGGCGCTCCCCAGACCGTCTCCCCCTTCGCTGTCCCCTCCCTGCAAGACGCATACCGGGCTGCGGCGGCGGAGGTGGACGAGGGATGGGTGGAGAGAGAGAGGGATGGGAAGAAGAAGAGGATCGCCCATCGGGCTGTGGAATGGGATGGATGGGAGCCTGGGGTGGTGGATCATGCATTGGGCGCGATGAGAGCGCTTTAAAGTTCGGTGAGGGTGTGAAAGTTTGCGCGCGACTGGTGGGTTGCTGGTGTGCTGGGTTGGCGGGCAGATTGCCCGCTCAACATGGCTTCATCAGCATGGTGTCCATATCGACCGCCTGAGGAGAGAACACTAAAGAGTTGAGGGAAGAGGTGCGTTGCTGTCCAGCAGACTGGCCTCAAACGAGCATTAAGCGGGGTAACGTTTACCCAGAGCTGGGCCGACCCTGAACGGCTCCCGGGAAATGGGTTGCGTTTCGTTCCTGACCGGTTTCTTTTGATTTGATTGGAATTGTTACGAGATAAGATACAATTTTGGTTTCAGTTTCTTGGTTTCAGTGTTATTATACCAATAGTTAACGCGGACATACGCAAGAGATCTGTGAAGTGAAATGAACTGTGTTGTATTGTATTGTTGGAGCAGGATTTCTTACTTCGGCTCCTTGGAACCGACCGGTCTACTGATGATCATGTCGTCATTGTTTCACTCCCCGCGAAGGTCTTCTCAATCGGATTTTTCAGGCCTTATGGGAGAGGCGGGGATCGTCGAATATTTATACTGTCGAAACGGGTTGAAATGTCGTCTGTGACTGCTGTCGACGGGCTGAACGTAGCAGAAAAGGCATTTGTCCCTAACCATAGGTAATCGAATTGCTACTGTACTCCCCTGACGTGAACAAGACTCTTCGTATTCAGTGCCAAGTTGCCTAGTTGGTAAGAGTGCTATCTTCCGAGCTCACTCCTGTTAAGCCTGGCAGTCTCTAGCAAACAGTGAAAGCGCAGAAATCAGCCTCTGCCAGTAAATCATCGTGCCGAATTGGATCGAGACCGCAGCTCTCGTCCTTTCGTCAGTCTTCTAGACATGCGTCTCTGGAAGAGGAATATCACGGCCCTTGGCATTGATATCAGATGTTTGGCCAGCCTGCGGGTTTTGCCCCTTGGCGAGGGCGACAGGGTTCTACCTGTCAGAGCTATGGAGACCGGATATTGGATGTCAAAACTACCCGAGTTAGACTTGTGCGTCGACTGGTAACAAGAGGTTCGTTTGGTTTAGACGAACAGTGATGGGATGTAATGTTGAGCTCTGTAGATCAACAGAGGGGATCGTATGCAAATATTGATGTCCATGTGCTGTCGTAGTATGAGTTACTATAAGGAGGTAATGCGCTAAAGATTATTGTTCTTGACAGAAAAGAATAGGAGTCACTGTGTTGATGCTGTGGGGTGAGAGTTTCCATAGAGTTTCCCTGTATCTGATTCCGCTGATGGCAGGGAATTTGTTTCCGTTGTTGCGGTGAGCGGCGTGCGGTGTGGATGTCCTGCTCACTGTCCGTCTCATCCTCCTCGTCGTCTGCCTGCCGTTTGCTCACTGTCCTTGTCGTCGTCGACCATCAACGCGCATACATCGACCTCTTCCGTCGAAGGCAGAGTCAGTCAATGACCAACCAACCACCGCAACCTCAGCAAATACAGCAACAGCAGTACCAAACTAACCAGCAGCAACAACTCCACCATCACTTCCTCCAACCAGCCGCTCAACCCGGCCCATCCCTCTCCCCCAACCCGCCGAACGTCGCACTCCTTATGGCAGCCCCAGGCTTAGTAGCTTCAGCAGGCCAGCTACCGGCTCTCCACCTTTATCCGCTCAACGACTCCTTTGTTCCTAAGCAGATATCGCTTGCGCAAGGGAAGGTCCGCATAGGACGGCAGACAAACGCGAGAACAGTTCCGGGCGAGAGGAATGGCTACTTTGACAGCAAGGTACTCAGTAGGATGCATGCCGAAGTATGGGAGGAGAATGGCAAAGTACGTTGTCCATCCTCCCTTCTTTCTCATGGGTTGCACTTGAAGATCATGCTGACATCAAGGATAGATACTGATCAAAGACGTCAAAAGTTCCAACGGTACATTTATCAACTCGGAGCGGCTTTCCCCTGAGGGGGCTGAGTCGGAGCCCTTTGAGCTCAAATCGGAGGACATCGTCGTACGTGGTCTTGACTCAGTCTGACCCACGTTTCTCACGAGCACTTCGTCTTTTCCCGGTATTGATCCACGTACATGTGACTCTCTAACTTGTCCTTCAACTTCTTTCTGTCGCTGCATGTGACCACATCGCACATCAGGAATTCGGAATCGACATCGTAGGGGAAGACAACCGCACGATAGTGCATCACAAAGTTGCTGCCAAGGCCTACTGCATCCTCTCGCCAGAAGACATGGCCGCCTCACAGCGAGAGATGCAATACTTACGCAATCCGTCCAACCGTCTGCCTCATCCCGTCATCAATGGCGCCCCTCCAGGTCCACAGGTCAATGGTGGCATGCCAAACGGCGTACCAGGCCCTGGTCCATCTCAGCAGGGTGGACCGCAGGTGCAGCAGCAGCAGCAAGGCCAGACTCTGGGCGGGATGGGCGCTGCTCGTGCTCCCGGTAAAAGCGGGCTTACCTTCGATCATCTCCTTAGCAGATTGCAAGGGGAGATCGTTAAAAGCCGGGATACTGGCAACGAGCTCGGTATGATAGGAAGGGAGATGAGTGAGATCGGGGAGACCTTGAGTGGGAACTTGGTGAGTTGTTTTTTTGACCTGTTACAGGGAGCGATTTCTGATGCAGTGTTCGGAATCGACAGCCGCAGCATCCACCCCCACCACCGCCCCAGTCACTAAGTGGACAGTACCAGCGCGACCTGCCTGCACCCTCGAGTAGCTCCTCAGCTATGCTGAGCTCACTCCAATCCCAACTACATGAGACCCGCGCTTCCCTCGCGACCCACGCCGACAAAGTGCGCACGCTGGAGAGCTTGCTTGTGGAGCACGATGCGCTCAAGCAGGAAGTGGCCGGAATGAGGGAGGCGATGGAAGAGAGCCGGCGAATCGTGGAACTCTGGCGAGGTGAGAGAGGGCGACCGCAGGACAAGGCGGAGATGAAGGAAATTGTCGACGCGCGGCCAGAGGCAGAAGGCGAAGCGGAAGCCGATGATGATATGGACGACAGCAAGAGCGTCCTTACGATCGTACCTGGTGATGAAGAAGCCGAGCACGACCAAATTTTCATACCCGATTCTGAGCCCGAGCGCGAGCAAGAGCAAGGAACTATAACCGACGAGGAAATTCAACATGTGCTTGAGCATGCCCAAGAAGAGCCGCATGACCGGCAGGCGCAGGCGCAGCTGGATAGTAGCTCTCTCCAACCCGAGGAACAAGAGCTTCACCGGCCCAAGACACCTGAGCCTACGGGCCATGGGCTCGATGATGACGAGCCTCAGTCGGACATGCAGCAGGAGATCCACCTCCTTGGAAATGGAGTTCCTCCCCATCCGCAGGCGCAAGAGGAGGACGTCGACGTTCCCCCACTTCCGCTTGGTGCGACGCTTCCTCCCTCACCACCTTCCCCGCCAAGAGGTTTTACCTTGACCGAAGTCGCGCCGGTCGTAACAGCGGAATTTATGACCCGTACAGAGCATGCAGGCCATCTCAGCAGTCTTATGACGCAAGTCTCGGATATCTCTTCTCAACTCTCCGCTGCCCTCGCTCTATCCCAGGAGTTCTCCACTCAGCAGGAGATCATCAGGGAGCTGGAGTCCCGCTTAGCCGGGTGGGAGGAATGGAAACGCGGCCTCGAGGAACGCGTTGGTGGGATCGGAGCCAGAGTGGACGTGGTGGAGACGTGGAGGAAGGAAAGGGAGGAGGAAAGGACGCGGGACGAAGAATGGGAAAGGGAGAGAGACGAAATGTCTGATCCTGATCATGAGCTGCCGGAAGGAGAGGCAGTTCCCGGCTCCGATGAAGAGGGGCGTGAAGGGGAAGCGGTCCCTCCTCAGGCACTAAGGCCCAGACGGAGGAGGAAGTCCAGGGGATCAAGGCCCCAGGGAATAAACGGGTCCACGCACACGCATGGCTCGTCTTCCCCTTCTTCCTCCTCCGACCTAGACAAGACCCATCCTGCCCCGCCTGCTCCGTCAGGCAGGCGCCATCTCCCTCGCCCCGGCACGCGTGTGCGGGGCGAGCCTGGCCTGTCCGACAACCCGGGCAAGGAACGTGATGGGTCAGAGGGGGACACCCTCGTCGAGTCCCTTCCTGATATGGACGGAGGCGAGGACAAGTCACTCATCGACTCACCGATGTCGGCCACCTTCCCTGGAGGGCCTGTGGATCACTCACATAAAACACACGCAGTACGTGGCTCGCTCGCTGCCCGGGCTGCAGCGGGCGCAAAGGATCTAAGCGGTACCGGCGTGAGCTCCTCGTCACCTTCCGCACAGAGACGTACTGATGCACTTGCCCTGGCGACTCCTTTATCTTCAACGGATATCCCTACCCCATATTCACCTGGATCTGGTATACCCGTGCTTTCCCTCGTTTTGCTCTCGTTCTGCGCCTGGATGTTGTTCCCAAAGGCGATCGGAAACGTCCTCCTACCCGTGGCCGTGGTCGTTGTCGCCGGCATTGCCGCTTGGGCAGTTGTCAACCGAGCACGAGAATGAAGGGCTGGTCCCGCCAAAAACCCCATTGCATACATGGTCATGGATCGCGTTGGGTTGGTTATTTTTCGTCCCCGATTCCCTTTTGCTGCGTTTTCTCATATTCCTCGTCTGTTACAATATTCTTTCTCGTCATTCGTCGCACCTTTCCGTACAATGCATATTCCTATCCCCTCGCTCCTCCTTCCTCTCTTTGTTACGACGGGTTCTTTATTTCTCTCTACGACACACATCACCCACACCCGCATCCGCACCTCCTTTCTGTCCTCTCAGCGCCTTCGGTTCATGCGCTCTTCGTGTACCTACTACCTCGCTTTGGCTTCTATGTTCTCGCGCCTCGTACTGTTCTTGGCTGCGCTCGCTGTTGGGCTGGACGTGTATGGCTGTAGTTTGGAGTTGCTGACCATCAGCTGGTTGTATAATGACCTTCTATGCCAATTTATGCTTTCGCGCAAAGTTGTGGCTATTCCATGAGACACTCCCCATATACGTTTGTGTGAAAAGGCCTGATGGCGCGGTTGGGTCCATTCTATTTTCTGCCAAACATCCAGGTATGCGTGTGCGCTGATGCGCAAAGGTTGCATTGCGTACAATGTAAGTGATACAATTTGATCGTTGCAAGGATACAGACGGTTGGCAGAAGCAAGGACAAGCTGCGGCAGATCAATCAATCATCATCCTCAGCGTCTTCTGCTGCTTGCTTCTCAACATCGTCGTCCACGCCGTCCACCTCCCCTCTCAGAATTTCCACCTTCCTCCAGGGCATGATCCCTTTTTCCCATGTTCCTCGCACCCAGTCAATTCTCACTAGTCCACTAGCTCCACCACTTGCTAGCATCTGTGCTCTCGCCATTCCGGCTCCATTGCACCAAGACACGCGGTATATGCTCACTTCCGGGGACCATGCACCAGTTGCCTGTGTAATCCGATCTTCTGCACCGTCCGAGGTGGGTGGTATCTCGACACCATCAGTCACACCTTCCGACGGTACTTTTGTCTTTCTTGACTCGCGTTTCTTCTTATTCATGGCGTATGTTTCCTCGGTTTGTCGGGGTTCCTACCAAACAGGGTTACGATATCGGACAAGAAGTGGCAATTATGCACATACTCGTGGCTGAAGCTGTTCCAACATACGAAGCTCACCGGAATTTCGACTATAGTCTATCTGATACAACGGCTGGACAATCCGTGGCTAAGAGCAATGAGATCAATGAGAAAAGGACTAGGAGAAGAGGCCCACCGCGGTTTTACTATGCTGTCTGCCACTAGTGCCGTAATGTACTGCCCCATCTGCACTGGCAACGGCGATGCCGTGATGAAAATCTGATGTCGTGAGATCCTGAAAACCTTCATCAGCAATCATCTTCATTCGTCTTTGCAGCAAACACACCCAAATAGGACCAGTCGCGTCCATGAGCATGGTACCCCGTCCTAGGTTGACGGTAGCCAATGAGATGTGTTTGATGCGATAATCTTGCTCCACAAAGATGGGTCCGCCGCTGAATGTACTGAACTTCACTGCTGTTCCCCAATCTGCGAATCCGAATCCGTTAACATCCTGTACAAATCGTGTGAACATATTGAACATACCTCGCATCCGCTCGAGTACACTGGTCACGCCGTCTCGGATATCGACGAGCACTTTCTGTCCGTCATAGGCGGTCGAAGCGAGCAACGTCGGATTTCCCTGTAGCTGCAAACGCCCGTCTATGCCTTGTGGCGGAGCACGAACCCAGGCAACAGAGCAAACACAAGTCTGGTGCATGGGAAGGTAGTGCGTTGGGAGGCGTAGGACTGCTTGTGGTTTAGCCAGTTACCCGCGTTGAAACGTCTTGTACGTACCGGGATCAGGGTTGTCCAGATTCTGAAAGATAGATGCAATATCGAAAACGGCGACACTGCCTGACTTCATAGTCATGTCATGATTCACAATATCCAGACGAATCAGACAAACCGTTTGTGCAACCTACGGCGATCAGTCCTGAGTTCGCCCAATCGAAGCAAACGCAGCCAGCGTCATCGACAGACAATCGTACAATTGGCTGCAACTGGACTAGAGAGAGGATTAGCATTCCATGCAATCGCTTTGATCGAAATGACGCACCATGTACGGGTTCTCCCTCCACAGCGACCACCTTGCCTTTGCCCTTTGCTTTTCCCTGTAACTGTCTGATTGTTTCGGGATACGGAACTGCATATATGCAAACATGGCCGGAGCGAAAGCAGCCAGCCAAGAGGCCCATCTTGCGCAGCGATCCTTTCTACACTCGAACCACTCATCAGCGCTATCGGTCAAAAGTTGTGTAGATACGACGCACCACGTCATTAGCTGGAAGGGGACACCACTCGATCTGCCAAGCCGGGCCGTCCTCCAGACAGAGCACTATCTCACACTTCGCGCCCTCCTTCTCAACAGACCAAATCTGGATACACCCTTTCTCCGCTCCGATCTCACAACGCTGTCCAATGGTTGGCTGATCCAGAGCAGAAGCAAAGGTTGAGACAGCGAGCCAGTGAGTCAGGGGTGTGTTATCTGGGAAGTCGAACGGGTGTACCGGACACCAGGAGAGGCCGTGGACAGGACCACCAGCGTTGAGGATGTGGGCATTAGAGGACGGGATATATTCGCCTGCGAAACAGTTTGATATCCCAGAAGTGAAGAAGGGTGAAGGGACACACTCATAGGGAACGAATCGAGCATGTTCATTGTGCGCTTCTGCTGCTCGCCGAATCGACCAAAATAGCATGACAGTGGAGGGGGAGGCAGGGAGGCCCCATTCTCTGAGAGAACTGATGAAGAAGGTAGATAAGGCGCAGCTTCCCTGAAGAAAGGTGAGTATATGCAGCTTCATGATGAAGAGTCGGTACTTACTCTTGACTGAGGATCTTAAGGCACTTCCTTTGAATTCTCACCTCCTCCCATACCCTTGGCCTCGCATCAGTCTCTGTGCTCTCTCGAAACCAGCCCCTGTCCTCCAGTGTCTCCCATCTCGGACCGCTGTTCATCTTTGTCTCTGCTGTCATCAACCGCTTGAGCGGACCCGTCTCCCCCGAGCATCTAGTAGGCACCTCTGTTCCCCATCCTCCGAACCCATATGCCTCTGGTTCGCTTGCAAGCCGCCTTGTCGTAAGAGGGAAGTAGAGTGATACCGCTCGAAAGCGCGTCGAGAACTTGGCTTGATGCGTACTTGAGGTCACTTTGTTGACGAACGGCGCAAGGCGCTCGAGTTGGACACGCTTTGGGGCATCAGGGGGAGGGGAAGGTGTACGTCGCAACATTTTTCGAAACGCCTTTGAGTTCGCACCACCGCCGACGAACGCCTTGCGGGGCGTGGAGTCATCCTCGAATCGGTCGTCCTTGGTTGTGGGCTCCTCATTTTCGACCTCCACCTCTTTTTCCTCTTCAGCATCGGCGTCAGAGGGAGGTGGCGACGGATCTTCAGGGAGTTCATCCACAGGCTGATACTCATCACTCTCCTCTTCGCTCTCTGCAGGTATGGTGCGACTCTTGCCCTTGTTCTTGCGCGTAGATTCGCTCTCCTGACCAGAGCCGGTCTCTTCCAGGTCCGAAAGAGGGCCTTCAAATAGAGAAGCATATGACACAGGAGTCTTCTTTCGAAGCTCCATTACTAGAGAACTCGGATGTAGAAAAAGATTAGGATTTAAAAGTACAGATAGAGGTAGAGGAATGAGCACAAAATTATATTGCTTTGAGAGGACGCGTCAGGCAGGGAAGCCAGGGTCGTAAAATTCGTCTGGTAAAGGCCGATGGTAAAGGCCGATAGGTTCCCCCATACCTTTTCGCTATACGATTCTCCCACTCGGTCGGCCCATGCTCCCTCAAACAACCTGTTCATTTTTCATGTCTAAGGATCGTTGCAAAATCAGACACTTGAAAAGCTGTTTATCACTCCACCGTACTCATCCGCGCTACTTCCCTGCGATACATGAGAAAACGGACCCTGCACTGCATATAACTTCGCATGATCTCCAAACACCAATACATGTGTACACAAGAATGTTCGAAGTGCAAGGGTATTCTGACATTTACCGTGTTTTGTGAGGGTAGCCTAGCAGATATCTCGTTCGAGATCATGTCAACTGAGTTCATTACATGATTTTATCTTCGAGCATCAGTTCTGACACACATCACTCTACCTAATGAACATGAGTAAACTCTTTCTGACTGTCGAAACTGTAAACAATGCGTGTGTGAATCGGCACGGAACGTAAATGCCTCTGAGCAACCAAGAAGCGAACCCTTCGCCGGAGATAAGTAACAACTTCCGGCAGGAGCTTTTTGAAACACCTCACATGACCTTCGGAGAACGCGCTTTGCCGATAAGGGACACCCTTCCTTTTAATTACCAGGTGAAAAAAAAAAGACGGATCGTATCGTGAAAGGGAGTGTTTGCCATTTACTACTGCCTTTGATCGCTCGGCAGACAGTCGCGGTGCAGGCCGCGAAAGGAGACATGGCGGTTTCTTGCCCGCGCTTTGCCGTGAACTGTTCCTGTTACCACGATGAACCCATGACAAAAAAGTGTGATTGACACTTTGGAGGGAGAGTGGGGATAGTACGGAGCTAGACCCTTTATAGCATCAAACAACGTGGCTGCAGAACTGTCTGGAACACAAAGAAGTATTTGTATTTACCACTGAAAGGGCGTGCAATTTATGGATTGCTACGACGGTGGTGCAGGATGCCGACCTGTCGTGGGTCTGGGTTCTCTGGTCCCGCTCTCTGCAGAAGGCTACTACTCACCTCGGTCCACATATATCTGTCAAGTAACCACGCTTCCATCGGATTCCTCGGCTGGGCTTGATATGGTTAGGCGCCGAACCACCCTGAGGCATACACCCAACTTGTTTCATGTCTGCCGCTGATTGTTCCCGCGAATACAAGGTGACAGGCGGATAGAGAAGAACGGCAAGTCTATCATAACTGCATCTCTTGCTTTTCTATTTGACAACTTCTCGTCCGTGTGGCTGCGTATTTTCTTTCCCCTTCTCTCGTCAACCTTTCTACAGTAAGTTGTCCTTGTCTCCTTTGAAAGCAAAGCGGTCTAAACTGTCAGCATGTCGAAGAGGAGTCGTTTGGAATCTGGAATTGAAGACAACGCAGCACCCCCTGCGCGGCGTCCGTTCCGGCAACGTTCGCCTGGCGCCTCTGCCTGTACCGACCACACTGGTCATCACCCGATCGGTGCCGACGAGCAGGCCCTGCATGAGGCACCCTCCCACTTGGTTAGTCGGTGACAGTATCCTCCGCCGGACCAGCGTTCAAATGGATCTCCACGAGCATGCTATACGCGAGCATCCCCCTCAGCTCAGCACACATGACGACGTTCTCCGAGAGACGACATATGCTGCTGAGGACTTGGACCGTCGAACCCCACCCGTCGACGAGAAACACAAATATGTATTTGCATTCTACGCCGGCGCGTGCCGGCTGTAGCCCCTCGACTGCCCCTCCTGCCGGATCGCAGTGCCAGAGACGCCAAAATCCTGATCCTGGCGTCTCGTCAAGACTGCAGGCGATTCTGGACGATCTCTTGGCCAACCTGAGTCAAGAACCCACGGTTGCCGTCACACTCCATATCCCTGTCAGCAAGTGGGAGGATTTGTCACGGCAAGGTGCTCAGCAAGCTTCCCAACCCTCAAGCTTCGTCCCTGCCAACCGAAACTATCCAGCCCAACACCCTTCCTCCGTTCCTCAAACACCCGAGGTTGAATGCATAGAGCGCACCTATGCACACGAGCATCGACTCGTTCCAACCTTCTTCAAGGCCAATCGACGCCTCCCTCCTCCGATCCCATCACGTCCTATGGCCTCCTCTAGTCATCCGCCTACACAGGAGTCCTGGACGCGCCCCAACGTTCCCCAAGAGCCGTCCAATACACAAAACACGAACGCAATCCACTCTCCTCCAACCATAGCACCACTTCCAGTTCCACACCCCATTCCAGACGTGATCGACCTGACTGGAGATGAGGAGGAGGAAGTCAGACCAAACCAGACTCGAACGTTCGGGTTCGTGTTTGAGAATGGGGGTCTGGTCCACAACACTTCCAGCCAGAACATCAAGAAGGACAAGGGCAAGGGCAAGGCACGAGAGTTTACAGACTGCGAAGAAATCAGGACAGGCTTCGCTTGCCCTTATCCCAGCCCGCACTACCCTCGCCTTCGATGCAACGTCTTTTTCCCTGAACGTGGGGTATTAGACCGGCACCTGGGTGCACACCTCAAGGAGGAAGCGGCGATGCGGCGCCGCGGAGGACCAGGCTTTGACGTGGAGTCCTTGGTATTCGGAGGCCTGGACGCGCCTGGCTTCCAGTGCCAGTACTGCGGTTCTTCCTACTTGAGGCAGGACTCACTCCGCCGGCATCAGGGACTGGACGGCAAGAAGATCGTTTGCCCCGTGCTGAGTGGTATCGAAACGAAGCAGAGAGGGAAGCGGAAGCAGCAGATAGAGTGGGAAAGGAAGTACGCGCTCCCGGGGAGTGAATTCCATTCCGGAGGGGCGGCTCACCCTCCTGCCCTCGGGGAAGGGAGTGGAGTGGACTCGACTACGGAGCAAAGGGAGAGAAGGGACGACCCAGACGCTACTGATTGGGAGGACGACAGCAGCACTGATGACAGTGCCCTGGAAGGCCTTCCAGATCAAGATACGATCCCACAAGAGCATAACAACGAGCCCAAGGTCCGTTATGCTTGGCCGAGTATTCGATGGGTGAACACCAAAGGAGGGTGCAAAGTAGTTGCCCAAGTTTGTCAGCGTCCGAGTACCAATTGCAAGACCCCCAAGAATAAACAGCAAAGCAGCAAGAGCCGCAAGTTTGATATCGTCAAAGTCTTAGAGGTCAAGACGAGGTACAGTGGCAGATGATGTGCAATGGTCAAGAAGAATGAGGATACGCTGATTCGGTGGTTGGCTCGGCGAGAGAAGATGAGGGGAAAGAATATTGTTGCGCACGGGGAGTGGCCGGTCAGTCATGAGGACCTTTGAGCCATGGATATACCTCCTCCACCTGGAGTTATCGATGTAAATAGAATATGCCTCATGTCGTTCTATGTCCATTTAGAAATGCATTTAATTATGGAGGCAATGTGATAATGAAATTACTCTGGGTAATGTATCCGTACCATCGATGGTGAAGTATCCGCCACTGCCCTTGTTGTTGTTGTGCCCCTCTCCTCCTCCTCCTTCCACTCTTGTGTTTCGTCTCATTTCACTCATACATATCCCTCGAAAGGCAGTGCATACTGCACATGCTTCACTGGTCATCTCAGCGCGTCCACTATCGACGACGACAAGACGATATTCAAGACACGCACTTGAATAGACGGCGTTCGAGTCTCTGAGGTCAAAGCACCACTGTTCAGTCGTTGTTCATCCTTCATCCATCCTTCATTCTACCACCCGCGACCCTCTTCCCTACGAAGACTTGGACGATACCACTCGATTCCTCTCCTATCGCTGTCCTTCACCCCTTGGGTGCACACCACCCTCCAGCGCGTCGCAACCTCAAACGACAGCATTCGATGATCCCAACTCCCCCACAGACGCGGAAGAAACGCGTTTCTCGCGCTAGTTTCGTCGACGCGATGGATAAGGTGGAGATGCTGGTCTTCCCTGGACAATACCCTTCTCGGAAGAGGTTACGACCTGAGGTCTCCGTAGAGCGACGAGAGTACTGTTGCTCCGATTACGAGGACTGCGGAGGTTGACGATGCTGTTCATGAGGACTTGCAGTTTCCTTGCCACTGCCGAAGAAGAGAAACGGATGCTTCAATGATAACATCAGTGGAAGAGGTTACCGGGGGGTTTGAGTTCACTAATGGGGATAAGACGATCATCCAAATATTGTACGTGTTGCCTTATTTGCTCTCCGTCTGACTGACGCACGCTCATCCCCACTCTTAGCCGAGGCATGCGGCAAGAATACTCCAACCCGTTCGACAACCGACCCCTGAACATCGAAGCCTCCCGATCCCCCCTTTCCCAACCAGACTTCTCCTGTTCGCGCGTTGCGCCTCCCAATCTCCTCTTCTCCCCCGATTCGTCGAGGGGTATCACTCTGCATCTTTCGGAAGGCGAGAACCATACAACAGCAAACGAAAAACGCACATGTTTAGCGAATGCAGTGACACATCACTCGTTATCGACATAAGTGGACGCTCAGGGGAGAAGCCAGATTGAGGCTTGCTCTTTCCCGTGAGAATCGCAAGCCTCCACACCCTACCAGGTTGCTTAACCTGCCTGGTTATGATCAGGGCCTGCGGGTCGAATGAGGCCGTTCAGTTCAAGAACGTCTTCTTTGATCTCTCTTACTCAGCGCCGCTGTCCTCTCTCCTATGCTCTCTGCCACGTTAACTCAGGAGAACACGGTATTCTCCCCGAAATTCTAGGAAGCAACCACAAATGGCCTTGCGAATCCGTCAACAACATCACCGGTGGTCTCTCCCCCAAAGGAGCCTTGGTGGATGACGTATGGACGTCGGCAACTAGGAGAGTCTGCTGGAATGAATCTGACCAAGATGCGGCATGATATCTTGAAACATATTTTCAACTTGGCGAACGAGGACGATTCCTACTTGACTACATTTTACCCGTCTTCAATGAGCCACAAGCCCTCCCGGCGTGGAGAAGTATTGTTTGCCTCTCTCACGTGAACACTCAGTTTCGGTGAGTAGTATGAATTGCGCTGTCATTCAATCTGACCGAGCTGCACAGAGAAGTTGCACTCTCTATGCCGACGCTTTGGAGGTGTATCTGCGTACGAGGTTGTGGACGATCCGAATTCCTCGTGCACAATGCTTCAGCTCTCGTTCGAAGATCTGTCCTGTGGACATTGAAATCGACATGACCGATTTGTTTCATAACAAGATCAGATTGGGATGTGCGGCTATTGATTACTCCCGTGGATCAGGCAGCGCCAAAATTACGCACTCTGAATCTCTGCTGCGTAAGCAGGAGCGAGGCACACAACGAAGGAGAATGCGACAGTCTTCGACATCTTCCAAGAGCAAACGCCGGCCCTTTCCAACGCCTCTGTGCAAAGGATTCAGCTGCCATGTGTGATAGATGCTCTATCCGGATTGCAAGAGCTGAAGTTGAGCGAGCTGTGGTACGGATCATATTCAAGCGCGCCTTGGCGAGTGCCTTGAAGTTATCTCCAGGCGCCCAAATCTGAAGAAGCTTTCCTTCTGTGGCGACGTCAATATTCACCCCATCGATGACCTTTTCCACCGATCCTAGACCGCCTATCCCGTTGCATTCTCTAGAAGCTCTTGACATGGGCGGATTTCTCCCCACAGCGCTCTTCTCTGTCTCTATTCAGCCGGATTTTCGCAATCTAACTTGTCACCCTTGGAAATCCCCGACGCAAGCACTATAACGACTGACCCAGGGTACTTACACCGACCGCCCATCCCAATATCATTGATATTGCACTGATCCATGCGTTGTGTACCCATATCTCTCAACCATCCTCACGCAGCTACCCGGCCGTACAAGGGCCTAGTCTCATTGCTTGCCGCCGCTGGAGTGCTTCTATGAGCGGCTTGTTGACATTCAAAGGCCGTTTGAGGCATAATCGCTTCAGATCCTGCTACGGATAAACCTCGGCGGGGTCATCGGATAGGAGCATCGCGTCTGGTGGATCGTTCCAGTGGTCGAAGAGGAGCCCCTTCTGAACTTCTTCTCGACATTGATGACCTGTCGTGGGAGCGTGAAGAGATCGAACGTGGAAGCAGAAGGCACCAATTTTTTGCTGGCCGAATACCATATGGAGATGGGAGTCAATTCGCTTTGCACACTGCTCGCAAGTATCGATATCTCTTCTTCTGTGGATAGAGATGTGAAGACTGCGCGCGAGCTGGGAGATTGACATTGCGGATTGGGGCAGAATGTGCATGCTGGTTGATGTCCTCGTCGAGTGCGAAGGTACATCCCCAGTCGGACGACTCGGAACTGGGCGGCGTGATGGTTAAGACCGTTGCCGTTGGCGAGATGACGGATAGGCAGAAGGTTATGGGAGCGGTGGTCCGTTTGCAGAATCGGCTCCACCGCAACGCCCACCTTGCCCATCAGCACTTGACCTGCGCTGAGGATGGCCAGCATCAATGATTCCTCGGATGCCATGAAGCTGAGAGAGAAAGACGGGATTGATACCCAGGATGGAGCCGGTGGGGAGGTGGTGTGTCTCCGAAGTTGGGTGGATTGGCACCTGTGGACTGGGTGAGTAGAATGACCAGTCTGGGATAAACGTACTCTCGACACCTTGTTCCCTGTCGGTACCAGAAGTACGCCGTTGCCCTCGCTGTCAACTTAGTACAGCTCGCGCATGACCCGCTCGAGTTCATCTTCCCGTCGATATCCGTGATTTCGTCTTCTGAACAGGTCTGGCAGAACGCGCGACTGGAGGAGAATCCCGACGGCGATGATTACAATAGCTGGTCCTGTTCTCCACAACAGAAATGGAGTGGTTTGCGCGGATGTTCCTGGGCTAGCCATCCTCTCTGATGGTCGTCGTGGGAGAGGACGCGAAAAGGTGCGTCTGTCGTACGATGGACATGGGGCAAGTAGGCAGGCAAGTCTGACACATGCAAAGATTATATAATAGGACCAAAACATGGGAAATGTGATGTTGCTGTGATTCTTATCCTAGCTACATCAGCAAGGACATAGATAAATCTCGTGCACGTGTTCTTGCATGGCTTCCAGAATATCTTCGTCCACCAACATGTAGGGACCAGCCCAACCACGTTCCCATTCCCCAAGTTCTCCGTTAACGACGCTTGAGAGTCGTCGCAGTAAAGGTGCCCGGATAGTTACTTCTTGAAATTTACGACAACGTCCCAGCATTGCATATTCCGATCTAGATCGAACCAAGTCCAACAGATCTTCTTGGGAGAAATTATTGTCACTGTCAGGCCATGCGCTGTACCTTAAGTCGAGCTTCAGACTTCGAAGTGCGGGGCAAACCACGTCTAAGCTATCGTTGAGGACAGCCAACATGTCCGAGGTTACTACGCATCCAGACAGGTGGAGCTCCTGAAGCAGTGGCGCCGCTCGTAGTGTTCTCTCTAAGGTATCGGGATGAATGCAGAACTCACTCAGACAGAGAGTCGTGAGGGAATGGAGTATGGATAGGACCGGTCGGAGAAAATCAACGTCCCTGTCTTTTATCCCATACAGTTCGCGGATATCTAAAACTCGAAGGTTCGGCGCGCCTATGGTCTGAATGAAGGAATGGAGATTCATTTCCCCGTCTTGGTCACGACCACCTCCGAATGTCAACGTAAGGGTGTGAAGGTGTTGCAACTTGATATACTCCCGGTGTAGGAAGTTCAGGGGAAGAGTAACTTCGAGGCTCTCACCATTGGTGTCGCCTTGAGGATGCGGAGGTCGAGCCGCATCAGGCCCCCCGTTCGTACTGCCGATGGAGCTTGGTCAGCACTGACTCGTTCTATCCATTGTATATGCGATTCGTCCTCCATTGCCTCCAGTTCCACATTTTCCGTCCAATTCCCCAGTTTTAAGGAAGTCAGAGAGTGGGAGATGCTGTTGGTTCGAGTGTCTGTCACGAGAGTGAACTGCCTGACGGTGAGACTCTTCAACTGAGTCAAGTGTAAGACAAGTGGGAACGGCGGTAGGTATCCCCCGGACTAGAAATATCCTGCGTTTTGAATAGAAAGAGACTCCAGGGCAGGAAGTGAGGTAGCAATACATTTCGATACGTCGCGGACATAGGGTGCTGATAATTGGATGTCCACCGAACGAATAGAAGCAAGCGACGTTTGTAAGGTAGCAAAGACCGTTGGAATAGTCGCTTGCGCATCCAGGTCCCGGGTAGTAAATCGGAACGTTACAGGCGCTCCCTGGCACCGGAAAAGCAATCTTGGAAGCTCTTTCACAATATTAGACCAACGCTGCGTTCCAACAGAGTCGCAAGTCGGGTGCCGCAGAGTGTCCGAGATTACAAGAGTAGACCAAAGCTGAGGCATCGTCGCACACACGTCTCTCCATCGACGGCAAACGAGCGGGGCCACGTGCGCGAATTCGCGTGTCATCTTCGATATGAAGTCACTTTGTTCCGTTGCGATGAGAATGATATCGCACAGCAGTTCGTCGGGAAGTGTGGAGATCCCCGCTATAGACCAGAACTGGCAGTGCTTCTGAAGGCGCTTGGCCAGAATCAACCTTGAATCGCTTTCATACTGCGCACGGAGAAGTTTCAATCGGAGCTTATACGCTGTGTCGCTCCTCATGTGTTCAATGGGCAGGAGCTCAATCTCACGCTTGAGCTCGTGTCGCAGGGCACACCTCTCCCGAATCGTCGAAGGGGGCGTCCATGTGCCGTTGGGCCATACAGGAGCGGCTGGAATTGATATCATGGGGTTTGTTCTGTCGTGCAGCGTTCGATAACGAGGACCACGTTGTTTGAATGCGAAGCGCCGGTATTCGATAGGAAATGTTCGGGGACATGTGGCCCCAGTGTCTGCCGGTTAGGGGACATCGTTTGTACGTCACGTTCTGTTGGCGTAAACGCGTAAGACATCTGCCTGTTCATTGAATTTTCATCACTCTTTGCTCACCTTTGAAGGTCACCCTGGAACTTGAACACCTGTGTGAAATAAGGAGAGGGTGATTGGCACTACTGGCGGATAAGGCGAGAGAACTCCCCCAACGTGTTCGACGTGTCCTGCACGTGACTATCCGAACTCTTTCCTTTTTAGGCGCACAGTGACAGGCCGTTCTGACCTCTTTCCCTCAGAGCACATTAACATTGTTTGCTGCCAACAGGTACGTGTATTTTCATCACAATATGGCCTGAAACATCCAAAACCCCAAACATCTGTCGCTTGCATCAACAGGACTAAAAAGTCGCAGAGTTGATGTTTCTGTGATTCGTGTCCTAGCTACATCAGTAACTCAAAGGACAAAAGTGTATCTCAGCTACGTGATCATGCATGGCTTCAAGAATACCTTGATCTAACAAAGGGGGCGCTGGCCACTGGGCGCAGTCAGGTTCGGCATTGCCGTGTACTGCGACTGGTCGTAATAAAGACTTCCGGATAGTTACTGCCTGAAGTTTACGACAACGTCCCAGGATTGCATTTTCCGCCCTCGATCGAACCAAGTGCAACAGGTCTTCTGGGCAGAAACCATGGGGGCCATCCGGATCCATCCCGGACGCATTCTTGAGAACCAGGGTTCGAAGTCCGGGGTATAGAACATCCTGGCTACCGTGGAGGACAGCTAACATTTCGGGAGTGATAACGCATCCAGACAGACTGAGCGATTGTAGTAGTGGCGTCGCTCGTAGTATCTTTTCCAAGGGTTCCATTTCGAGCCAGTAACCGTTTAAACGGAGGGATACGAGGGAACTGACCATGGAAATGACCTGTCGGAGAAACTCATCCTCGGCGGATTTCAATCGCCAAGGTCGGATGAAATCTAAAATACGAAGGTTGGGCATGCCAATGGTCTGGTTGAATAAACAGAGATTCCTTTCGTCCTCCGTCTGCACATCGAGCCGGAGCTTTTGAAGGTTTTCTAACTTGAGATATTTGAGGTGTACAAGGTCGACGGGAAGAACGAGTACGAGGCTTTGCAACATCGGTGCCGCCTTGAAAATGCGAAGGTCGACCCTCATTGATACCTTGCGTATCACTGCGGATGGAGCCATGTCAGCGACTCGATCCATCCATTGTACATCTGATTCGTCCTTCATCTCCTCGCATCCCACGATTACGGTGAACTGCGACCAACGCTTCAGTGATGAGCGAAACATATTGCTGCGCTTCTTCATCGAGACTGTGAACCCGTCAACGGCGAGACTCTTCAACATTTTGGATTGCAAGACCAGAGGAAACGGCGGCACATCGCTCTCCGGGTCTCCCCATGCCAAGTAATGTCTTGCGTTGTGAACGGAAAGAGACTCCAGAACAGGAGGTGACGTGGCAAGACATTTCGACGCGTCGCGGACATGCAGCGGAGATAGTCGGATGTCCATGGACCGAATGAAAGCGGGAGAACTTTGCAAAGTAGCGATGAGGGTTGGAATCGTGTTTTGAGCATCTGGATGATACGATTCATCCTATTCCAAGCTAACGGGCGCTGTCTGGCTCCGAGAAAGCAATTCTGGAAGCTCTTTGAGAATGTTAGACCAATAATGGGCTCTTCCGCCGCCACAATATTCGCCGAAGTTGACTGAGATTACGATAGTGGACCAGAGTTGGGGCATTGTCGCACACACGTCCCTCCAGCGACGACAAACAAGGGGCGCTATGTGTATGAATGCGCGAGTCATCTTCCGGGTGAAGCGACTTTCTTCTGTCGCCAGGAGAATGATATCGGAGAGCAGCTCATCTGGAAGCGTGTGGATCCCCGCGATAGACCAGAACCGGCAGTACTTCTCATTGCCTTCGGATCACCATTGAGTCGTCTTGATATTGCGCGCGTAGTAGCTTCAATCGCAGCTCATACGCTGTATCGATCCTCATGTGCTCAATGCGTAAGAGCTCGATGTCGTACTTGAGCTTGTCTCGCATGGCCCACTTCGCCCGGATCGTCGTAGGTGGCCTCCACATGTGCTCGGACAAGGTTTGAGTGGCACTGATCGAGAGAGAGGCACCTGTTCTATCGCATGGCGTTCGATTTCAGCGGCGACGTTGTTTGACGGCAAAGCGCCGATGTTCGATGAGAACATTCCGAGCACATATGGTCTTCTGTCGGCAGGGCGCCATTCTTTCCGATGATCTGTTGGTGCGAATGTAAGAAGTCTGCGTGCTTCCCAGCCGCGTCACTAATTCTTGCTCACTTGCAAAGGGGAAGATTCGAACGTTCCCGCCAATGTTTATGTGCGCTGGGGAGAGAGCTGGCATTGGATGATGCCGGAAAAACTCGGTCTTCAACACGCGTTTTGCACGTGCCTTTCCAGGCTTTGCTTCTTTCGGTGCTTGTCCATTTTCGATGTGATCCTCCATGCCCATATAGTCTCATCTTCAGCATCCATACAGCAGAGCATTACTGCTTGGGAGGAAGAACCTCGCGAACGGTGGGTTGTTATGCCATCCTGTTCGTCCTTTTCCCTGCCCACCTTCGACCACTACATGTGTACGCCCGACTCTCCGCTCCGGGGTCTTTCCTCCACCTTATCCAGCTCCAAGGTATGAAAATCAGCCTTGCAATCCCGTCGTTTGCTCCTGGTATGCTGCGAGCAGGGCGATGGAGGGAATACAGGTCGTAGTTCCTGAGCGTGAGGGAGAGTGGCACATCCATATACTGAATGTCTCGATGTTTGGAGCGCTTCAGGCGGAAGAGAGATGGGAGATGTGAGACCGGAAACGTCGGGGTTGGTGAGAATGCGAAAAGGGAGTGCAAAAGGCTGAGAGGCTGAGCGCGGCCTGCATGGGAGCTTGAAGAGCGCGAGCGCCAAGCAGGAGCCGCAAATCTTTGTCGGCGGAATACCATGGGTGGAAGGGAGCTAATGGGCATTGCATACTGTTCGCATGTATCGATTGATCTTCTTTTGCAGATACAGGTGTGAAGGCTCGGCGCGGGTTGGGAGGTTGACATTGCGGATCGGGCTACAGATGTACACGTTGGCTGAATACCTCGTCGAATGCGAAGCTACATCCCCACTCCGAGCCGGTGGGGAAGGGGAGGAGCGTCGCGGGGGGGGAGGTCGAATGACTCCGAGGTTGGGTGGATTGGCACCTGTGGACTGGGTGAGTAGAATGAAGATAAGTGTGGCATAAACGTACCCTCGACACCTCGCTCCCTCTCGAGACAAGAAGGACTTCATTGCCCTCGTTGTCAACTGCGTTGAGCTCGCGCATGGCCCGCTTGAGTTCATCTTCCCGCCTAGATTCGTGACTTTGTCTTCTGAACAGCTCTGGCAGATCTTCAGACTAGAGGAGAATAGCGGCAGCGATGATGACTATCGCCGAATGTCGTCTCATCCTCGAGAACAGAAACGGTGTCGCACGGGATGATGTTGACGGCACAGACATTTTCTCCTGGGCGTAAGGGCCTGAATGTGTTCCAACTTGATACACTCTCGGTGTGTGTCGTCTTCAGGATGCGAAGGTCGAGCCGCATCAACGCCTCCGTTGGCGACGTGGATGGATCCTCGTCAGTAGTGACTCGTTCTATCCATTGCAGATGCGATTCGTCATTCATTGTCTCTAATTCCACAATTTCGGTATGACGCACCTCTTGCCACAGAATTTTGTGACCCCGGCTTCTGCTTGACGCTCATAAATTCGTACTCATTTCTTTACCTGTATCTATAATTTTAAATCCTAATCTTCTTCTACGTCGAAGTTCTTCAGTAATGGAGCTTCGAAAGAAGACATCTGTGTTACATGATTCCCTGTTCAAAGGCCCTCTTTGGGACCTGGAAGAGACGGGTTCTGGTCAGGAGAACGAATCTACGCGAAAAAACAAGTTGCAGAAGCTTTGTTAAACGCCGATGGTAAAAGCCGAGACGTTCCCCATATCCTTTCTCCTTGCGATTCTCCAACTCGGTCGGCCCATGATCCTTCGAACATCCTGCCCATTATTTTCTGTGTGAGGAAGGAAGGGAAATTCATCCGATTCTTGGAAAGCTCATCGCATTCACCGTGGTCCTCAGCGTTACGTACCTGCGAGAGGTGAGCAAACGGACCATGTACTGCATTCTTCTCACCAACAGAAGTCACGTCTCGGATTCACATGGTATTGTAGAATGTCTTACTTTTTGCCCGGGTATCCTAGCAGCGCTCTCGTTCAAGATCATATCCACTGACGAGCATCAGTTTTGACACCACCTCTACCTGATATGTATTGATAAACCCTGCCAGTGTTGCGGCACAGTCAAAAGCTTAAATAACGCGTGTGTGAATCGGCACGGAACGTAAATGATTCTGAGCGACCAAGAAGCCTGAACCCTTTCGCCGGATATAAGAAAGAACCCCGCAGGAGCTTGTTGAAACACCTTCACACGACCTTCGGAGAACGCGCTTTGCCAATAAGGGACTCCCTTCCTTTAAATTACCAGGTGAAAACAGACGGATCGTATCGTGAAAGGGAGTGTTTACTAGTGCCTCCGATCACTCGACAGACAGTCGTGGTGCAGGGCGAAAGGAGATATGGTGGTTTCCTGACCGCGCTTTGCCGTAATCTTCCTTTTACCATGATGACCTCATGACAAAAAAGTCTAATCAATACTTTGGATGGAGAGTGGGGATAGCACGGAGCTAGACCCTTTATAGCATCAAACAACATGGCTGCAGAACTGTTTGGAACACAAAGAAGTCTTTACGACACCAATTCTTTACTGAAAGCGCGTAAACTCTATGGATTGCGGAATTCCTTACAACCGTGGTGTAGGATGCCGACCTGCATGGGTCTGGCTTCTCTGGTCCTGCTCTCCCCAGAAGGCTGCTACTCACCTCGGTCCATATATTTGTCAATGACATAACCATCCAAATTGTCTGGTACCTGCCGCTGATTACAACGTGATAGGCGGATAGAGAAGAACGGCAACTCTATCACAACCGCATCTCTTGCTTTTCTAGTTTCACAACTTCTAGTCTGTGTTGCTGCGTATTTTCTTTCCCCTTCTCTGGTCAACCGTTCTACAGCCAAACTACAGCCGTAACTCGTTCTTGTCTCCTAAACGACTCTAAACTGTCAACATGTCCAAGAGAATTCGTTCGGAATCTGGAAATGAGGACAACACAGCACCCCGTGCGCGACGTCCATTCCGGCAAGATACACCGGGCACCACCCAGTACACCGACCACCCTCGTTATCCCCATATCAGTGCCAACGAGCGAGTCCTGCATGAGGATAGCTCTCACGTGTTAGTCGGTGACGGCATGCTCCGCGCGAGGGCATCCAGCTCTCGGATGGATGTGCAAGAGCGTCCTATGGGCGAGCATCGCGCTCAGCGCATCAGACACCACGACAATCTCCAGGAGACGGCAAATGGTGCTGAGATCAAGACTGTCGACGCCCACCCGCCGACAGCAAACACAGACGTATATCTGCATTCTACGCCAGCGCGTACCGGCCGTAGTCGCTCGAAGCATGGCCCTCATGCCAGGTCGCACCCGAGAACGACGACGACCCGTCAATCACGCCGGACCCGTCGTCATGTGGAGTTGCCAAGGCTGCACATAGTCCTAGCGGACGTCATGGCCAACATAACTCAAGAGCCAATGGTCTCCGTCACACCCCACATCCCCACCAGTAGCTCGGAGTACTCAGGCAATGGCAACCAAGTCCTTCCGAGATTCTTCAACGCCGATGGACGCCTTCCTCCTCCAATCCCATCGCATTCTACAGCTTCATCTGATCATCTTCCCAGACACGAGTCCTGGAGGCAGCCAACTGCTCGTCAAGACTCCAACAGGCAGAACAAGAGGGCAATCCGCCTTCCTCCATTCATGGCACTGCTTGGAGCTCAGGCTCCAAGCTCACGTCAAGCCCCTCGCCGCCTTCCTCAGGTGATCGACCTGACAGGAGATGACGACAACGAGACTAGGCCAACCCAGATTCGAGAGGTCTGGTTCGTGGCTCATTCTGCGGCAAACGTTCGAAATGCAGCAAATCTCCAGCCAGGAGAAGACAGTGAGCCGCATCACGCACGTATGGCCTCCTATGCGCACAACTTGATGCTGATGGTAGCCGAGTTCGTCCCCTACCCTTCCCCTCCTCCTGCATCCAACAACCCGTAGACTCTCAAGGCACCCAGAACAGCCCAGAGAGCAACAAGACGCCCAAGTGAATTGCAGATGAAGACAAGCGGTGTGGGGGTGGTGAGATGGTCGCCTGAGGGGGAAAAGATGAGGAGAGGGAAGTACTAGTGTTGCCTCGAGTCAATGGCCCGTCAGTCGTGAGCCTTTAAGAGCCAACACTCCACTAGAGAGATCGATGTAGATATCTCCGTTTAGTAATACATTACATTATATTGATAATGAGACCCCGAACACCCTAATTCTTGTATCCTTTCGTCCGCGTCCGTCACGTCTTCCTCTCCTCCTCCTCCTCCTCCTCCTACTCTCGTGTTTCCTCTCATTTCACTCGTACATATCAATTGGAAGGCGGGGTATATCGCACATACTGAACTGGGAATCTACCATCGACGAAGACGAGATCATATCCAAGACACGCAGTCGAATAGACAGCGATCGAGTATTTTGAGGTTAAAGCACAAATGGGGAAAGGGGGATCATCCAAGGATTGTACTTGTTGCCTTATTTGCTCTCCGCCCGACTGATGCACGCTCATTCCCACTCTTAGCCGAGGCATGCGGCAAGAATACTCCAACCCGCTCTACAACCGACCCCTGAACATCGAAGCCTTCCCCTTCGCCCGCTGCACCTCCCAATCTCCTCTTCCTACCCGATTCGTCAAAGACCACCGTTCTAGAGGATATAGAGAGGACACATGCAAGCCTCGTAGCGCGCACGCTCGAAGCAACGTCGCAAGGGCTACATCCTTCCGACACGCAACCAACCTCGACCCTTTTTCCCTCACGACCAGATACTCCCGTACTTCATAACTCGGCACCTGGTGGACGTACGAGTAGCGGTCATCCGAGACAAACATGTCTCCGATTACCCGGTCGCACACAGAGCGTGTGGTGAACGAGGAAACCAGACCAGGCAGGAAGTTCCTCTCCGATCGCCCAGGGAGGAAAGCCGTGTGATACGGACCAGACAGGAGGAGTATCACTCTCCATCTCTCCGCGTGGGAGGACCATACAACAGCAAAGAAGAAACGCACATGTTTAGCGAATGCAGTAGCATATCGAGCGATATCGACATAAAAGGACGATCAGAGGTTCTTTGATATCTTCTACTTGCCGCTCTCCTCTCTTCTATGCTCTACGCCACGTTAACTCAGGAGAACATGGTATTCTACCCGAAAATCCGGGAAGAAACCAGAAGTGGCCCTGCGAAACCTGCACAGAGAAGTTGCACTGTCCATGCTGACTCTCTGGAGCTGCATCAGTGTACAAGGCTGAGGCCGATCCGAACTCCTCGTGCAACATGCTTCAGTTCTCGTACGAAGACCTGTCCTATGGACCTTGATATCGACATGACTGTCACACGAAAGGACAGTCGGCGGTACATCTGATCATTACGACAGTCCTATGAACAGAGGGACGATCTCTGCCCGGTAATGACATTCCTGCCGCCTATGAAGCACTGGCGCTCATTCTGTTTCACAACAGAATCAGATCGGGATGTGTGGCTATCGATTACTGTCCTGGACCAGGCAGAGCCTGAATTACACACCCTGAATTTCTGCAGCCTAGGAACCAGCATGCGTACGACGACAGAGAATGCGACAGTGTTCCATGTCTTCCAAGGGCAACATCTTCCAAGGACAGACGCCCCCCCTGGCAACGCCTCTGTTCAAGGGATTCAGCTACCTGTGTGTGATAGATGCTCTATCCGAATTGCAAGAGGTGAAGTTCAGCGTGCTGTGCTACGGATCACACGCAAGCGCACCTTGACGAGTGCCTTGAAGTTATCTCCAGGCGCCCGAATCTGAGAAGCTCTCCTTTTGGGCGACCTCGATATTCACCCCATCGATGACCTTTTCCACCGATCCTAGACCGCCTATCCCGTTGCATTCTCTAGAAGCTCTTGACATGGGCGGGTTTCACTCTTCTACATCCTCCTTCAGCTGGATGTTCCCAATCTAACCAGTCTTACCGTTGGAAAGCTGTGGCGCAAGCACTACAACGACGCACTCAAAGCACTTATACGGGCCATCTATCCCAATATCATCAATCTGACACTCATCTCCTGCGTCGTGCACCCATATCTCTCAAGCTTCCTACCACAGCTACCCGCCGTCCAAGGCCTCATCTTCGACCAGTGGAACAATCTGCCAGGCGCAATGCTCCTATCCGATGACCCCGCCGAGGTCCATCCCTAGCAGGATGAAGGGGTTATGCCTCACCCGGCCTTTGAATGTCAACAAGCCTCTCATAGATACACTGCAGCTGCGGCAAGCAATGAAACTATGCCCTTCCGAACTTCTGCTCGACATTGATCACCTGGCATGGGAGCCTGAAGAGATCGAACGTGGAACTAGGAGGCACAAATTTCTGCCGGCCGGATACCATATGGGGAAGGGAGCTAATCCGCTTTGCACCCTGTCCGCAAGTATCGATATCTCTTCTTTTGCGGATAGAGATGTGAAGACCGCGCGCGAGCTGGGAGGTTGACATTGCGGATTGGGGCAGCATGTGCACGCTGGTTGATGTCCTCGTCGAGTGCGACGCTACATCCCCAGTCGGACGAACTATGTGGCGTGATGGTCAAGAACGTTGCCTTTGGCAAGAAGACGAACAGAGTTTGGCGTCATATCACGAGGCACGCATCGCAACCGCAACGCCCACCTTGCCCATCAGCGATTAACATGCGCGGAGGATGGGGAGTATCAATGACACCTTGGATACCATGAAGCGTAGAGAGAAAGACGGGATTGATACCCAGGATGGAGCCGGTGGGGAGGTGGTGTGTCTCCGAAGTTGGGTGGATTGGCACCTGTGGACTGGGTGAGTAGAATGAACACCAGTCTGGGATAAACGTACTCTCGACACCTTGTTCCCTGCCGGTACCAGAAGTACTTTATTGCCCTCGCTGTCAACCGAGTAGAGCTCGCGCATTGCCCGGCCGAGTTCCCGGCCATATTCGTGATTCCGTCTTTTGAACAGGTCTGGCAGAACGCGCGACCGGAGGAGAATAACAACGGAGGACACGATGACGATCGTTGGGCGTCGTACTGTCCTCGACAACAAGAACGGTATGCTATATACTGATGTTGCTGGGGTAGCCATTCTCTGGTCGTCGTCGGTGGAGAGGACGCAGAGAGGAGGAAAGCTAGGATGGAAGTCGGGCAAGAAGGCACGTGAATTTTCACTGCTGCACGTGTGACTGAAATATGATGTTTCTGTGATTCCTGTCCTAGCTACATAAATATATTTGGGATATATGTTCTTGCATGGCATACAGAACATCTTCATCCAACAACATCAATGGGTGAACCCAGCCATAAAGGTTTGGCACTCGTCGCAGTAGAGATTTCTGGATAGTTACTTCATGAAGTTTACGACAACGTCCCAGCATTGAATTTTCCGCCCTAGATCGAACCAAGTCCAGCAGATCTTCCGGGCAAAAATTATATCGGCGGTCATATAAAGTGTCCATTGGGTCGAGCTTCATCCTTCGAAGTGCGGGGCAAACCACGTGCAAGCTAGGGTTGAGGATAGCCAACATGTCCGAGGTTACTATGCATCCAGACAGGTGGAGCTCTTGAAGTAGTGGTGCCGCCCGTAGTGTTCTCTCTAGGGTATTGGGCAGAATGCAGAAACCACTCAGACGGAGAGTCGTGAGGGAATGGAGTGTGGAGAGCACCGGTCGTAGAAAATCAACGTCCCTGCTTTTCATCCCGTAGTATTGGCGGATATCGAAGACACGAAGGTTCGGCGCGCCTATGGTTTGAATGAAGGAATGGAGACTAATTTCCTCGCCCTGGTCACGAACACGGGTGAATGTCAACGTAAGAGTCTGAAGGTGTTCCAACTTGATATATTCCCGGTGTAGGAGGTTGAGAGGAAGAGTAACTTCGAGGCTCTGCAGCGTTGGCGTCGTCTTGAGGATGCGAAGGTCGAGCCGCATCAGCGCCTCCGTTCGCACTGCGGATAGAGTCTCGGAAGTACTGACTCGTTTCATCCATTGTATATGCGATTCGTCATCCATTGCCTCCGATTCCACAATTTCGGTCCGATCCGCCAGTTTTAAGGAAGTCAGACGGTTGAAGGTGTTGTTGCCTTTAGCGTTCGTCACGACAGTGAACTGCGTGACGGTGAGACTCTTCAACTTAGTCGAGTGTAAGACAAGTGGGAACGGCGGTAGGTTGTCCGTGGCATCGTTCCCGAAAGAGAACCTTGTCGCGTTATGAATGGAAAGAAACTCCAGGGCAGGAAGTGAGGTAGCAATACATTTCGATACGTCGCGGACATAGGGTGCTGATAATTGGATGTCCACCGAACGAATAGAAGCAAGCGACGTTTGTAAGGTAGCAAAGACCGTTGGAATAGTCGCTTGCGCATCCAGGTCCCGGGTAGTAAATCGGAACGTTACAGGCGCTCCCTGGCACCGGAAAAGCAATCTTGGAAGCTCTTTCACAATATTAGACCAACGCTGCGTTCCAGCAGAGTCGCAAGTCGGGTGCCGCAGAGTGTCCGAGATTACAAGAGTAGACCAAAGCTGAGGCATCGTCGCACACACGTCTCTCCATCGACGGCAAACGAGCGGGGCCACGTGCGCGAATTCGCGTGTCATATTCGACATGAAATCACTTTGTTCCGTTGCGATGAGAATGATATCGCACAGTAGTTCGTCGGGAAGTGTGGAGATCCCGGCTATCGACCAGAACCGGCGGTGCTTCTGAAGGCGCTTGGCCAGGATCAACCTTGAATCGCTTTCATACTGTGCATGGAGAACTTTCAATCGGAGCTTATACGCTGTGTCGATCCTCATGTGTTCGATGCGCAGAAGCTCAATGTCACGTTTGAGCTCGTCTCGCAGGGCCCACTTCTCCCGAATTGTCGAAGGTGGCGTCCATGTGTCTTCGGGGATATTGGAGCGGTCGAATGTGGGAGAACGCCAGCGTTTCTATCCCATGGCGTTCGATAATGACGGCTGCGTTGTTTGATGGCAAAGCACCGATATTCGATCGTAAGGTTGCGAGCACAGATTGTTGCCCGTGTCGGTCAACAGGGTGCCATCCTTTGCGCTAGAGATCTGTTGAATTGGTGCGAATGTAAGAAGTCTAAATGTCTGATACCCATCCGTTTCATTAGTCATTGCTTACCTCTGGAGGAGTATGCTGAAACGTCCTTGTCGATATTTGAACCTGGCGAGTGAGTCGACGGGAACCGGGGAGTGGAGGATGAATATTGAGGGACAAAATACTTACGCGTGTCGAACAGGCGTTCTACACGTGCATTGATCCGCACGAGCTGGTTTGGTTCTTCGGGGCGCCTAACCCTTTTGGGCAACTTGAATGGCCGCATAGTTGATTGAATCAGCATCCTGAACTGCTCTCGTACGCCAGTCCGGTAGAGCACAGGTTGAATCTATGTCATCTAGCATCGATGAATTGCATGATCGGGACATGGGCGGTTGCAGGAGGGTACGAGTCAAGAGATATCCTTCGATCAGTATTGTTGATGTTGTCGTTGTCTAAATCAACAAATATCCCTCCAGCTAGGCTAAAAACAAGAATATGCAATATAAGTAAGGTACGTTGAGGCTGTCTAATGACATTACAGCTGTCGTCGGGGCCAGAAGAAAAAAGGGAGGATTGATTGTCTCAAGAGAGCGCACCAAGCACCTTGCCTGGTTCTGTCATTTACCCTAAGTATGTTGCCGGCCCAGGATATTGTTGCTGATGCTCTACACGGTGTAGATGGTATGGGTGGTAATGGATGAGAGGATGTTGTCACGGTAACGCGCGCTGCGCAACGTGATGCGCTGCTTGGCCTGCGGCAACACGCGTATCCAATAAGCTTGAACGAGGCACACAGTAGCCATCTGTCCGTGGTAAAGCCATCCAATAAACCGTTCGTGCAGCGGTATAGGTACAGGTACGCTGTGAATCGCAGGAGTGGTGATACAAGAATAGTGTGTGGTGGTGGACAGTTCAGTGTCCATGTAGAATACAATGAGAATGGTACAAGAGAAAAGCATACCACAGAGCTGTTCTGAACCCAGTTATTGGCGGCGTCTAATCATCTAAAGCAAACTCCGTATCCCAGTCATCCATATCAAAGTCATCGGATAACGGTGGGGGAGATGACGGAATTGTTGGAGGAGAGGATGGTGGAAGGGAACTAGTCCTCTCTTCTTCGGTGAGCTGAGCGAGGTACGCGTCAAATAAGTCACCGGGATCACCGTCATCGTCCATGAGAACTGACGACGGTGGTGAAGGTTCCGCTGATAGAAAAGTTAATGGTGATGCTTCCTCCAAACAGAAAGACGTACAATCTGGCTCTTGTGCTGCAGCGAGAATCTCACGCTCGAGAGCATCCACATCTTCCATATCTGGGTCGATAGACGAGCCAACGTCTCGAGCGTAAACCAGCTCCAGATCACGTTGTTTTCGACGCGCATCTGCGACAACAGCGCGGCGAATAAGCTGTAAGATAACATGAGTTTCACGCGTAGTAACATGACGCAAACAGCGCACCTCATCATCCAGGAAGTCTATCTCGCTCTCTTCCATATCCTGATCAGCTGCTGTATCCAGGCCTCTCTCTCGATCTCGAGACTTGCGTCGGTCGTTCGCAACGCGATCTTTACATCTCTGCTCAAGACGCTCTCGCCAGAGCAATTTCACAGGCTCGTCGTCCCGGGCCTTGCGAAAGGGATCAAAGGCGAGATTTGCACCCATATCGATATTGTCAGATAGACGCTTGAGAGGTTGGCGTGTTGCAGGTCGGCCATGAAAGGCAGTTTTGAAGACAGACACGCGATCGAGCGGTGAGGAGCGTGGTGGGGCGAGTGGTGAGGACGTGAGAGGTGATGATGCGAGCGTTCGTTGCATTGTGGATGCCCTGCGAGAGCTGCTGTGTAATGGCGGCGTTCGCAGAGGGGGTGACTGAGAAGAGAACATGGTGGTAGCGGAGAGAGGAGAAAGTTAAGGAGTGAGAGCGGTGGCGCGTCTTATTGCAATATTTGGGTAGACGCGTCGAGGCGTGATCAGTACGTCCAAGTCATCGAGTAAGACTATTAATACACAAATAGGAATATCATCATGATATTATGTTGCACAACTCAGAAGGATGAACATTTTGATATCGAGGCGCTACACGAATTCGATCACGGGAAAGAGCTATCGTGATATGTAGAACTTCCCGTTTGATGCACAGATGGATGAGTGCGACGTGGGCAGAGAAAGTGCGCTAACACCTTTGATCATCCTCTCACTGATGAATCCAGATGATCGCAAGATGTTCCTCGAATAGCGTCGGTTATATGCTCTCCATAGCAGAAATGTACAGAACTAGTGACTTCGTGAGTTGGTGCCTCGCTACCATAGACCGACAACACGCACCATTATTCCCACGAATGAACGCATCTCCATACCGATTCACAACGGCACCATCCACGTACTCCTCAGTTTGCTCAAGCGCGATGTTCATATACCCATCGAGGCAGGAAAGAAGACCTTCAGCGTGCTTGTCAGTCGGAAATACCATTCACTGGACACCTGCCATGGACTCACCCTGATAATCGACGCCGGAAATGAGTCGGACAACTACGCGCTTGCCAATGACGCCTTTGAGGAAGTCAGCGGGCGTCCCCACCGCTCCTGTCGATGAGTCTTGTGGTGGTTCGGACGACATGTGGGTGGTGTACAACTAAGTCTGTGTAGGGCGTCTGATCCCGTTCATGGACTTGCCCTGAGCGACAGCCGACGACGAGGTTGTGTACACCAGGATATGGTATCGCACAACTTCTACTCTAAACGTTGACTCTTGATGCATCCCCTGATACATTTGTGCCATGAGAGTTGCATGACTGTACGAAAATTGTTGCGCTCAGATTGAACTGATTACAAACATTATCTCGCCATATCAATTAGTATTAGAATCCTCCTCTGTAGAATGGCTAATCATACGCTTGATCAAATTCGTCAGAGTCCTATAGGTCAGAGTTGTAATGCACCCTTTCTGCACTCTCCCGCAAGGCAGGTAAACCTTCTGCATCTTGCAGCAGGGATTGTACGACGGTGTTGCTTCTCCAAAACTCCGCGGATTGTGGTAACTGTCGATCGACCCAGAGATCTTGTATCTTCCTACAGCGTCCAGTAACTGCGTTCCTCTCTCTGGACCGTACCAGTGCAACCAGAGCTTCAGTAAAACCTGTTATACAGGCCTCGTGAATATTGTTCGTTACGTTTTTGAGAACCAGGGTTCGAAGAGCGGGGCAAAGAACGGTGTCGTCAACATTGAGGAGGCCTAACATCTCTGCGGTTACAAGGCTGTCGCACAATTTGAGGTCTTCAAGCATATCACTGGCCCGCAACAGACTCCCGAAAGCGTTAGAGCTCGTCCCAGCCCATCCGGATCCTAAGTCGTGAAAGTGTAGAGACGTGAGAGAGCCAATTATGTTGACAGGTGGGAGAAGCGAATCCACGCTGGACCAATACAGGTCCATTGGAGGAAAGCCGTGAAGGCAGAACACTCGAAGTTTGGGTACATGGAAAGTTCGAATGAAACAATGGAGGTTCGTTTGTATCTCCCAACCTACATCAGCCTGAACCGATATAGTGAGTTTTCGAAGATGCGCTAGTTCGATGTATTCGAGCTCCTTGAGCTGAAGAGGAAGACAGAATTCAAGACATTGAAGCATGCGCATCATCTTTAGTATGCGGAAGTCGAACCGCATTTTCCTGTTCAGTGAGGAACCAGGGAGAACCACCCCAGAGACCAACTCTATCCATTGGAGATCGGTTTCATCCTGGGTTGCAGTTCCATTTACCAGCTCGGTGTACGGATGCAATTTCAGGGATGTCAGAGCGTGGAAGGGCTGCTGTGTCTTGATGAAGACGGCGAATCGCTCAATGGTGAGGTATTTTAGCACGGTGGAATGCAAAATCAATGGAAATTGCGGTATAGTATTCGACCGTAGAGGGCCACATTGGTGGGGATCGCTCTGCTGTAGGGAAAGAGACTGTAGCTCGGGAAGAGACGTGGCAAGGCATTTTGATGCGACGCAAACAGCGGAGGCAGGGATTGTCATGTTCAGGCATTGAATGGAAGCAGGTGAAGATTGCAAGATGGAGAAGAGTCGTGAAGTTGCTGTCGGTCGAACTGCTTGTTCAATCACCCCTGCTAACATCCCTTCGCTGTCATCCAGTGTAAGAGTGGCCGGCGCCGCTTTAATCCGTGAAAGCAAAGTCGGCATATGTTCGACAGCATTGTGCCAATATTGGATGCCTTTATCTCCGTACTCCCAACTACTCGACAGTTCAAGAGAGGACCATAGTTGCGGAGTTCCCATATAGACATCCCTCCATCGACGGCAAACGAGCGTTCCGACATGGACAAATTCGCGAATCAAATGGGGCGTGAAATCGTTTCCCTCGGTCGCCAAAATGATGATATATGACAGGATTTCGTCGGGAAGTGTATGGATCCCTATAGTTGAACACAATCGCTTTCGCTTCTCCCGAACATTTGCGCGGATGACAGCGGTGTCGCCTTCGTATTGAGTTGTCAATATTTTCAGTCGGTGCTCGTACGCGATCGTAATTCGCGTTTGTTCCACACGCAACTGCTCGATCTCGTGCTCGATCCTCTCTTTGATAGCGTACTTCTTGTTCATAGTCAAAGGCGGCATCCATATCTCGTCGCAAGAGGTATCCGCATGCAGAACAGGGAGAATAGGCCGTGTTACACGCTCGTGCGTTCCTCGATTACGGCGCGTGCGATGCTTCGATGCATATCTCCGGTGCTCGATCGGGAGTGTGTTGTCGCACGCGGTTGTTGGGCGAGAGCCATCGATGTGTATAGCAATTGTATGACAACTGATGACGAAAGAACATTATTTACCCCGCTGAAGACAGTTCATGAGCCGTACTTACCAGTATTGAGCTGCTTGCTGGTGGAGACGCGAGTGTTGAACCCAAGGGCTCCTCGACTTGAAGCAGGAAGATGTGGGAACAGTCACGGCCACGTGTGTAACACATGTTCCCAACGTGAAGCTGTACTTCTTGCAGTGACCCATCGAAGGTTTTGCATCATTGCTTCCAACGTTTAACCTTTCCTGTACTCGACGTCGGGGCATGGGCGGTGTGTCATATTATTGATGTGCTGCAAGAATCGACTGCGAGATGGACTGATTCGTTTGCAGAGAGGAGTGTGCTGCTTCTTGAGACGATAGATCGTCTGGTGTTTGAGAGGCCGTCGACAGCCGTTACACCACCTGACGCCATGGCTTGTCCCGTCATCAATGTCAACGACCACACGAATCTACGACCTTGATGTTGTGTGATCACAAACCCACGAGCCGCAAGTCATTATCCTCTAGATAACGGACAACCACGACAGAACAAGCACCGTCTGCAAAGGGCGTCTGATCCCGTTCACTACGACAAGACTCACACGACATATGCATGGAGGTAATTCCTCCGATGACCCCTTTCGGACGCATTTTGCCTACAATGACCCCAAATGCCGCCCCTAAGTAACCAAATCAGGAAGGTAGTGGCTGTGGCAGTAGAAGCACGTGCCTCCGGTCATTCCAACAACGCGTTTTTCTGAGTGTTTTGTTATTAAAACAGACCTCTTTCAAAAGGCAAGCTGGCTGGTATTGCACATGGTATGCATTATTTTCAAGAACTGCTGTGAAATTCCTTTCCTTGCCGTAAAAGTGCGGTGTTCTCTCACCGATGTTTACGATGATGAAAATTGGTGAATTATTATAAGAGGTATCCATGCAGAATTAATTTACATATTGTAATATAACCGATTCAAAACAAAACAAAGCTTTGTGAATTAATTGTCGGAACACACTTTATAAACCGACACGAAGAGACCGGACCGTTACCACCACCTCAGGCCTTGGGGCCATTTCAGGGATTTGCGCCCGAGGGGTCATTGTAGGCAAAATGCACCCGGAAGCGGTCATCGGAGGAATTACCTCCATATGCATGTGCTATTATCTTTCGACTGTGACAATCTGCACATTCGTTCTTCTATTATTCTCATTTAATCCAACGCAAAGTCATTGCCAAGGTTGTCGCCATAAAGGCGACATGTCACATGAATAGGCAATTTGGGCGAAACTTGTCCGCTGCTGAATCAGCTGGTTGCTGGGTCGCGTCATCATCGAAAGATATGGGTCTTGGAGGATATAAAAGCTGGCAGACATCCACGCTGTCACCCTTATTCACTCAGACTCAACCTCGACAATCACCAAATGGCTGCTCGTAAACCAATTCTTGTCGTCGCAGGTGTGGGCACTGGTGCTGGTACGCTTGTCTTCTCGAGTGACTCCCGCATATTAGGCTTATATTTGAGTTCACAGGCACAGGTGGGTCGACCGCGTATGTACACAAGCAACTACACATCTGTGTATCTCTTATACATGAGGTCTAGACGACTGTTTGCAAAGCACGGCTACAGTGTAGCATTGATCGCAAGGAATGCTAAGGAGCTCGAGGCGACAGCAGAGGAGATAAAAGCGGCGGGAGGCACAGTGCACATATTCTCTCCATCAAATTCTCCCTTTTACTGATTCCCGTGCAGGCAGCGGCATTTCCAATCGTCAAATATGACTATAAGGAGATACACGACGCTTTCGATGCCATCAAGAAGCACTGGCCTGATGAGGAGCTTCGCGTAGCTGTGTGGAACGCTGGCTATGGTGTTTGGAAGCCTTTCTTAGAGGTCACCGAAGAGGAAGTGAAGGAGAGTGTTCGTGAGTTGAGCATGAACTGGGATTGGGCGCAATTTGCTGACTTTCATGAAGAGATCAACATTGTAGCTGCAGCCGCGTTCGCCCAGGAAGCGATCCTGGCCTTCCAAAAGCTGGAGTGCGTACCACTGGCTGAATCATTGATACAAACCTGATCGAAAGTAGGGTGGATAATGTCGGTGCACGGGGCAACCTGATTGTCACTTCCGCTACAGCTGCTTGGCGTGGTAACCTCACAACATCTGCATTCGCTGCTGGAAAACACGGGCTGAAGGGGTTAGCTCAATCCTTGAACAAAGAGTTCGGAAAGCAGAATATCCATGTATCCCATGCGATCATTGATGTGAGTGTGATTCATCTTTGATCCTTCCGTTTTAGCGCTGATTCGCTCCATGAAGGGGAGCATTCTTACCAACCGCTCCCGAGGCAGGGGTGACGAGTATGTCAACAACCCGGACGTTAGGCTGGACCCGGACAGCATCGCCAAAGCATACTTCTAGTGAGCACCGTATTGAGTAGTGATGAGAGCAGGGGATGAACCGTTTTCATAGCCTTGCCCAGCAAGATCGCAGCGCCTGGACCTTCGAACTTGACTGTACGTTGTCATGCAATGAGCGAGGACCCAAACTTATGATCTTCTATCAGTGCGCCCCGCTCATGAGAAATGGTAACTGCAGTGTTCAGGATGAATGTACGTTCAATAGTGCCGATATGTATAACTTTGAGAATGCAGTATATTGTGATAGCAGTGTTAGTGAATAGTCGCAGACTAAAAAAGAGCATGTGATTTTTGCAGGAATGCCGTCACAAATCGGGTGCCTTTACTCAGGGTCCGAATCTGTTGCGGGGAGTTGACCACTAGTCCAACATCTACACTTTCTTGTTCAATATTCTGGTTCGAGTCCTTTTGCATTTCCTCTTCTTACCTTATATCCAGATGCTTGTTTTTGATAACTGCCCAACCTGTTTTGAAGTATCCCTTTCTTGTGTGGTAGACGATGACCAAATCTGATGCAGCGATCAGGATTTTACCCCGGAACCTGAGCATGCCCCCTATTCTATTTCTTGTGGTACGTCACATAACTTCATACCGTGCATATTGACCGACATTCTTGGAAAAGGTCATGTATTTTGTCTCTCATGTTTAGAAGCACAGGATCCTAAGCACTGCGCCTTATGTCGTGATCCATATCTAAGTCGAGAAGCCAGACGGATATTCCCATCGGTCAATCTGGACGATGCACAAGACGCATCAAGAGTCGAGGAAGTGGTCATAAAGGCCATCGATGACTGCCATCCTGAGAGGTTTGAATCGGCGGTGAACTTGATGCAGAAATGGCTGCAGAAGGGGAGTGCGGCACAGGCCTCATTTCAGGTGCGCTGCCATTCTCGTTCGGCGTCTTTACCCCTCTGACTCCAACCCAGAGTACCGTCGTTCGTTTGAACACATATATGAGAACCATGAAGCGGTTGTCGAAAGCATATGGAGACATGGTTCAATATGAAGCTGTCATCAGGAGTTTAGATGATCAGAAGAAACTATTCGACGAAGAGTTGACGGCCGTACAACTGGAAGTGCTAAACGAGCGCGTGAAAGTGGAAGCTGCGGAGAAGGAGTGTGCGGATCTCCATAGGGAGTTGAAGAGGCGGAACTCAGAGCTCGCAAGGTGGAAGAATATAGTGCGTAACTTGACTTTCAACACACCATCACCATTTAATGACCGAGCCCAGTGCCGTGATTTGGACCACGAGATGATGGAAGTAAAGGACGAGCTCATCGAAGTTGACCAAGTAGCGCGAACCGCAAAAGAGTCGGCACATAACCACGAGACCGATGCGCTCCGATGGCGAAAACGAGTATGTGCTGGAACTCATGTATGGACATTTTCTCATGACTCATCTTAGTATGAGCAAGCAATCTCAGAGCTTGCGGAAGTCCGACCGCCGTTCACGCGGCCTACTTCTCCTGGAGCGCTCAGTTTCACCACTGGATACGCATTCTGACAGACCGAACTTTCAAGTTCTCACATCGGTCTTTGTATCTATTCATCGCTGTTTGCCATTGATCTAATTGTTTACATGTGCGATATGTTGTAACACAAGACATTGAAGGAATGAAGTTGATTGTATAGTCCAAAAAAGCGGTCTAAGCGTGCAGGGGGTGAACGCCATTTATGTGGTGTACAATCGCAGCGGCATGAGCCTTCTTCACAGTGAGATCATCGACCAGCGATGTGGACTGTGCGACTGCCGCTGCGAGAGCCTGATCGATATCGTCGATAAGATCTTCCACTTCCTCACAGCCGATGCTGAGCCGAATCAGGTCATCGGTGATCCCGATCTTCTCTCGCTCCTCCTTCGGAATGCTCTGTAACATGATCAGCAACCGTCAATTCGACCTTAGACAAAGACGCACCCCATGTGTCATGAGAGCAGGAAGTTCAGCAAGACTCTCCACTCCACCCAGGCTCTCAGCAAGAGTAAACAACCTAGTCTTCGTCAAGAACTTCTCCGCTGCTCCCTCTCCGCCCTTGATCCTGAAGCTGACCATCCCGCCATATGGCACCCCGTGGGCGACGACGTCCGCCGGCAGCGTGTCGATGAACTTTGCAGCATGGGGCGAGAGAGATGCCAGAGCAATAGCGTGGCGAGAAGCGTCGATGAGGCCGGGATAGATGACTTCTTCTACGTAAGGCGAGTCGAGGAGCCGGTTAGCAATTCGGAGCGCGTTCAACCCGTGCTGCTTCATTCGCAAAGGAAGCGTCTTGACGCCACGCAGGGCCAGCCAGCAGTCAAATGGAGAGGGAATTGCTCCAGACGCGTTCTGCAGGTACCGTAAGCGCTCCGCTAGCCGCACGTGCCGCTGTGGCAGCACAAGAACGCCCATGACGACGTCGGAATGGCCGTTGATGTATTTCGTTACGCTATGCATAACGATGTCGGCGCCTAGGAGGAGGGGAGAAGAGTAGAACGGAGACAGGAAGGTATTATCGACCAGGACAAGTGGGTGAGATGGATGCGAATGGACGAGGCGGATGATATCAGGAACATCGATAACACGAAGTGTCGGATTCGTCGGACTCTCAATCCAGACCAGCTTTACGAGCAATTAGCATGCAGGCACAGGGCAGCATGTAGAGGACTCACCTTAGTATTTGGTCTTATGCTTGACAAAATCGCTTCATCCGATGAAGTCTCGAGGTCGACAAACGACACTTCTAGCCCTTGCGTCTCCGAAGCCACTCTCGTAAGGTACCGGAAAGTGCCGCCATAGACGTCATTAACGGCAACGACATGAGCACCAGGCCCAAGTGATTGCACAACAGTAGCGGTGGTAGCAGATCCGCTGGCAAACGCGATGCCGTATTTGCCAGATTCTAGGGATGCGACTGCTTTCTCAAATGCGTCGCGATTGGGATTTCCGGAGCGGGAGTACTCATAACCCTAGAGGAAAGATCAGCATAAGAAATTACTTTCAGAGATGCAGACGTACCTTGTGCACACCAACAGCATCTTGCTTGAACGTTGTGCTGAGAGCGATAGAGGGCATCACCGCTCCCGTCTCTTGGCTCGGTTCTGAGCCGACATGAATCGCGTTCGTTGCGAATCCGTCAGGCCGGTGTTCGTTGGAATGAATGTGACCGTTGTTGAGGAGCAATGCAGGCGACATTGTGGGGATGAAGTGCAAGTTAGATGGTGGTTAGAGATTAAGAGATGGAGGAAAGTATATATATGATCTCCAAGCAGTCGAGGAGATCAGCACGCAATTTCGGCCGCGGATGTGGGGAAGTTGACCAAGCGATATGACTCAGCAGGATTGGTAATCCAGCGCTTGTCTTCTGGGCGCTTCTTTCCCTTCATGATCCGGTTCATCCATAAACAATGTTATGACTCCTTAACATTTCTCATACACAAACAATCATCTGATACCATTCGGTGTTAACCTGATGTGCAACGATCTCATCATGTCCCACTTCTTCCTCACATCCGCAAACGGTTCAACCAAGATATCGACAGAGACTCCCGATGTACACGTATTCGTGCAGAATCCCCCTCTGAACCATCTATGGATCTTCTTCCCAATACCGTTCAATCCTGATCAGCTGAGTGATTGGCTTGCACATCACCTGCCAAACAATCCCGCAGGAAGAGCCTTCAATGCATGGACCGTCAATTGCTACAACAAGGAGATGGCCCTGAAGCTGTACAAGGAATGGAAGGCGACATCATTCGATATTCTGTACGAAATGAACCTTCCTTCGTCGCCGGCAGTCCGAGCAGGGAGCCCTTGCTCCGATGGGTTCCTGATCAGAGAAGACCCGAGCTTCCTGAAGTCACGCGAACCGGGACGAGTTTCTGAGGCATTCATGGACAGGGAGCACACGTTGACCGTTGTTGACGAGAAGACTGGGAACGTGGCCGGGTTCGCCACATTGATCTCAGATGACGACACCAAACGCAAGTATATATCATCCATCGAGGTGTTCCCGAGTTATCGAAGGCGTGGTTTAGCCCTGGCTCTGATGAAGCGGGGGATGGAGAGCGACAAGGAGGGATACACAATATGGTTGACGGTCTTTGCGGAAAACATCGGGGCTGTTGCGCTGTACTTTGGGCTCGGATTCAGGATTCATAGATGTCTTTGGGTCGTAGGTGGGACGAATCCATAAAATGGTCATTTCAGAGAGCGTGTGAATCAAATACTGTATATGGTATTGGTAGCAAGAAGAGATGAGCACGATATGCGAGTAGTTGTACAATGCAGTGCGAAGAAGATATCAGCGTGGTCATAAGATTACGAAAGAAATGGATTCCGAAGTCTCCAGATAGTTACTAGGCCAACATGAGCGGCCATGAGGATCGATGTCGGTAGCAGACTGTCGCTGAGGATGTCGGCTGCTGCAAGCCCCACCATGAATACACCGCGCCAGGAGTCGAAGCGTATCCAAGGGCATAGCATAGGGAAGGTCACAATCTGAGGTATATATTAGTCACGGAACTTCTGCAGCTGGCAATTGACCTACCTTCACAACTAAAGCAGCCACCTTGATAGCCTGAGTAGCCTTCCGGACCTGGGTGCGAGTCACTTTTGGAGTTCGAATGCGGACGCGACGGCGCTTGTTGATGATCGGGGGAGGCTCTTCCTCATTTGCGACTTCCTCCAGCCGGGGGGTCTCACTGCCTCCATTGGATAACATCTCGTCGCTCGAGTAATTTTCCGTCCTGGGGGCTACCAGTCGGCGCGGACTGCGCAGTAACGGCGGGGACCGGCGCGCCCTGAGATCATTACTCATGCGACGAGGGTGTACCGGCTTGGACGTCCTTGTTGCTTGGATGGCAGACAAGATCTTTTCAGTGCTCGGTCGCATAGCAGGGTCCCGATGTAACAACCCTTCGAGCAGCCGAAGCATATAAGATGGTATACTCCTTATTGCGCATGCCTCTTCCTCTTCCGGTGTAGCGACGAAACCACGATATTCTAGAACTTCCGCCTCGAGGTTTTCGACATCCCTTGTTTGAGAATAAGGCGATCGGAAGAATATCATGGAGTATAGGATCATCCCCAATGACCAGAGATCAGCAGCCTTCGTGGCAGGAAGAAAGGGGGGCTTGATTAGCTCGGGCGCCATGAATTCGAGCCTGGTATACAAGTCAGATCAACTCAATGGTAGAGATGAACGTGCGCACGTTCCTGTCTCCCCTGATCGTTCTTTCTTAGAATGCAGGCCATCCTGAGAGTTCCCAAAGTCGGATAAGAGAGCTCGCGGTCTATTCAACGGTCGAAAGGGGCATGAACAGAAGATGCAGGAAGACTGACGTAGATGAGTCCGGATCCTCCGAGAGAAGGACATTGGCTGGCTTCAGGTCCAGGTGTAGAATAGAGCGCTCGTGCTGTTATATAGTTGAGTGAGTGAAAGCGAGGAGAGTGCTTGTTGCTGACCAAGAAATTCAGACCCTCCACAACGTCCTCAAAGAGCTTCTCGATCTCTTCCGGGCTCAAGAAGTGTACTGGCGTCTTGCCTTTTTGTATTTCCCGTTGCCTGCGTGCCTTGAGTGCCCTGATCTTGGCAGAATGGGATTCAGAAATGGTGGTATTTGCAGTGGCAGGTGAGTCGTTGGTAATGCCTTGACGGGCAGCGAGAAGGGTATCCAGACTGCCGGCATCCGCAAATTGCATCAATACAAAGAGGGTGGGGACACGTTCGCCGAATGATGAGAATTGGTAGGACTCGACCCATGCGTGATGATATGTGATAATGTTGGGATGTCGTAGTGTTTCGAGTAATCGTACCTGGATCCATGTTAGGATGGTCTCGGAGTGCAGTGTAGAGCAGCGCACCTCTCGTAATGTTTGTAAGAGATAGGAATGTGAGCGCCCAACTGCAATCTTCTTGACGGCAAAGTGCCCTAGAAGCAGTCAGCTTGAGAAACCGTTGTGATATGACTTCCGCACCTAATGGGTTACCATCCAAGACGTGCTTATGAACATAAGCATACATATAACAATTTCAGACGAATTTACATACCTGACACAGAAACACCGTCCCATTGGCACCCATTCCTAATCGCCTTTCCTCTCGAAAGAACGTCTCGTAGTAACCCTCGGCCAAAGTTTCGTCACCGAACAGGCGGCTTCCTGAAGGAGATGGACTGCCCGGTCTCGAGTAATTTTCATTCGTCATTGCGAGGAGGTGAAAGTAGTTCGACGCTCTTCGAGGTGTTTCTTCTTGTGAATGGGCATGCTTATCTGGAATAGGCTGCCTGCATACGGGGCATAACTCCGGTAAGTCGACCTCGTCATAGTCGATATCCCTCAGTTGCGAGATAGTTACAGCATGAGATAGAGGGTTGTACAAGACGATCTGACCATCAGACTGGAGGATAGGTCTCCAAGGAGAATTAACAAGAGTGATAAGAGCATTGGTGGCCGTTGGAGGCGTGTCTGTGTCTGCAGATGCCATACAAGGTCTACTGTTTGGTGGTCAAATGTCAGGGTCGCCCATTATGCCATGTCGAACGGCGTCAGTGGCGATACAGCCCTCCGACAGCGAGAAGGCCCCGTTTTCGCCGTCGGTCCCCTTTTCTTTCGTTCTCCTCGCTGCCACCATCCCCCCGCCTTAGTCGGCCTCGAGCACTCTGCATCTACTCAAGGTGCATTCGATACCATTCTATACTCTCTGCCACAGATCATTCCCTTTATCGTTCTAAACCATGTCGAACACAGTGTCGGCAACGGGCACCACGGGCACCGCGAGGAATACCACCACTTCGACTGGCATCCCCCAAACAGCAGCGGCAGGTGGTCTCTCCTTCACCCAACCACCCAACACCGCCGCTCCTTCATTCTACAAGATCGCGCCTAATAATATCATCACCATCGGATGGAACTTCACATCTCTCTATTCGACACCTACCCACCTCACGCTCTCCGCATATTGTCAGGCAAATGGTAACACTTACCCTGTCGGACCAACAAACGGCGTCATCGATGGAACGGCTAAGAGTGTTACTTGGGACCCGTACGAGTATAATCAACAACCCGGTGTAACGCCTCTCGCTGAAGCCAGCTACACGCTTCGTATTGTCGATGAGCGCGGACCAAATGTCGGCGCTGCGCCAGGTCTGTTCAGCCCAAATTCGCAGATGACATTCGCGCTGTACAAACCGCAATCGTACACCCCTCTCTCAGGTACGTGCACCTCCTTGATTTCTTCAGGGCACATCTGATGTAGTTATAGATGGATGGTCCTGCACGGCTTGTTCCGCCGGTGTGCTCGGAGTTGTGTCTCACCCCCTTTCGCTCGGCTTGATCGTTACCACCGTCGTCATGATAGTCAGCGGCTGGCATCTCTTGCGCAACGGTTTTGGGGGACAACGTCGGCCGTAGTTAGATCTTTGCAGGAGCTGCTGGACATTTGCTCTGCATGACTTTTCTTGGACGTACTCTCACGGACTTCCTTCTACATGGCATGTACCCTAGTCACGCATACATATACTCACTCGAACTGTTATCGGATTCTCAGAGCTTATTCATTATTCCTCTTTCATCGTTCCATGTTTGCTATTCGTACAGTAGATCCGCATCCGGAAAGAGACAAGGCCGTCCGAGAAAACAGTCTTAGTGATGCGCCATTAAAGAACCAACAAACGTCAGGATCTGGTCAACCATGAGTCAAGCGAGCCTCGAGCAGAACGTATCAACGTACCAGGCGCCCGCGGACATCAACGATATCCTCAGGGACAAGGAAGATGAGGCAGTTCAGCTTGCGCGCAATAGAAATAGCAAGCTTGGCTGACTCCTGTTAGGGGGTTTCCAACCATGAGATAAACGAACTGACCATTCTGCCGGCATTCCTCATAATCCTTGGGAGTCGCGTAGACGAGGTTGTAGTCAACATAGCCTGGTTTGATAGCGTCAAGGAGGTCGAGGAAGAAGACCGCACTGCTCAGGCTCGGATCCTTGAAACTCCGCATTGTCGATTTCTTGCCCGCCGCCTTGACCTTGTCGTTTGCCCAGCGGACCATCTCCATATCAGAGACGCCTTTCCCATCCTTGCTCAGCGAGGCAAGCGTTTGGTTGATGTTCAATCTCATGAGCTGCCAGACGAGACCGAGAACGAGAGTCCGGGTACCATCGACGATGTCTGAGCCCTGGATACCGACAATGTGCATCTTGTTCGCCTTGGCAAGATCAACGCCGTAGTTGGTGTTCTCGACCATCTTGAAGCGGGAAAGCGGCAGCTTGCGGGACACACGCCTCCATGCGACAGAACCTGGAATGATCTTGTCGAAGGCTTGCAGAATGACGAGGCCATCCTGTACTGCAATCAACCCTCCCGCAGCAAGTGAATACATGCGCACTCACCTTCAAGTCTTCAAACAGGTCGTTGACACCAGGATCCACATCCAAGCTATTCAGCCAGAGAGTGAAGACACGCGCTTCCCGCTCTCCTTCTGCGTCAAAGTCTGCGATAGGCGGTGGCGCTTCTGCTTCCTCGAGTGGTGCGAGGCCCGGCCAATTATTGAAGAGGTTGGCAACGAAAGCAAGGTTGAGACGAGGATTACCGGAGATCATAGAGCCCGGGGTGAGGTACTTGCGGCAACCAATCCGATCAGCGTTCTGGAGAACCATCTCAGCACGCGTGGGCAGGTCGCGTTCCTGCAACGGTGCTCGGGAGCACTCCTCCGGCTTAAGTTGGTTAAGCAGCACGGTGTAGTTCTCGCCATCGCTGACATCCTTGCTGAAGTTCCCCACTCTGTTATTTGTTATGAGAACTGATCATGAGGGCAGTTAACATGAGTACATACCGTCTGTGCCAGCCTGCATTTTTCAGATGATAGTTGAACCAGCGGAGTAGAATTTGATCGGGGGGCAGGCGCAAGAATTGTTCCAATGTTTCGTCCTCCTCCAGGAGCCGGTAGAGCTCAGGGTGGATTTTGATATCGACACGGCTCAGCAATCCCTTTCTGATGATCTGCCAGATCAAGCCCAGAATGAGATGCTCGCGTCCTTCCGCAAGGTCGGTAGGCCCAATATTCACGACGCTACAGCCGATACCCTTCGCGGACGTGATGACAATGTTGTTGTTCTCAGTGATCTGGAAAGCGTTGAGAGGACGAGGCTTTCCACCGGTCTTGGAAGGAGTTGGCTTGTTCAGCACACGTTCATCGATTGTGTCAGGCACAGAGTCGTTGATCAGCTTGCAGAGAATGAGACCATCTGAACATCGTCAACCTAGGGAGATTGGTTGGTACATAGAAAGTGCTTACCCCGACACTCATCGAACAGCTGCATAGTATGTGTCGGTATTGGGAGGCGATCCCCGACATCCGAATCGCCAGAAAGAACGCCGTTTATGTGGTTGGTGAACTCACTCCGCTCATCTTCGTTGATTGTGTGACTGACATTGGCATTGGATCCTCGGACAGTAACCTTCCCTTTGTTGGTGGCGAGTAGATGATCTCCTTTATGACTACGGAGCTTGGTCATAAGCTGTCATAAGTATGAGTCACAGGCTCTCGAAGTTATAGGCGCCCATGTAACGAACCTCAACCCAATCCTCCAACTCGACCTTGCCACTGGCATCGACAGAGACCGTCTTCAACGTTTCTCTCGCATCATCGTACGACGCTTCACCACTAGCCTGAACAGTGTTCAGAACAGTCGATTGATCTACACGTCCTGGGGTGTCCGTGTCAATCGCACTGTGGAGATAGTGTGAGTTCCTAGGGCATATGCGAATGAAGAGTGGCTGACTTGAAGCGATTGATGAGGTCGAACATCTCCTCCTGCGTGACATGGGGATACTTCTTTTGCAGCCTGATAGCCTGCATCTTGTACAAGTCGTGATATGTACGGGGGTTTGAGAGAGAGCAAAAGAGAGTTATATGGTCGAGCCAGTTGTGCGCAGTGCAGACCGGAATTGATGCCAGCCTTCGGTCGCTGGTTGCCCTCAATGCTAGATGGCTGTGCGACGTCACACTCACGTGATATTCCCTCCACCTCCGAACCCACTCCTTGACTTTCTTTCGGGCTTGTTCAGTTTCAAGATATCATTTCTTCCTACTCTATGACAATCGAACAACCGTCAAATTCCCCTAGCAGAGGGGAATCATCGGTACATGTGAACCATTATATATATGTGATAAGATGCAAGTATGACGAGAGCAGCCCAACGCAGCCGCTCATGCAGCAGGTACAGCCTTCTCCGTCGTCTCATTAGAGCCATTGTCCGGGAGAGGAGCAGGCATGTACGGCGTCGGATCAACGCTTTCTGTGCTGAGCGCTGGCTCGGGCTTGTAGCCAAGCTCGGCATCAACACCAACGTAATCGTAGGCGAACTCGCCCATCTCAGCATCATCAATGCCAATGATCTCTGCTTCCTCGGTAGTACGCAGGCAGAGCCCGGGAATGAAGTGCATGATCCAGAGGATGATGGTGGTCATCACAAAGGAGTAGGCCATGCCAGATACAGAGTCGGCAAGCTGGATGCCGAGCTGGCGGTAGTTGTGGTCGAGCCAGCCTCCAGGGATGATGGTGATGCCGTCGAAGTTGGCTACTGAGGCCTGGGCAAACAGGCCAGTGAGGAGGTTGCCGATCACACCGCCAATGGCGTGGGAAGCGTAGATATCGAGGGCATCGTCGTACTTGAAGATGAACTTGAGCTTGGTGGCAAAATTGCACCCAATGCCGGCAAGGACGCCGTAAAGGACGGCAGCAGGAGAGCCAACGAAACCGGAAGCGGGGGTGATGGCAACGAGACCGGCGATAGCACCGGAGCAGAAGCCGACGGCGGACCACTTGCGCTCAAGGCGCCAGTCGAGGCACATCCAGGTCAGGCCGGCAACGGATGCGGCGAGATTGGTGACGATGCAAGCCTGGATGGCGCGCAGGTTGGCCGCGAGTGCTGAACCGCCGTTGAAGCCGAACCAGCCGAACCAGAGAAATACTGTGCCGAGAACAACGTAGGTAGTGTTGTGGGGTTTGTAGGCGAGACGCTCAGTGCCGTAGCCGCGACGTTTGCCAAGGTAGATGGAAATAGCGAGACCAGCCGTACCGGAGCTGATATGCACGGGTGTGCCTCCAGCGAAATCGAGGCCACCGAGCTGGAATACCCATCCGTTCGGGTTCCATGTCCAGCAAGCAATGGGGTCGTACACGATGGTAGCCCATACGAAGACGAAGACGATCAGCGGGCCAAGGCGAGAGCGCTCTGCTACAGCACCAATGGCGAGGATGGGAGTGATTGCCGCGAACATGAGCTGGTACACGCAGAAGAGGATGGCAGGGATCTTGCTGGAGCCGACCGAAGGCTGATCGAGTACCTTCATCAGACCGAAATGGCGCAAATCACCGATATATGGACCGGCTGTCTCGCTGAAAGCGAGTGAGTAGCCCCAGAAGAACCACTGCGGCAATCTTAAGTACGATCCAGAATTGATTCATGGAACGCAACGCACTTGGAAAGAAACAACCGCGAGCGTCATCATGGAGAGGTAGATCATGGAGAGGGCGTTCTTTCTCCGTAGAAGGCCGGAGTAGAAGTAGCCAACACCGGGAATCATGATCCACACAAGGGCGGTAGCGGCGATGATCCACGCCAAGTCACCGGGGTTGTAGACAACCGGTGCATCATTGTAATAAGCAATGATGGAGCCAGCTAGACCAAGAGAAGTGAGCTAGCGCACTGGAGAAAGTAAAGGAAGGTTATTCACAGGCATCATAAGTAATGTTGGGGCCAGGCAATCCCGACGCTGGTTGATCTGACATGGCTGGTGTTTAGCGAGGGGTGGAGAGGGAAGGAGGGGGGAAGGAGGAGGGGGGTGAATGAGCCACGCTGAGGCCTGTGAGTCGACCTAATAAAGGATTGCGCTGGTGCAAGTCTTGGCATGGGAGTCGCATTGTGGTGGTGAGCCCGGCCATAAGTGCCGAGCAGGCGTAGCCACTTGGAAGAAGGAGATAGAAAAAAAAACTTCTTGATGAGATGAATGATGGAACGGGGAGTTGCCTGTTTGGGTGAGCACGGGCTGATGAATCGGGCGGAAAGACGCGTCTCAGACACGAGAAAACTGACCAGATAAGTCGAGGAGAGATAAGGACCCCGCGTCTTATTGGTTGCCGTCCAATCCCCTGTCCCATCCGGTTCTAGGGACCCTTATACAGTTCTCTCCCGCGGCGGCCCATAGCCTTGGCGCGCGTTCCTCTCATCGCTCTCGCCCACTCCTCGAACTGAATCGTGACCAGCCACATCCAGAGTTTATACCGCCCGCGTGCCTTTTCTCGGGCGACGTAGGGAAACCGTGATAGAGGCATGTACCGGCTACCACCGGGGCGGAGGTGGAGTTAGCGCTCGTTATCACGGTATGTTTCACATGGTATCGTAAGCGTCAATCTCGAGAACGCTCACAATGCACTTACCGGCGGCCACCTTGCACGACAACAAAAGTTCCTCCACGTCGTGTGCCTGACTTTCATTACTTAGTGGCGGTGATAAGCGCGCAACCTCTTATTTGTCCGAATAATCCGATGTGACAATCTCGCTGTTGTACCGAAGACCCTTGGAGATCTCTGTACGTCCCCAGTCAACCATCCCAGGCATCTGACTGGTGCGGCGGGTGAATTTGCTGATAGGGTGCCGGCCCAACAATGAATTAGTTTGGCTGCTATGACGTGCTGCCTGATGGACGTACACATATATTGTGCGGTCATCTCCAGGGGTTGTTCATTATCATCAAATGAACACCCCCAAGACGTTGCTTCCCGGTCCAGTATTCTCCCGTTCTCTTGGCAAACATGCAACAGACCGCCAGCTCGAAATCCGCACTTAACTGCCAAGAGAACTTGTTGATGTTAACAATGATACTTCTGCTTTAGAACGGATCTTCCAAAAATGTACATGATATTCCGCCGTGCAATGCCAAGGCTCTCTGCCCCATCGTGCTCCACATGCTGGGCGAGATAAGAGCTGTCCAGTGACAGCAGCCGGCCCTGCGGGACCGTGAGGGATGTTCGAACTCGAGTGCGTTTGGAGGACAATGTAGCGAGAGCGAAAATCTTTCTCAGCGCCCCGCAGTAGAAGAGTCCTGAAGGTAGGGAAAGCACGACATCGAGACAAAGAGGCGGTCTCCAAGATATGGGGTTCAAGGCAGAGCGCACATGTGGTACATCGTTTGCGGTTTGGCTTTATCGGCGCTAGTCTTGTTTGGAACTTGGTAATTCGAACGATGTGCTTACAGGTGTCCTGGAAAGCATCTTGTCCAATTCTGTGCCAGGTACCTGATTTTCTGACCGCATGTCTCCGGTACGACGTCCTGGGGTGTTATTTAAAGTCAACATCGTTGTTCGCCAAGTTGAATTCCAGATGAAAGAGAAGCACGTGATTATCTCGCTGATGAAAAGTGCAGTTCGGATTTTACCATGCAAGCACTTAATGACGGTGGATATATGCGTTACGAAGACTGATATTATGGTACAATGAGGGAATATGCTCGATATGCAAAGTCCATGGATGGTCGTTCAGCGTATGCAAAGGATGGATGGCTGATCGGTCTTGCTTCGTATGTAGTTCCATTCGAGATGCATCCAGTTCAGAGCTCGTTGTGGGCGCGTCGTGCGGTTGGATGTGCACCACGGATGAGGAGCGTTCTGCCGCTGTTGAGAGTCTCGGTGATCCTGTATCTGCGATCAGCCCCGTAGCTCGAGTCGGACAACATACGGTTGAGCTCACACCGGTGATGCGGCAGGGCGGTACCTGAACTCGGCTGAATAGCTGCGCACATGGTTAGTACATTCACGCCATGTACGTTTGTATATGCACCTTACCGATCCGCATATACGACTTTTGGTGCCAGGGAATTTCTGACGTCCTTGAGGAGCCAGATGATACCACCGAGGAGGACGATGAAGAGGATGAGCAGGACGCGTTTCCACCAAGGTACAGGACGTTGGGTGAACCGATCTGCTGCGACTTGTGGTCTAGTCTCTGCACTCTCCTCCTCCGCCGTCGTCGGGACTGCCTGATAGTCGCTGGATGGCATGAGGCAGCTTGATTATGCACCCCAAATTACCGGTTTGGAATGTACTGTACTATACGCGTGGACGACGTGGAATGAAGGACGCGACGGTGTCAGGGATGATTGATTATGTTGTGCAAGGCGGGGTGGCGCTGCCCGGGACCGTGAGGGGCAATGGCGGTGAACGGAGATTGAGAATATCAGAAGCGTATCTCATCAGCATACACTTTAGGAACTTTGCATCCCAATTGGCTAGCGGCCGTCCTCGATCAAACAACGCCCCTTCTACGCGAACCGCTGACATGGCCGACATCTCCCATACAACCGACGACGGCCAGCGTCATTCAACCAGTCCGCGGACTATTGTAAGGCAGTCACAAGCATCGTCGCCTCTTCATCTCAGGTCTGAACAATCATCTCCTCCAGCGTCTCAGGGAGAAGAGGAGACAATGGCTGCGACCAGAAGCAGCAACAGACCCAAGGGATCTGCATCAGCGAGAGGAACGGGTCGAGTGATGAGCACTCGCAGCTCGGGAAGGGTCGAGCAGCCAACTCAACTGAGCACAGTCATTACTCCAGATGAGGATCAGGAGATGGAGAGCGAGGATGATGGTACCACACGTATGTCAAATTTAATGCCTTGTTATTTTAGGCGCTCATGAGATTACAGGACCTGAACGGAATATAAGTAAAAGAGGTGAGTATCAAGATTGGATTGCCAGCATATATGCTCATTTAACTCAGATGTAAATATGGAAGATAGCGCAGTGGTGAACAAAGCTGAGGAAGGAACACCTGCCGTAAGGGAAGGCGATGTAGGCGAAGGTGAAGTTGAGGATGAAGAGTCCGATCCTGTCAGTCAATTTGACTCGCCAGTAAAATTTCCCGAAGGGTCAGACGACCTTACGCCTCCTCCCCCGTCGCCCACTCCCTCACCTCCAAAGCCTGTTTTCCGACCAAACTTGAGGATCAAAGTCAAATTTCAAGGAAAGACGCCAATCAAAGCTCGTCCAGCGACGGCAAAGGGCAAGAATAAACTCCCCTTCCGTCGTGGGAAAGGAGGTATGTCCATGCTTTAATGTGAATGTGGCAGATGCTCAAAGTGTGTTGAAGAGTGGGATGGGCGCAAGTTTCCCGATGGACCTCTGTCGCACAAGCGCAGGGTCCCTCCCACCGCGACTGGCGCGCCAAGCTCTACTCCCGCATTATCCGCCACTCCTGGGCATTCGATCGAACCTACCCCAGCACCAGAGGACGAGGAATTGTCCCCCGTGCCTGCCGATTTCGAATATTTGGAGGAGGAAGACATGAGCCGATCGTTGTCTACGAGGACGGAACCTACGAATATGGACGTTGATGAGGAACCAGAAGAGGAGGAGGATGAGCAAGAGGAGCAAGATGAGCTAGAAGAGGAGCAGGCGGAGGAGGAAGAGGAAGAAGAGGAGGAAGCTGAGGAGGAAGCTGCGGTGGATGAGGTCGAGGAGGACGAAGACGAAGAAGAGGACGAAGAGGAGGAGATGAGCGTTCCACCGCCTGGGAGGATGACAGCCAGGCAGGCAGCGATGAAAGGCACTGGTGCAACGGTAGAGTTTATCGAATTGCGTACGCACAGGTTTCCTCTTTTGTTCGTATCATCTCATGCGTGGCACAGCGACTGGCCCTGGGAAGAAGAAGAACCTCACACCGCAGGAGATGGAACTGCGCAAACAAGAGCAGTCCCGGAAACGCAGTCTGCAAAGCGCACAAAAGCTTGAAGACGAAAAGGTGGGCATACACCCTCTAGATTACAGACCAGCGGCTCACATCGGAACAGCAAGCGACTATCCGCCGTCTGCTGTCGAAGCAAGCCCCTAAGACTCGAAGCTCGCGAAGCGGTGTGAGCTCGACGACGGCACCTGGCTCATCAGGGGATGGAAGCGTGACACCCCAACTTGCACCCGCGCCTACGCTCTCACGCTGGGTGTCGAGCAAGGACGGCGTGCGCTGGGCCGTCCCTCCGGAAGCGAAGTGGCTCGCTTATATGGGTCCTGTGAAGCGCGTAGGACCGGGGAGGATGCAAGAGATCAAGGGGGAGACAGAGGAGGACGTGGATATGGACGGCCCTGCTGATCTCGGGGAGGCGCATGTCGAGCTTGTCCCACCTCCACGAGCACGTCCGCAGGCGATATGCGCTATTGATGGGTGTGGACAGGCGAGGAAGTACCGGAGCGTGAAGGACTTTGGGCGGGGTGCGTGCGGGCTCGAGCACCTGAGAGTGCTCAACACCCTGATTGTTTAAATTCATTTCCCTCGAGTTGTCAGTCTTGTATACCGAGCAGTGTAACTTATAGATAACAAAAACAAAACGGTCGTTGACGGCCTCGTCTAGGTGTACAAACACTTATTCCGACAATCGAGTTAAAGAACGACAGAGTATGATGGCAAGGACATCATTAGCATGATAAGATGGAGAAGGAAGAAGAAAGCAAGTTCATTAAGTTCAGCAGGTTCAGCAGGTTCAAGTTCAGTGCTTGTCACCCCTCTCGCGGCTCTTGCTCGACCCCTTGACAAAGTCGCCAAACTTGTGCAGCAAAGAACCATGATGATGTTCCGCTGGGCGCCCGCGCTCCTCTTCGTCGGGGATGATATTCCCTGCGCCGCCACGGCCTGTCGAGTGCGCGTGGTGCTCCAGGTCGGAGGTGGCGTGCACTTGCTCTGTGTGTTCAGAGCCAGGGACAACAGGGTCGCCCGTGAGGATGTTGCCGCCGCCTCCACGGCCGGTGGAATGACTACAAGAAGGGTGAGATAGGAGCGACGGACGGAGAACAGACATACATGATCCCATGTTCGTGAACCTTGTGGTCGGCAATAACATGCGAGTCCTCTTCTGCGATCGCATGTCCGTCCGGCAGCTCTCCTACAGCATGAACGTTCCCCGCACCCCCACGTCCCGAGGAGACGAGCGGAATGCGATTCGCAGCGGGACTCTTGGACCTGCTGATATTACCCCACCCTCCGCGACCGGAAGAGTGCTTTCCATTCTTTAGCATGCACCTGAAGAGGTAGGGGAGGACATACCACGCCCGTATCTTTCGCCGCGTGCTCAGTGACGATCGCGGCCTCTGCAGCGTTCTCTGCTGCTTCGCGCTTCCTCGCCTCTGGATCCCTGCTAGGAGAGCGAATGTTGCCAGCGCCTCCGCGGCCAGAGTGGGTAATCCGCTCGCTCGTGCTGATCGGGTTACGTCCACGGGGCTCGTCGACTTGCTCCAGCGATTCCTGAGACTTGGGAACCATGTTGCCCGCGCCTCCTCTGCCTGTGGAGACGACTGGCCCGTCTGGACGGGTGCGGGAACGGGAGCGACGGTCGTCCATTGCTGATGATGAAGAGTGAGTATGAGCGCTAAGAAGAAGTCTAGGAATGAAGAAGTGTTATGAGAAGGAGGGAAGATGGGTAAATTAAGGGGGGAATGATAGTGGTAAATTTGCAGAAAGGGGAGAGGGGTTCGTAGGTGAGAGGGTCCAGGTTCGAGGAGGCAGCCACCAACGATGGGCGCTCCGATGTGTGAGAAAAGAGAACATAACGGCAATAGCCATATTTGGAATAGAGTGAAAAATTAAAAGGGGTTAAACATGAATCGCCAAGAAAAGTGTGAAAAGTTTCGGATCAGTCACGGAGAAATGAAGGAATAAGAGTGAGAGATAAATGGTGAAATGGTGAACAACGGTTGGTCAGAGATAAGGAACACTCATTGATAACACAACCTCGACCACACGTATTCATTCATTTCAAAAGTCACTTGCACAGAAGAGCCTTGGCTCATCACATTCACAGAATAGAACACAATCCACAAATCAGAATTTTAATTTCAATCTCTCACCAGAACTTGACCGTCGTCCATGCACAAGCGTCGACCCATCCACACTCTCCACCTCTCCACGCTCACTCCTCCCTCGACCAAAACTACGCAGTCGCTCCATAAGGCTCGTGTTCCCACTCGTTGTCCGGCTCAGCGGAGGCGGCGTGTTGTCGCTCGACATTCGTCTTATCGTATTTCTCAGAGGTACGAGAGGGGACAGTGTGGGCTAAGACGGAATCAGCCTTCTTACTCGCTCGCCCCCTTGTATGAGTATGCCGAGTATGCGGGGACCGACTCAGGCTGGGCAATCAATTTTCACTCCCCCTAAGCAAACGCACTAACCAAATCATTCTGTTGCCTCCTATTTCCTGCTTGCGCAATTCCACGTCCTCATGACCTTCTCTCAAAGGGGCACGTGCCAACCAATGCATACGCCATGCCGGACCGGCCAACTTGCAGGTCACGTTTGCTCATGCCAAGAAATACTAAGCAAACTCCTTTAAATTCCCGTCTGCTTGATGCATACGTGGTATGCTCCGGATAACATTCACAAATCATGAATGTACTGGACAGCATGGAAACCACTACCACAGCGCTAGTTGAAGATACAAGCCGTGACCACGAAAATCTTCCAGCCGCCCACCACTTCATGCTCATTATCTAAGCGCCCAGCCAATGGCCTTTGCGCACGGAACGAGGAACACTCACCTACCTCTTGTCTTTCTGAGTCCCGCGCAGAATGATTCAAGCCACAAAAACCGTTGGCAGGTTTCTTATCCGAGATAGACACAAATGAATTCCGCGTGGATTCAATCAGGGATATCGAAGCACCTTCGTCTATCTCATCAAATAATTCAACACAAATACTTATAATTAACGTTCTACTCGATCCATATCGCACACGTCATCAACTCGTGATTGCAGATTCAGTAGCCTATTCGTTCAGAGATCCTCATCCCGCTTGACGATACTCTGCGTGTTAAAGAACGGGTCATTCGGATCATACGGGAATTTCCTAACCACCACATCCCCCGTATAATCCCACAGGTCGGTAAACGAGTCCCTCAGATCGACGGTACACTCCGGCTGGATCGTCTCAGAGCCGAACGTGGCGACCTCGGTTACGTTCCCGTTGTGGTAGTTGATACGCGCTTGCTGGATCGTTTGCCGCGACGGGTCGCCGTAGAGGTAGTTAAGGGGGGTGAGGATGAACACCCCCATGCAGTGCTGAAGACGGTGTTGGGGAGATCGCCGGTGTGGGGCACTGTCAGAACGTCAATGGCTGGATGGTGACTTCTGCAGAGGAGTGCTTACCATGGTGCATGCCGGCGTTGATCCAGAGTACGCTACACAATCGTGAGCAGGTGTCGATCGTACAGGGGGGATAATCTTACAGATCTTCCTGTTCAATCGACTCGTCATCCACGAACTTTGAGAAATTGACGACCAGATCAGCAACATCCTGATTATTGAACGGATGCGAAGAGCGCGGCTCGGTATCTTTTTGTTTCGTCACCCAGAAGTTACGTTCTGCCCAATGGGCTGCGTTCTGCAGGTTGTGAGTTGACCACTGTCAGATGCACCGGTGCGGTTGCTGAAATATCATGAGGTCAGGTAGACATGGTTGGAAGCACTCGTACATGGGAGAACACGGAACCCAGGGAGCTCTCCGTACTTGTTTGGCTTGTCCTTATTGACGACAGCAAACAGGGCCGCAGAATTGTACGGGTAGTCAATCCCGGTCTCTGTAGTCACGAAGGACTTTTCGAGCTTCATCGTATTGCGCGTCTTTCCATTTGACCACGGATACCTGTGAGACGTTCAGGTGCATGGCCGCTAAGCTAGATGACAACATACTCGACAGTAGCCGGAACGAATGAAACGTTTTGTAAGCTGTTCTTCTCTCCGAGGATATCCAGGTCAACCTTGAAGTTCAGCACATGATCATGCATGCTTCCGGAGAGATACTCGTGAATGTGGAAGCCATATTCCTCGTTGTTCGCAAAGTAGGCAGACTGAATATACCCACTGAGGGCCATTAAGCAAAGGAAAATAGGCCAGGACGAGAAAGGCTTACCTTGCACGAACTGTGACATGCAGCGATCCGTCCATGTAGAAGGTGTAGTCCAGCATGTAATCGTAGTTGCCGACGGTCGATACAGTACGAACAGTGAAGAAGATATTGCGAGTGATTGTGACATATTGACTGCTGGAATGGCGTTGAATGGGATGTCCGGCGTCTTGCTCAAACAAGCCTGATTTAACGTCAGCCAGACGCAGAATGCTTACACGCGAGTGACCTTACAGATGTTGTTCAAGTGAGTTCTTGTAGTCTCATCTGCGTAGAAAGTCGAATTGAGGTAGAAAGCATAGCTCGGGCAGTCATATCCATTGACCAGTTCGAACGCGTAGGGACCAAAGCCATAGTACGAATCAAGATAAGCAGTGCCAGACTGGACAGGGTCATTGGCACTAGAAGGAACTTTAGGGGCATTTTATACAAGGTGCACACGGTGCGTACCCGTAATGAGCAAGAGCTTCTTGCAAACCAATCTCGTAAATGATGCGCTGGCCCTTGAAGTTGATGTCGAAAAGCTTGATCCCTGTGTCGCGGGTGAAGGCGATATAAAACTCAAAGTCCACTAATGATTCCATTTTAGACGATATTTGGGGATGAAACGAATCACTTACTCCACTGAACGTATTGCTGCTCCACATCAACTTGGAAGCGTTGGCCCGCCGGTTGTATGAGCATGGGAGGAGATTGCCAGTCCGTTGGATTGACCGGTCCGCGCTGGTCCGTTCGACCCCATTCCTCATCCTCGTTCGGGCCAAAAGTTTGAATGTTACCCGAATAAAATGCGCTCTTGAAATCGTCTATAGTGTCGTAAAATTCGCCATTGTACAGGACACCTTGGTTCGACCACTGGCTCGGGTCGCGACCGGTGATGTCGGGCTTGAGGAACAGGCCAAGGGGGAGCAGCGTCGAATCGTCGTATACGTCATTATTGTTGTTCCAGAATGTGTCCCAGGAAATGGTGCGTCCATCTTCTTGGAAGAGAGGATCGATGCCCCAGATGCTCATTGTGTCGTTATCAAGACCCATCGCAGTCTGTGCGAGATTAGAGGATGTATGCAAAGGGGATACGGAATACGTACCCCATTCCAGAGCGCGCGAGTGATATCTGCCAATTCAGCGCCGAAGTTATTCATAAAGTCGTTCCGAGCGTCGTCATCAGCGGCATAGTTGTGGGAACTGCCTGGACCCTTGGTATACGGCCATGCCAGAGGCTCGACCGTGGTCTTGTTGCTGATGGGCAGCGGTCCAACGATGTAATCCAGATAGGCAGGATTGTGAACAGAAGCGCGGTGATCAACCTCGATGTGAGCGTGGCGAGCAGGCTCGGCTCCACCTCCGTCGAAGTAGTTCAAGGCATCCGTCTTGTTGGGAAGCATGAGCTCAACCAAGAGTCTGTCCGGTAGTCAGAACAAGGGAACTACCAAAGGTAAGCTATACGCACAGTGAGTTGTCCCAATTCGTTGCATTCTCGACCGCTGTCAAGTTGAGCGATTTCTGGTTGTGTACAAATTCCGTGATACCCGCTACTTCCGCTTCCGTCAATCCAAGCCAGATGTTCTTCTTCGGCGCTTTGACGGTGTAGTTACTGACACCAGTACCACATGAGTCGGTCTCGTTCCACGGTTGATCACGCCTGGACTGGTTGATCGCAGCTTCGCGGCGCGTCACAGGGCGTTTGCCGGGACCTTTTACCCATGGTGCTTTGGGACTCGCAGATGCCGGGATTGCCAAAGACGCTGCAAGAAGCGTGCAGACAAGCCGGGTAGGGTGGACCATGACGGCGCGAATGACAGAGGCGCAGAGAACGCAGACCGTCACAGGAAAGACCCCGCATCTCAGTTGCCAATCTTTATGTAGGCATCAGCGAGGATCGCCGAAGATGGAATAGCCGGAATTGAAGCAGCAACCCAGTTTCCAAGTTTAGTCACTAGGAACAGGCGGATGACGTGGAAGATGTGCATGTGAGAGGTCGGTATGTGAGATGCCTTCCCATGTCTGCGTATTAGAAAATTCCCACATTTTCAAAAAGACCAAGAACCAGTCGGTTGCTCTTTGCTTATCAGACAGCGTTATGGCCGTTCTCCAGTGGATTTCCGGCATAACAGAGCGATAAGCACGGCAAGGCACGAAGTCAGTCAGGGAGGTTGAATAGAATGGAGAGAAGAATGGTTTGTCCGAGGAGACACGGCATGTTTGCGCAATGAGAACTTCCAAATGCATCCGTGAAGGTTGCCTTGGGTGGCGATGTACTTCAGGGACCGTTAACAAACTCGGACTCTCGCCACACAGACATTTGTACACAACTGTCATGTCCTCATTTGCAACCCATTTAGAACAGCTTATCCAGGAATTGGCAAGTCTACGACCTGGTCACATAAGCCAAGATGAGCTCGATACACTAGTGAAGGAAATTCTTGTGACTGTTCCAACTGGTTCCAAGTCCCCTGAGCTCATCAAGGAGGAATGGACCCTCGCGATTAGATCGCGCCTTATGGATCTAGCAGTGCGTTTGGTATCTCAACTTCTTCACTGTCTCCTAACAAACTGCCGCAGTCTAAGGAAGGGGATGTTGATCCCGATGCGTACTTCGCTGATCTATTCGACTTGCTGGATATCGTTTTGACTCTGAGTGAGCAAGGTAAGTCCGCATGTGGCCGCGAGTGGCCACCGGCGCTAACGAGTACATAGGCACCTGCGAACCCACCGCACCCTTGAATTTATTTGAAGAACTCCTCGACACACAAACTGTTCCTAGCTGCGAGGTCCTATGGGGTTGGCTGGAAACGCGTGTGCAGCGACTCACATCGTCTATTCACACCAATCAAGCAATGTCCCTCGCTATGCTCCGCACACTCAACGAAATTCTACGGCGCCTATCCAAATCAGCTCATACGCCGCTTTGCGGGCGGATTATGCAGCTGCTGGCGAGCAGGATCTTCCGATTTGGCGAGAGAAGTGGTGTGAACCTGAGGGGCTCTTTCGATCTCGTCAACGTGACGACTTTCGAGGAGACCGCCGAAATGAACGGTGCGCAGTATTGTGTGATGTTGCCCCCCTATCGACCTCATATCTTCTACCAGAGTATTATACGACTTTCTGGTCGCTTCAACAATATTTCCGCGACCCTTCCATCCTCGCATCCAAAGATCCAGACGGTCCTTCTATCGCCAAATTTCGTACCCTTCTCGAAAAAGTTCTTCCTGCTATTGCCGAAGCTACAGCGAAAGAAAAGCTTCTCACCGGTACAAAAGATGCGGAAGGCGCAGCGTCGAAGAAGCGCAAATTCAGCGAAATGATGTCTATTGACGACCAAGAGGACAGCTTCTTCCCAAAGTTCCTGACCAGCACGGAGCTCCTGGACTATGAGGCATGCCCCTTCCGTCGAGTAGAGATTTTCCAGCTAATGAGAAACTAGATGGGCGATACTGGTTTCCGTCGGACTATTCTATTCCAGATGAATATCTTCCTTCAGCACATTCTCTATTACACCGAAAAGGAGAAAACTCGATGGCAGGAGCCAAAGAATCAGAGCTTGCAAATGGGTTTCATCCTCGATGCTGATAATGTGAGTTTCCCATCTGTTCGCGAGATACCAACAAACCAATCTTGCGAGCAGGAAAAGTGGGCAACTGCCACCATGAATAAGATTGTCGAACAACTTCGTCAAACTGTGCCAGGTGGGCGCACAATGGGTAGCACTGCCCAACTTGTCACGACGCGGGAGCGCAACTGGGTCAGTGATAACCATTAGCCCGTATTTTGCTACCTCTAACTTTCTTCGACAGATTGAATGGAAGATTGGCCTGTGTAAAGACATTGCCAAGGCGCCGCTCCCCTTCATAGACATGGAATCTGTGCGCCGACAGATGAATGACACGGCGAGTGAGGAGCGTCGTTTCCCCAGCATGATCGCTATCGATCTTGTAGAGGCGTACGATGATCTCATGAACGGTTATGAAGGTCCGGCAGATCTGGAGCGCGATCTTCAGTGAGACTTGACTTTATCCTTTCTACACTATCTTGTTGCTGATAACTCACTAAGCATTCCGACGCTGGATGACTTGTTGAAACGCTACAAGATGCCCCAAGAGAGGCTGACGAAGAGGCGCAAAATCATCGACACGGCACGGCAAAAGCAGGAGCTCGCTAATCAGAAAGCCTCTGAAGCACGAAAGGCTCAAGCGGCTGAGACTTTAGCGAAGGAGCGTGAAAAGCTATCCGAGAGTCAGAAGGTCGCCGCACCTACTGCGAAGCCAGCCGAGGTGAAGAAGGATGAGAATGCGTTGCAGCTGAACATGGCCAATAAGCTTGGCACGCCTCCAGCAACGCCTCCCCGCCCGGCGACCCCTCCGGTCTCGCAGTCCACTGCTGCTTCCCCTTTGCCGTCTGGCTCTCTCAGTCTAGCCGGAACGAGCAATCCCGCCGTGACGACGCCGTCGAAATCTGCTGTGGCACCTGGTGCCCCTAAACCACCGATACCATCTTTACCTACAGATTCCGTTATCGTTCAAGAGGAGATGGTGCGTCGTTTCCCACACCATGCTCTTGGTCATTCTCTTATGTCTCACAGACGATCTCATCCCTCAACTGGAGAGCCTTGCGTATCGCTCGCGCCAGCCATCTGCACTTTTTTCAATCCATCGGCATTGGGGAACTACCGCTGTTGATCGACAGTATCCAGAAAGGAGAATCTACACTGCAAAAGGCCTCGCAAGCCTCACAGCCATCTTAATCCTCAACCTAAAGTTGACGTCTTCATGTCTGTATATTACCATCTCATATCCTGTACTACAACAAATACTCAAAGTTTGAATCCACCAGTGAGACCCATTACGTTGTTGGGGTCGTACTGAGCCTTGATCGATTGCAGCCTTGCCAAGTTAGATCCGTACAGCTGATCTAGAGGAGTGTTTGCCGGTGCATAGTTGTTATATTTTATCATCTCCGCCCCAGTTAACGGTTGGCCCTCTGCAATAGCCGTCTGCGTGACGATGTTCGCCGAGTCTTGGATTGCGTTCATCCAGAAGCTGTCATCAAGGGATGATTCCCAAGAGAAAGTGAAGCAGATCGGTAATAGAGCATCCTCGTGAGGGTAAGAGCCCCCTTGATTGTTGTTTGTGAAGGCTGAGGGTAGGAAGGGCTCCACGTCGATCGAGAAGTACCAACTACCATCCAGAAGCTCTCCCAGCAAAGTATCCGTGTCACCATAGTACTTCGCATCCCGTTATTTGAAGCCCAATGCTGAACATAATTGAATGTACTTACGATGGTCTGATTGATCACCTGTGCAAGGACAGCCGAGGAGAGGTTATATACCGGGGCTGTGTTAAATGCCAGCCTATCGAAAACCTCAGCAATGCACCAAATGGCCCTTTAGGATCCCCAACCTGTTGTACATAGTGAGATTCGAAGGCGTTGATCTCACCATATCTCCATATGGCTGGGTCGAAAGGTCGTAATATACCCAAGGAACATTGAAGAACGCATCAAACGTTCCCGTAGGTGGGGTCGGTGCATCGTAAAATAGAATGACGATGGCAATAGGCTAGACCGGGTCAGAAAGACTCATCCTCGATACCAAATGAGGCACGCACAAGATCAAGAGTTACACCGAACGTTGGCAGAATGCTGGCTTTCGGGTCTGTATTCTGGCTGTTAAATTGGATAATGGCGTTTGCAACAGCGTTGAGCTCTGTGACCGGGTAGGTGATGGAGCCACCCTTCGGTACTTAGTAATCAACACCAAATCGAGCTATCGATACAATCTCACCCAAACGTCTGTCTGTGGATATGCCTTCATCGTGAACTGCGTGACGATTCCAAAGTTTACTTGCCCTGCCCCCTGCCAGCTGCGGTCAGAGGAGGGTTCTGAACAGTCAACAGCAGGTGCTGACCTTGAGGGCCCAGAAGAGATCCGGATACGAAGTCGCACTAGGGTAGACGATAGTGCCATTTGGAAGGACTAACTCGTAAGAGACCATGCTGTCAATTGTCAAGCCATATTGATTGGTTTTCCAAGAATATCCTCCGCCCAAAGTAAAGCCAGCGACACCAACGCCAGTGACTCTGCCGCCAATGACATTGACACCTTGGGGAGTGAGCGCATCATAGACATCATCCCAAATGAGGCCAGCTCCAATCTCAGCAGTTCCTGATGCTGCATCGTAGTTAACGTCGGAGAAACGTGACATCGCAATCTGGACGCCTGTAGTAGAGCTGAAGCCAATATTGGGTGAATGACCTCCCCCTTTGACCTGTATACATGTGAGTTACAGAGTCGATCGGAGACGAGGGGAATTCAGTTTCGTACCGCAAAAGGCGTTTGCGTGCTCGCTAAAATTTGCATCTACTATTGATGAGGGTCAAGAGTTTGTGAAGAAGACTCAACTACTCACAATGATGGCTACGTCTTGCACGCTCCCTGGTTCCACAGAGCATGCCGAGGATTGTGCAGCATTTGATGCCCAATGCAAGATGTCTTGCGTCCATTGAATAGAAGCTGCAAGAAGCCAGTCAATCAAGGAGAGCGGCAGCTTTCAGCAATAAGGCTCACCTGGGTAGTATACGGAAGAGGCCGACGAGATTGCACTCTCGATTTGGGCGCATGTGGTTGCTACATTGGCTCTGGGATGGACCTCTTCAGAAAGAAGTGCGTACACCCCAGAAAGTCTGAAGAAAAGCAAAAGCAGGGACGGCAAAAGGTGGAGTACGAACATGCTTATGTTGATCGAAACCAACGTGAAACAAGTCGATTACAGGATACCCAGCCTGTGAGGGGTTGATATTTGTACTCCAGCAAAGAAGATTTCCCAATTGGAAAAGGAATCGGAGTGGCACACTCGTCAACAAGGCGATACTTCTTCGGCGGCCGCCTCATACGAGACCAAGAGAAGTTGTAAAACATCGTAAGTGTTCTGCTTGAGAACAGGGATGGTCGGCGTACGCGTGTACAGTGACATTCGGCCTTTGTAAGCGCATGTGACACTGGAAGCCACTGCCATTCAAATTGTTCATCAGCCGTCGAGGTTTCGTGATAAAACATGCTTGTGGCAGCCAGCGTCAGGCGCCGCACTTCATACAGGCGCTGTAAGCCCATCGTAGATTCAGACTTCCCTACACATATTGACCTCCGGATGCAGTATAGTCCTTCCAGCTGCCTTTAGCTAGTGCCTTGTTTGGACTAAAGATAGAAGTCAAGACCTGCTGGAATGTGCCACGCTTCTAGCACAACGCCACTGAGGTCATATCAGCCTCGAGGATGAAGGGAAACCAGAGATTGTCAGGCCATCAACATGGGCCGCGGGACCGTGCGACGGACCCGTGGGAGGTGGATGAACGCCAGGGAGATCCAGCAACCTGAAATGGACTTCGTGAAAAGAAGCTCCTAGGAAGACGGAAACTTAACCACGTGTAAATCCAAAATATACACCACTCTTCTTTCAACGTCCCTTGCCCTCTCGAGAACACGGGATTTCAGGAACAATTAAACATCACAGAAGCGGGGTTCATTAAGCTTAACTATATTAAAAATGACAGCTATGCTTGGGGCTGTACTGCCGGCTTCTCGGGAATCGATAGCCAACCGACATCGAGACCCAGTTCTTTGCCAAATGTCTGTGCGGCCTTGATACTCATAGCTCTCCACTTCATCTCCTTCGAACCCAGCTCCATTGCTTGTGGACGTTGGGCGAATCCGAGATTTCGATAAATGTTCTTTTGATCTTTGTGTGTTAATTTGTCCTTGCTCGCTTGGATATACGCCCCAAGTTCATCCAGGACCTGGGCACCCTTCTCCATACTCGTCTGAGCATATTTACTCCGGCTCGCTCGATGGCAAATGGAGATGAGGAGCACGGAGCTGACAGGATCTTGCATGATATGCCGCCATGGCATGGCCGATGACATCGCAGCGAGCTTGAAAGCGGCTTCCACAGACTCCTCTGGGTGCAGACTGGTGTTCTGCATGATGGAGTGGAACAGCTTATGGACTTGTTTCAGACTCTGGAGGTCGATTCCGTAATCGGCTCGGTTGGTGAGAACGTTTATTGCTACCAGGGTTTCATGAAGGGTCATACAGCGCCCTGTAGACATGCCGTTCAGCAACTTCGAGATACGACGGGTGAGATACACACCAATGAACTCCTCCCCAATCTTTCTGTAAGGCCTTCCCATGGATTCCCTCCAGCGCTTGAGCACCTCCGCGACTCTCTCCAGATCACCACGATGCAGTGAGAGATTGATCATGTGGCGTACATTCTTGAGCGGAGCGAGCGTGGCGTCTTTTGTTGGAAGGCGGGACATAAGCTGATCGTAGTAGCCGTTGAACATCATCCGATGACGGCCCATCCTTGTGGCCGAAGTCTCGATCATGCTCCACTCAGTCTTGTTGCGGATGTCCCTGTAATCCGGCGGAATACCCGCTCCTCCGTCGACTAACACGTCCTTGTCGCTTTCTGTCGTAATCACGCTGACCTCCGACTTTTCCTGTTCTTCTACACCACACTTGAGCATTTCCAAATACCCAATATCTAGAGACATACCATGGTTCTCGGCGGGTGCCATCCTCCTCAATATCCAATAATAGTTCCCAAGCGCCTTCTCCATCCCCTTCTGATCAGCTTTCATCCTCGTTTGCCACTGGTCGACAACAGTGCGTACGCGCACCCAATCCTCGTCCACTCTCGCAGCCGCGATCAGCTTGCGCAAGTAGGTTGGACTGAGTCGCTGTCGCTGGTGGACAGGGAGAGTGTCCGACAGTCGTTCAGTAATATGACGGTAATATTTCCGGAAAGTCGATGTGGTCTTTCCAGAAGGTGTTATCTTCTTGAACGCGCTGAACCGTTTCCTTCTATCGGGCAAGCCGACCGTGTCGTCGATGATGTCGGACTTGTCAGAGGGGGAGGTCGAGGTCTCTGCAGCAGTGGCAGGGGAGGTTTCTTCCCATAGATGGTTGCCAATCTCCTCAACCTCACCGAAACCCTCCCCAAATTCATCCACGTCTACACCCTTGCTCCTCTTCTTCGCTTGCACTAAAAACAATCAGCTCGCGCCCAGAACCCTCCCGCCTCAACTCACCAGAAACAGTCACATGTAGCGTCCTCTGCGTCACCGTTGCAGGAAATCGATACCGAAATGCATAATGAACAGCCTGTCGTGCTATCCGAGGTGCAATAAGGAGGGGCATGCTCCAGCTTCTGGTCGTGTGAGGTAGACAACGCACGCAAGCTGATGTGGTCGACATGCACAAAATTCGGTGAGTGGCGGTGTCGGCGATATTTCTCTGTGGTTTATCGCCGACAGTTCTCTATGGACACCCAACCTCGTCTCACTGTGACAGCGTTCAAAGGAATGGTCTACTCAAGCAGCGAACAGTACGCCCTCCCCCTCCCCTCCCATCCTCCCTAACCACATCAACAGTCCCTCCTCCCACCCTCCACGCCCTTCCCTCTCCTCTCAAGTACTGCCTCTCCTCAGCCCTCCACTCCCCCTCGAACTCGCGTACGAAATCCTCAACCTCTCCCACCTCTTCCGACGTACCTGGATCAAGAGGCTAGAAAACGTCAGTTCCAAGCCAGTTAACAACCGTCTGGAGTACGCGAAAGGCGGGAGAACCTATCTCCAAAGCCCCGTTCTGGGGGCGAGGAGGCTCAGGAAGGTGCTAGTGAACGTTATACTCGCCCCGTGGAAAGAGGGTTGGCCTGTGGAGAATGGCCCATGTATCTTGAGAGCGAGCTTGGTCAGGCCATTGCTGGATCCTGATAAAACGAACCCTCAAGGGGCAGAAACAATCGTGTGCGAAGAGCCTCTTGAGCCGCACTATCCTAAGACGTGGATCTTCAGTGTCTACTTTGACGACGACAGTCCCCTCATTATGAATGCACAGAAGGGTGACCGAATACGAATCAGTCTCTTGCCTCACTACCGCACAAGGTCAGGAATGGTGCCAGTCGTCAAGGAGGTGACTTTGTACTTGTATTGCGAGTGGTGATGATCCAGTGAATGCTTGTTATTATATTTTGTTTATGTACAACCATCACAGATCCTGTACAATTGAATCTCTACTCGTCATTGTTATTAGCAGTACCATCCGTCATCGCGTTGGGGTCGTGATCCCCGGCAGCATAGTCCAGACTCGGCGCGGTAGTGCTCCCGGTGGTGCCGACGGCCTGTCCAGGAGCTACGGTCACAGGCGCTTGAGTATTAGGGTTGGAATTTGCAGGGGTGAACGTGATAGCCTTCATTGTCCCATTGCAGGCAGGCAATGTCGGGGCATCGCGCTCGACCATGATGATATTGGCAGTCCCAGTCAGAGCAGCTCCAGGCGAGGCGGTCGTTGCGTTCCCGGCGGCGTATGAACAGGTGAGAAGATCCGTCACGGAATACACAGCATTATTCTTGGTATTGTACACGAAGAGCTGGGCGAGCGACACGTCCCGACAGGGTGAGGCAGTCATGTTGTTCGCGCTAGGGCCGGTGGAGGTGATACACATGTCTGCAATGTTCATCGTAGTTTGGTTGACGACGGGGACGTGAAGAGTTGCGAGCACTAGATCAGAGTTGGACATGTTCGTAGCAGCGAGCAGTGCGGGGTCAGTGGCGTTGGTAGCAGTAGCCATGGCGATCGACGTATTGCTGGCTTGAACGAGGTAGACATGCATACCCTGCGCTCCAGTAGAAGGGTCGGCGATGAGGATACTTCCAAGTCCCAGTCCTCCGAGCACGCCACCAAGGACGTTAGTCTGCATATATGCGCGTTAATGGGGGCAGATATGCCGAGAGGGTGACTTACGACTGTGCCGAGAAGCCCAGTGAGTAGGCCGGGAAGGGCACCCAGGATCCCGTTCGGACCTAGTAGGGGATCCAGTAGACCACGCTGATGCATATGCAGACCGTCGAGGGTCACCGTCACATCTGGGAGGATCTCGAGCCCGGTGACAGAAACGGGGTCGACGAGCCCTTGTGGCTCCGTCACCAATGCCTGCATAGAAAGATCAGCCAGGAAGACGCGCATATATTTGGAAACGTACGGCGCGCCGCTCATGCGGAATCACCGCCGCGCTTGTTCCATCAAGGACAAGCAGGACGAAGACGACGGACTGAGTGAGTGAGAGCTGCATGTTGAAGTAGGGAGTGTGCGTGTGATGCGTGAAGTAAGAGGGGAGCTGGGTGCGAGGGATGATCACCAGGATCTTGGAAGGTGGTGGTTGGGGAACAAGCGGTCCGAGGGGAGGGGCGTGTTATATATGCATGGGAGAGGGGGGTGATCGGCGAGGCAAGACATCGCATGAGACGATAATTAGAGTTATAAGAGCAGACGAGGTGTCGCCGATCATAACCCTAGGTGCGGTGTCCCGAAATGGCTAGAACGAGACCCGAAGCAGTCTGAAGTGTCTCAAGAGATACCAGTGGGATTGTACTCGCAAGACAAGCCCCGGAGATGGAGTCAAGAACTCGGCTGATACGGACATCCTCTAATGAAGGCAAAAAAGGGCGATTAGAGGTTATACCAGGCGTGTGACCTAAACTGAGCAGCGCCCTAAGAACTGCCTTGAGATGCTAACAGAGTGCTTGCTTTGTTTGGATGAGCCTTCATGTGTTCCGACCAAGAAGGGTGCAGTGGTCCGTGTGGCATGAGGTAAGGTAGCCATTTTCGTGCAGGTCAGCTCAACCGAGGGGATCCGGCAACGCTTCTTGCCAACATGTAGCCAGCGGGCACATGGACAAGAGACAGCGCAGATAGAGGCAAGAAGAACAGAGAGCAGTAAATGAATACGGCAATGTCCGTGAGTGCTGGATTATCGGAACAAATCCATCCATCTATCTGAGGCCATCTCTTCTGTCTGTCATGTTGCTAGCAGAATCCAATAAAGGTAATCGAATGAATGAATGTTATTGGCTGAGAAATAGAGTTTGAGCGGAAGTTGATGAGGTCAGAGATGTCACGTGTTCTTCACTTGCCTTAATCAGGGCAATCAAGCCATTGAGCGCATACATGACCTCTTCCAGCTCTCCACTCTTGCCATCTAACTACCATCATCCCACTTACTTTCCAACTCTTCCCCTTCCCCTCTTCATCATGTCCACCCTTGACCCATACCCAATGCTCCCTCAACCTCAAAAACGTCTTACTGCAAGGCGCTCATCAGCAGCGCAGGACCCATTCAACAGGCTACAACTTACTCCCGCAGATTCAGTATCAAGGCTTACCATCGTACGCGTTCCTCAACCAGACGATGCTCCTAGTCGTCCAGGATCGGTACTGGGAAGCAGACCAGGGAGCGCAGCGAGCAACCGCGACAGCCCACGAGAGCTGAACCGCGTTTCGAGCGAAAAACGACACGAACGCGCCCTCTCATCTGAATCAGATCGCGTTCGACGCTCTTCATGGGGCAGCGCAGCCAGCGAAAGCAGGCGAACACCCTTCTCTCCCTTTACACCCATCCACCCAGATCGCCCCACAGGCACACCAGGCTCAGGCACAGGCTTCGCAGGCAGCTTCAGCCGATCGCGCGCTCAGACCTCTGCTCCTGCACCTAGGTTGACAACACAGACGCTCACACCGAAGCAGACTGTCGATCTCGCACTCAGTCTCAATAATCCCACTTCCGAAGAAACAGCGACGATCGCAGAACTCGGAGAAGCAGACTACCTTCCCTTCCTAGACCGGTGTGCCGAAGTTCAGCAGTTGGTCACATCCCCTGGACCGACGTCCGACCTCTTCAAGCTCCTACGCAAGACGTTTCCTTCCTCTTCTCCCAATACCCCGCTGCTTCCCCTCCCAGACCCCGCAAAATGGACGTACGACCAGCTTATTTATCACCTCACTCGCGTCCCTCGCTCCTCCTCCCCAGACGCAGACTGGTCTCGCCTTCTTCGCCTCTGCATCCGCTCCCACAGTGAAGCTCTATGGGAACGCGTCAAGGGCGCCCTCGGCATCCCCCCTGAGCTCGAAGTAGAAGACGAAAGGGACGACCCATCCCAGTCTTGGGAGATATACGATTTTGGTCCGGGCGCTGATGCCGATGCCGACCCGGCGTTGCTCTTTGATGAAGACGAGTACGAAGCCGAGCCGTTTGAAGCCAGGCTTGAACCGGTCTATCACGGAGGTTCTAGCCCTTTGCTTTCGCCTACGCTGGAAGCAGCACTCAGTCCCAATCTGAACGCCTTGAGTTCGAGTATGAGCGGGTTGATGCCGGATCTAGCCGAACTGCGCGAAGAGGAAGAAGACGAAGCTAGTGATCGAGCGAGCGGCCGCTCTTCTCCAGTGGGGAGTACAAAATCGGGAGAGTCGGCGGGCAGCAGGCATATACATGGGTTGAGGATCACCACTGCTGCCTCGATTTCAAGCTCCCACGCGTCTACAGCGGGAACTCCTCCTTCCGTAACTCCTGCAGGCTCAGTGGGGGGCTCGGCGGGTGCGGGGTGGAGCCCGGGGACAGGGTTGGCGGCTGCGGGGTTGTCGAGAGCGTTTTCGACAGGTAGCATGAGGGGTTTCGGGAGGTTGAAGATGACCCCCCTCGAGCCTGCGGAGCCAAGGGGTGCGGGGGGTCCGAGCGTCCCGGGTGGAGTAGGGGAGGGGAGGCCAAGGGGTGCGACGGTAAACGTCGGTTCACTTCCTGGCGGACGGACTGAGGGTGTACTTGGACGGTCGGTGCCTTCCCAGTCCCATCACGTGCAGCCCATGTCTCGACAACAGCAACCACAAGGAGCGTATGACCTTGCTTCCCCCCTCGTCTCCCCTCTCAGCAGCCCTCTCAATACTTCCAACTCAAACGCTCTCAACGCTTCCCTTACCTCCAACTCCAACACCCACACCTCTTCCCCCGACCCCAACCTCGTACACCGTGGCTCGAGCGAAAGGTCCCACGTGTACCACCCCCTGGCCGAACGTGGTCCTGGGAACCCGCTTTTTCCGAGTAGTTTTAGTAGGTTGAGTATCAGACCTACTTTGAGTGCTAAGTGCGTCTTCTACCTCCTTTGTTTCCCCATTCTAAACTTCCGCTATCTGATCCAATCTGACCCCATCTCCAGCAACCCCGCCCTTCGAAACTCGCTCGACCCCCAACCCCCCCAATCCCTGTACACTTCCATGCAGCGAAAACAAGGCCGCCCACCTTCCTGGGCCGAGGGATTAATCGATAGGAACTCAGGGGAGTTCGAGTACGCAGTTACTGTTGCTAGTGGGAGTTCTGTGTATGGGGATTAATGGCCTCGGGCGAAGAGGGCCCTGGACTCAGATGCAGGTGGGCGCCGAGGTGATCGCTACACGAGGCGATTCACATCCAAGGCAGAAGAGCTTTTCCAATGATGTATGAGTGCACATCGACCCGCGATATACGAAACACGATACACCGATACGATATACGAACCCCCGAGCAGAACACCAACACCAACACCATGTCCATGTCCATGTTTATTTCTACATGTCTTCATGTATTCCGAATGTTTTAGCAGACTCACTCGTAAAATATGCATGCATGTACCTTGTTTGTTCGGGTGGGAAGGAGCAGGTGCATGTCACCTTCCAAAAAGAGAGGGTTAGGGTTAGGGTTAGGGTTAGGGTTAGGGTTAGGGTTAGGGTTAGGGTTAGGGTTAGGGTTAGGGTTAGGGTTAGGGTTAGGGTTAGGGTTAGGGTTAGGGTTA